ATTCATTGGTTAGGTGCCGGGCAACTGAGGGGATCTGTCTCACAAGCTCCAGCTAATCAAAGCATAATATAACACATACAGATACATACACAGACACACATGCTGATACACAGACACACAGAATGACACATTCAGATGCACAGAATGACTCTTCTACAGATATAAACACTGACACACATACAGATACACTGACAAACACTAACACACATGCGGATGCACAGAAACACATACACATATAGTGTGAGGTCCCCACTCCCCAGTTTATTATTATTATTACTGGTATTTATATAGCGCCAGCATATTCCGTAGCGCTTTACAATATTATCAAAAGGGGAGATTAAGCAATAAATGAGACAATTACAAAAACTTACAAGAACAATAGGCTGATGAGGGCCCTGTTCAAACAAGCTTACAGTCTATAGGAGGTGGGGTGTAAAACCCAACAGGACAGGAGGTAGCAATCAAACAAGGGGGAGTGAAGCAGAGTTGAGGAGAGAATAGAGTGCTGCCCTTTAGGAGAGAGCAAGGGACAGGTATATGAGATAGACATTACTCTGGGAGGCCATAAGCTTTCCTAAAGAGATAGGTTTTAAGGCACTTCTTAAATGATTGGAAAATAGGGGAGAGTCTGATGGCGGTAGGCAGGCTATTCCATAGGAAGGGAACCGCCCGCGATAAGTCCTGCAGGCGTGAGTTGGCTGTATGGATGTGAACAATGCACAGGAAAATCAGTCTGGCTGCAGCATTCATTACAGACTGTAGCAGGGCAATACGACTTGTGGAAAGACCTATTAGAAGAGAAATACAATAATCAATGCTAGAGATTACTAGCGCATGGACAAGCTTCTTAGTAGCATCTTGTGTAAGAAAGGGGCAGATTCGGTCTATGTTTTTAAGGTGGATTCTACAGGATTTGGTAACAGACTGGATGTGAGGTTGAAATGTGAGGCTAGAATCAAGTATAACGCCAAGACAGTGCGCTGGCTAAGATGGACTGATGTGGGTACCACTCACGTAAAGGGAGAGCGAAAGAGGGGATCAGTATTGGGAGGAAGAAAGACAAGGAGTTCAGTTTTAGAGAGATTGAATTTCATAAAGCGGGAGGACATCCAATCAGAGATAGAAGAAAGGCAAACAGTGACACGTTTCAGGACAGCAGGGGAGAGGTCCGGGGAGGAGAGGTATATCTGAGTGTCATCAGCATTCAGGTGGCACTGGAATCCAAATGAGGTAATAAGCTTGCCAAGAGAGGCAGTATAAATAGAAAATAAAAGGGGACCAAGTACAGAGCCTTGGGGGACTCCAACAGAGACAGGACAAAGGGAGGAGGTATTAGAAAAGGAGACACTGAATGAGCGTTGGGAGAGATAGGAGGAAAACCAAGGGAGGACAGTGTCACAAAGGCCGAGTGATTGAAGAATTTGGAGAAGGAGAACATGGCCAACAGTGTCAAAGGCAGCAAAGAGGTCACAAAGAATTAGTATAGAGTAGTGCCCTTTGGATTTAGCTGCAATTAGGTCATTAGTGACTTTAATAAGAGCAGTCTCAGTAGAGTGGAGAGGGTGGAAGCCAGACTGAAGAGGGTCAATGAGAGAGAGTTGGAATTAATGAAGCAAGTCAGACGGGTAAAGACAAGCTTTTAGGAAAAAGGGAGCAGGGATATGGGACGATAGTTAGAAGGGGAGGACGGGTAAAGAGATGGGCTTTTTTAGGATGGGTACTACAGTAGCATGTTTAAGGGCAGCAGGGACAACACTAGAAATGAGAGAGCAGTTGAAGTTGTGTGTTAAGGAATGCACAAGACAAGAGGAGAGAGATCTGATAAGGTGAGACGGGACAGGATCAAGTGGGCAAGTGGTGGGTCGAGAGGAAAGGAGAAGCGCAGCAACCTCTTGTTCAGTAGCGTGGGAGAAAGTCTGAAGGGTAGGGAAGGCATGACCTATAGGTAGTTGAGAAAGAGAGGGGCAAGGTGGGGAGAATTCTTTCCTTAGCTGTTCAATCTTGTTGGTAAAGTAGCATGCAAAGCAATCGCGCCGCGTCTTCTTCCTCCACAGAAACACTGCACTGAAACGCGACTCACTTTGCAGGGTGGCCTGTCTGACCACCCACGCCGGCCTCTTAGCATCCTCCAGACACTACCGCATCCTGAACACAGCTTCACTGAATACGGAGCTTTGTGGGAATCCTATTTTGCACATATGCCGACACAAGGTCTCTTAAAGAGGCAGGAACCACAGAAGGGGGTGTGAATGAAGTAGGAGCTATAGTAAGTGGACATCTCCCCTCTCCCTATTTAAACTCCACTAACCCTTGACTCTTTGCTCAGTTATACTGTGCTCCTGTTGTGTTAATACCTTCAATGCCTGTCCTGTTTGATTCCCTGATATTTGATTCCTGTTTGACTCCTGACTACAATTCTGTGCCACCTGTCCTGATCTTTGGCTTTCCTGACCATTCTTCGTTTTGACCCTTTTGTACTGCTTTCCTGATCGACTTACACCCTTTTCTGCATCTTGGACTTCGCCCCCTTAACAGTGTCCTGAAAGGATAACTGAGTCATTTCCATGGAGCTCACAGAAGTAGCCGAGATGCTCAACTCGTTGACGAGGTTAGTCACCAACTTGACTTAAGCAGTACAAGAACTACAAGTCCAGGCTATGCCTGCTGTACCCTAACCATCGATGGCTGCCCATTTGATTAATCTTCCTTTGGCACCTGAACCACAGATTACTATGCCGGATAAACTTACTGGTGATATATTGAAATACAGGTCTTTCATTATGGCCTGTGAATTGATGTTCGACCTGAAGCCACGTACGTTCTATTCTGATTCTGTCAAAGTTTGTACAGTCATTATGCTCCTTTCTGGTCCTCCTTAGGAGTGGGAACACAAACTACTCCATGCCAATGATCCCTGCATTCAACATTGGGATTCCTTTGTGGCCTTTATATCTTCCATTTATGATGACCCACACAGACAGGAGACTGCTCAAACCGCCATACGTGCTTTGCGCCAAGGATGCAGACCTGTCTAGGACTATATCACTGATTTCAAGCGGTATGCCACTGAAACCCGATGGAATGAGATAGGACTGATTAATCAATTCCATTTGGGCTTATCAAAGTCTCTCAAGGACGACTTTGCACACTTTGGCATCCCATAAACACTGAAGGCCTTCATGCAACAGTCAATTCAACTGGACAGATGTCTACGAGAGAGATGTCAAGAGAAGGCTTCTTCCTTATACTTTTCTGCAAGAACGTCAATGCCTTGTCCTGGTTATCAGGCTTCTTCCTACACTGCTCAACCTGAGGAACAGGTGGGACTGGTCCAAGGTTGATTACCCCCTGATTATCAGATTATCCCCTGATTATTAACAGCCATGTCAAACTCGCGGCCCACATGCAGCCCACAACTAATATTTATGCGGCCCGTGGCGAGGTAGCGCTGATTGTGAACTCTCCCTGCTCAGCTCCCCGCACTGATGCCGGAATATGAAGACACTCTGGCTCCCGGCATCACTGCGGCACGCGAGGGAGCTGAGCAGGGAGAGCTTAAACTCAGCGCTCCCTCACTGCCTGTCCGCCCCCCTGCTTGCCTGCCTCCCCAGCAGCCCCACTAGACCCCAGGTACTAAACCACCCCAGTCTCTGTGTGTGTTTCTGATTGTGTGTATGGTTGTCTGTGTGTATAGGTGTATGGCTGTCTGTATGTATGGCTGTCTGTGTGTATAGGTGTATGGCTGTCTGTGTGTATATAGGTGTCTGTGTGTATAGGTATATGGCTGTCTGTATGTATGGCTGTCTGTGTGTATGGGTGTATGGCTGTCTGCGTGTATGAATGTCTGCATGTCTGGCAGGCTGTGTGTATGGTTGTCTGTATGTATGGCTGCATGTGTGTATAAGTGTATGGCTGTCTGTGTGTATAGGTGTATGGCTGTCTGCGTGTATGGCTGGCTGCGTGTGTGTATGGCTGTCAGTGAGCCTGTGTGTCTGTGTGTGTGTGTCTGTGAGGGAGCCTGTGTATTTGTCAGTGAATGTGTGTGTGTGTGTGAGTGTATGTGTGTGTGTGTGTGTGTCTGTCAGTGTGTGTGTGTATGTCTGTCAGTGAGTATGTCTCAGTGAGTGTGTGTGAGGGTTTCCGGGAGTAACGGGAGGATCTGCTTTTTTAAGGTACGGTGCGGCCATTGGGGGTATGCTAGAGGCCGGACTCTGGACACTGCTTGTTGGCTGTTTAAAAAAAATAAAAAAAAATAAACAGGGGCATGGGTTTAGTAGACGGGGGACGGACTGGGAGTGTGTATTTGTATGTGTGTGTGTGTCTGTATGTCATTATTATTATTATTATTATTGCCATTTATATAGCGCCAACAGATTCCGTAGCGCTTTACAATATTATGAGAGGGGGAATTTAACTATAAATAGGAAAATTACAAGAAAACTTACAGGAACGATAGGTTGAAGAGGACCCTGCTCAAACGAGCTTACAGTCTATATGCTTGTTTGTGTGTCTGTATGTATGTTAGTATGTGTCTGTATGTGTGTATGTCTGTTTTAGTATGTGTGCCTGTAAGTATGTATGTGTGTGTGCCAGTATGTGTGTATCTGTGTGTCAGTGTTTGTGTGTGTCAGGAATGTCTGTATATATGTGTGTCGGTGTATGTGTGTGTCAGAAATCTCTATGTGTATCTATGTGTCAGAGTATGTCTGTCAAGAATGTTTGTGTGTATCTGTGTTCCAGTGTGTGTGTGTCTCTGTGTCCATTTGTGTCAGTGTGTGTATTCTGTGTCAATGCTTGAGTGTCTGTGTGTGTGTGTGTCAGTGTGGGTATATGTGTATCTGTGTATTTTCATGTGTGTCAGTGTGTGTGTCTGAGTATCAGTGTGTGTGGAAGTGTATACACTACACACAAACGCACACCTGCATTCAAACACCAACATTCACACACATACACCATACAAAAACATGCTTACATTCAAACACAATTTGTATGTGTCTGTATGTGTGTGTGTGTGTGTGTGTGTGTATGTATATATATATATATATATATATACACACACACATATACACACACACACACTGCATCCACTACACATGCACTAACACACACCGTGTCCACTTTACACACCCTGCAGCCAATACATAAACACATACTGTATCCACAAAACGCACACCTTGTATGCACTGTACAAACACTGCTTCCTTGTGGGCAGATTTAGAGGCGGGTGGGGGTCTGGTGGGCGGGATTTGGAGGTGGGCCCTGAGGGTGGGCTTAGAGGCGGATCAGACCTTCATCTGTGGTAGCTTCCCTGCCATACTTATCCAGGTCTCAATAGGAAGACATGTAGAAATGATCACATTTGATCTGGTTCCCTAACCCCTGTTTCCTGTAATTCTCGGTATCCCTTGGCTACGCACCCATCATTAACTCGGCTACAGGAGGTGTGTCCTTCTCATCTTCTCACTGATCCTTTCAATGCCTTATGAATAGTTCCCAAAAAGGATGTTTACATTCCATCCTGGATGTTAATATGAACAAAAGCCATGAAGTGAACATACTTTCTCCGTATCACGCATACATGGATGTTTTCGACAAGAAAACCTTACCTCCACACAGGGATTATGATTGTTCTATTGACTTATTACCTGGGGCTCCTATACCCTATGGTAGAATCTACCCTCTAACAGAGAAGGAGTTAAGTATCCTAAAGGAATACATACATGAGAACTTTTATCCAGCCTTCCACTTCCCCCGCAGGAGCCGGTATCTTCTTTGTGGGAAAAAAGGATGGTGGTCTACGACCCTGTGTGGACTACAGGGAATTAAACCAGATCACCGTACAGAACATATATCTGCTTCCCCTTATTTCTGAATTAATAGAAAGACTACAGGCAGCAACCATATACACCATGTTGGACTTAAGAAGTGCCTACAACCTCCTCCGTGTCAGACAAGGCAATGAATGGAAAACAGCCTTTCAGTCCCGTTACGGACATTTTGAATACACAGTTATACCATATGGACTCTATAATGCTTCTGCCTCTTTCCAACACTTCCTCAATGACATCTTCAGAGACCTTTTTGATCGATATGTGGTTATATATTTGGATGATATCCTGGTCTTTTCCCCCGACCTGCAGACGCAACGTCACCACATGTTGGAGGTCCTGAAACATCTTTAGCAATACAGGTTATATGCCGAGAAGGAGAAATGTATCTTTGAGACAGCCTGTGTTGAGTTCCTTGGGTTTATCATTTGACCCGGCAAAGTGGGAATGGATCCAAGTAAAGTGAAAGAGATAACGCAATGGCCATAAACCCAGACAAAGAAACAAGTACAGAGATTTGTGGGTTTCGCTAATTTCTATAGATGCTTTATAAGAAACATTTTCAAAGTTATCCAAACTCTTACCCATCTCACAAAGAAAAATGTGAAGTGGTGCTGGGATCACCAGACACAAACAGCCTTTGACAAACTCAAGCTGATGTTCACCACAGCACCTATACTTCACATACCGGAATTACACAAGCCGTTCTTCCTTGAGATCGACGTCTCTCATACAGCTACTAGTGTAATCCTGTCACAAAGAAACAATGACACAGATACCCTTCATCCTGTTGCCTTCTATTCAAAGAGATTACCTGGAACTGAATCTAATTATGATGTTGGTGACAAAGAATTACAGGTCATAAAAAGGGCTTTTGAAGAATGGCATCTTCTGGAGGGATCATTTCATCCCATAACTGTCTACACTGATCAGAAAAATCTGGAATATCTCCGCACCGCCAAACAGCTCAATCCACGTCAAGCTCATTGGGCCTTATTCTTTTCCCGATTCCTGTTTCACATTACATATCGTCCTGGATCAAGAAATCAAAAAGCTGATGCATTATCCAGAATATTCACCACAGATGAAACAAAACCCAAAAGAGAAGAAACCATACTCAACATTTCCTGGGTGTCATGGCACTTGAATATCCTCATAACCACACTCTCCCGCAAACCCAAACGACTATTTCACACATTTAACTCTCTTCTTTGCCCTATTGTTCCTTCTCCACCTACTAACTTGACCGCCTCAGACTTTGCAACTCACTTCAATGACAAGATCTCTACAATCAGGGAAGAGATCTCTCATCTTTCTTTTTTAAAGAAAACTAGAGCAGACCAGAAGAACTGAAGAGCAGATCCTTAGAGAGGGAGAAAAAAGGAAGCGATTAGGGAAAGGTAAGTTCGGCATGACAGTGCCGCTTTAAATGAAAGAACTGAAATGAAAAGGTAATGCAGTCAGTATTTGCCCTTTCGTTTCGTATATAATTTGTATGTAGGACTTTCGTTTATGTTATAGTAAACGAATACCAAAAAGTCAGAAAATTCGTATGAAATCATATTCGTCCGATAACGAATGCACATGTCTAGCAGCAACCTATATTGAATCCTGATATAAAAATTTCCAGAAACAAGTAAATCTAATATATAGGTGCGCAATCAAAATATAAACCCAACAATGTGAGTGTAGATTAAAAGTCAATACGTATAACTGACTAAATGTTTCCTACTAAAAAGGAAACAATCTCACTACCCATGAGTGTCACAAAAATCACACTGTTATATGGTGAATAGTATGAAATATACTTGCACAGAAATTGTTATGATGATCTTAATGATCTAGAATACATAAAAACATCTAGTGCAGCCTTGTAGAACACAAAATTATATATAAAACTCACAAATGTGGAGTGGTTGAAGTACCACTCCAAACTATTGAGCATAGGGGTGATCAGATCCTCGTGTGCGCTGGATCCAAATGATGAAATTAGATGGACTCACCACCAGCTGAACGATAATGCAATACTTTATTCCAATTGTATAAAAAAATTTAAAGGCTCACTGTACAGTGGTGTATACAGTCTCTGGCTCTGTATGATGCCGTCCGAGTGCGCTCTCTCTTCACTGCATCAGCAAGGATATCTACGACTCCACCATGATGTGTCTCCAAGTATACTTCCGTGTTCAGGATGCTGAACACGGAACATGGAAGTAAACTTGGAGACACATTTACGTCCCATTTTTGGAGAGCATTTTGCCAGTCTCTTAATAACTGGGGGTGAGAGCGGGGGTGTCAGCTCCAGGCAGATGCCGAAAGTGCCGTTCAAGTGCGATAAGTGTTCCTGACATCCATCTATAGAGTCTTATTGGCACATACATCATTATACTCAGAGCCAGGTCTATAGGCTCTGAACCAGGTGAGCAGTTCTGTGTACTCCACCACTTACATTGCAATTCATCTATATACTACACCATATTTGGTCTTTTTTATTTTTAAAGGAACAGCACGATTTCACCAACTGTAGGTTTTGTGTTACCCCTAAAAACACACCTGCCCAAGTGATCTGAGCCTGTCCTGCTTAGGCTCGGCACCATGTGAGTGGGTCCATATATTTTTATTACCACTCCATTGTTATTTAACGTATCACATGATTGCATTCTCTATCTCATCCCCACCTCTAGGTTATTACAAATAAATCCAAGCGAGGGGGGAGGTGAGTCATTTATTTGTAACTCTTGAGCGCTCCACCGATCAACTGGTGTTGGTTCCCCACCACAGAGTCTATCACTACATTTCATATTCTTGTGTTAAGCTGTGAGAGGATTACACATTGGTGGTAGCATCATATATAATTTTTTCCACCCTTTTAAGCGCCTAAATACACAATATCACTCTGCCTTTCTTCCCTATACCAATGGGCAAACTGAGAGAATGAACCAGACCTTGGAGACTTATCTTTGTTGCTACACCACCCACTTACAATCCAACTGGAAAGACCTGCTTACCACAACTACATTTGCCTACAACCAGTGGCGTACACCATGACCCATGGGGCCCCGGTGCGAAAATTGATCCGCGGGCCCTCACTGGCCGGTCAAGAACATCGACAGGTGGGCACCTGGTCGCAGGTTACAGGGCTGCGCATCACGTAATGCCAGTGCATGCAGATGCACACACACTTAAAGGATGACACCGAGACCACTTCAGCTTAATGAAGTGGTCTGGGTGCCTGGTCCAGCTAGGTTTAACCCTTTTTTTATAGGTACTGGGCTGGGTGAAGGGGAACATGTTATGTGATGGGTGAAGCGGCACAGGTACTGGGATGCATGAAGGGGGCACTGGAGCTGAGATGGGTGAAGGGGCACTGGGGCTGGGATGGGTGAAAGGGGCACAAGGGCTGGGGTGGGTAAAGGGAGCACAAGGGCTGGTATGGATGAAGGGGGGCACAGGGCTGGGATGGGTGAAGGGGGACACAGGGCTGGGATGGATGAAGGGAGCCCAGGGCTGGATGTGTGACGGGGCACAGGACTGGATGGGTGAAGGGGGTACAGGAGGTGGGCGAAGGGCAAGTGGTGCTGGGATGGATGAAAGGGGCACAAGCGCTGGGATGGGAAGTGAGGCACAGGGCTGAATGGGTGAAGGGGCACAGGGCTGGATGGGTGAAGGGGCACAGGGCTGGGATGGGTGAAGGGGGCACAGGGCTGATGGGTGAAGCACAGGGCCGGGATGGGTGAAGTGAAACAGGGCTTGATGGGCGAAAGGGCACAGCGCTGATGCGAAGGAGCACAGGGCTGGGATGTGCGAAGGGGGCACAGGGCTGATGGGTGAAGGGGCACAGGGCTGATGGGTGAAGGGGGCACCAAAGTGGGATGGGTGAAAGGGGGTACAGGTGCTGGGATAGGTGAAGGGGCACAAGTACTGGGCTGGGTGAAGGGGTACAGGTGCTGGGATAGGTGAAGGGGGCACAGGGCTGGGATGGGTGAAGGGGGCACAGGGCTGGGGTGGGTGAAGGGGGCACAGGGCTGGGATGGGTGAAGGGGGGCTGGTGGGGGAGAAACTGAGAAACCTGCTGTGTTTATGAATGGGTTAAGCCTTCCCTATTTCCTCTAGTGGCTGTCCCATTGACAGCCGCTAAGAAGCATGCGTCTTCTCACTGTGATTTTCACAGTGAGAAACGCGCCAGCGTCCATAGGAAAGCATTATGAATGCTTTCCTATGTGACCGGCTGAATGCGTGCACAGCTCTTGCCGCGCGTCTCATACAGCCGACGGGGAGGAGAAGAGGAGGATCGGAGGAGGAGAGCTCTCCGCCCAGCGGTGGAAAAAGGTAAGTTTTACCCCTTTCCAGAGCCGGGCGGGAGGGGGTCCCTGAGGGTGGGGGCACCCTCAGGGCACTATAGTGCCAGGAAGCAGTATGTTTTCCTGGCACTATAGTGGTCCTTTAAAGGACCACTACAGACACCCAGATCACATCAGCTCAATGAAGTTGTCTGGGTGTCAGGTCCCTCTAGTTTTAACTCTGCAGCTGAAAACATAGCAGTTTCAGAGAAACTGCTATGTTTCACTGAGGGTTAATCCAGCCTCTAGTGGCTGTCTCACTGACAGCCGCTAGAGGAGCACACTGAGCGTCCATAGGAAAGCATTGAGTAATGCTTTCCTATGGGCGGTTTGAATGCGTGCGCGATCGCATTCGGAGCTGAGAGGCTGAGGGATCCTCAGCGCCAAGGGAGTCCGGCGCTGGAGAAAGGTAAGTGCTGAAGACTCACACACTCTCACTTACAGGCGCATACACACTAGCTAACAGACACACACATTTACTGACAGAGACACACTCAGCGACAGACATACATACACACTCACTTACAAAACATACACTCTCATTGACAAACACACACTCACTAACAGACATCAAACAGACTCACTAACACACACACTCAGTAAGACACACACAGTAACACACTAACACTCACTAGCAGACACACACACTAACACTGACACACACACTAACACTCACACACACACTAACACTCACACATGATTTTTTTTTTTTTTTTAATATAATCCCCCCAGCCTCCTTACCTTTTGGAGTGCTGGGGAGGATTATTCCCTGGGGTCCAGTGGGGCTCCTGGGCGGGTGGCCGGTCGGGCGGGCAGGCAGGCGGGCGCGCGAGGGAGCACTCAGTGCTTCCTCTTCAGCTCCCTCGCGCGCCGCGTAGGGATGCCGGCGCCGGAAGATGACGTCATCTTCCGGCTCCGGTATCATTGCGGTGCGCGAGGGAGCTGAAGAGGAAGCACTGAGTGCTCCCTCGCGCGCGCGCCCGCCTGCCTGCCCGCCCGGCCACCCGGGGTCAGCAGGGCCAGCCTCAGGGGGGCCCTGGGGTGGTCGGCTCCTGGGCCCCCCAGGGGAAGAGGCTGGCCCTGGGCGTACATACCGGGTCGCAGGGGCGGCCGGGCCCCCTGGTGGGCCGGGCCCGGTCGCAGTCGCGACCCCTGCGATCCTGGTATGTACGCCAGTGCCTACAACTCAGGAATCCATGACTCAACTCACTCTTCACCTTTCCTTCTGAATTACGGATTTCAAACCACTTCACTCCCAGGACTGCCTACCTTCACCACTGTACCTGACACCTCTGCTCTTGTTACACACCTGTCACAAGGATTTCTGTGTTCCCCTGAAAACATTGCGAGAGTCAAGCTCTCTACAAATCCTATGCCGATCACCACAGAAAACCTCCTTTCTACCAGCTAGACCACCTGTCACGGCTTACCTTAGTGGGAGTCCGGTATGCAGAGATATGTGCTCAACCTTGCAATTAAACACAGGCCAAGGTGGTCAGATAAAAACTCACCTGGCCTGTGAGTCTGTGCACGGGGCTGTGCAGGGTAATGCTCCAAGTCGCAGTACAGGTACGGACAAAAGCAGGAGAATCGACATGGGTAAGCCAAAGGTCAGAGGGTGCCAGAAGTTAGGGTACTTGTACAATTGCCTCCATCTTTAAGGGGTTAAAGGAAAAACTGACTGACTGACTTCCCTAATTAGTCCAGGGGTTCTCTTTACTGTCCCATACAGTACATTTAACAAAAATAGATCTAGAGATTACTTTGATTGCTGATATAAATTTCTCCAGCCAGACTGCATTATGAGCATTTTGACAAAAAAAAAAATCATTTACCAGTTACACTCTAATAATATGGGCACGAAGTGGACTGCTGACACTTTTAATATATTTTTATTTAATGTTCTGGGTTTTCGTGTAGAGAACTTCAATATGTTGCTTTAGAATGCTGCACTTAAAAAAAAAAAAAAAGTAATTCAAGGTGAGACAGCTGGTACATAATGATAGCGCTATAAGTTTCACCAAAAGTAGGCATTATATTTGAGCTAAGTTAAATTTTGTATTATTATTTGAGCCAAGTTACATTTTGTGTGGCTGTGTTAAATTACAACGTTAAGCTTCCATGAATAGGGAGAAATACGGAGAAATAATTAGTCAATGAATACAGTTGTTTGGGGCTCTGCTGCATACACTGAAGACTTACTTTCTGGATTTTGCTGGTAATTTCACAGTTTGCATTTGTCCCCAGACGAGAATGCGTCATGTTTAGTGTTAGAACATCTATCTCTGTTAATTAAATTCTGTACATGATTCTGTGCATCCGAGTGTGTTAAAAAAATATTTTTCCAGTGCTGATTGTGATATTCTGGCCAAGGCTGATTTCTTATACCTTAAATGTAATATTCCCAATTATGAAGAGGAGGTTTCAGTAAAGAACGTTAAAGCAAATATGAAGCCTCCTGTGTTGCCATAAAATTGATTCTATCATCAGGTGCAAACAATAGTTTTAGAATTTTCACCTCAGTGTGTTTACAATGGTTTAAGCAGTTCCTGTGTATTTAAGGGTTAACATCAATTTGGGAGCAGTGAGTCACAGGCTCTGCAATTAAGGACAAGAGCTGCTTTAAGTTGACAGTTCTTGTACAGGGCATGGGGCACAGTAGTCCATAGGGGCTGCTGGGCTGCCAGTGGTTGCCTCTTTCAGCCTAAGGAAGGGTTTTCATCCCAGTAATTGATACCGGTCCAATTAGCTACAATGGCTTTTTGGTTATTAACCTTTATTTCACAGCTCACCCCCTCCATAGCGAATAATGATCAGACTATAGAGCTTCCCTGTAAACCTGACCTGCAAGCTAACTAGCAAACCCGAGTGTGTCCTGCCAATCCCAGTTCGTGTTACTGTGCAATTCTCCAAAGCCAAGTATCAAAGCAAAGCGCTACAAGCACAGGGGTGTCCGTGTTTTAGATTTTAGGGCGGGAGCTGCATGGCTACAATTCTATCGCCCGCATCTTTATGGAACGTTGTGTAATTCATCACATACTGTGCGAGCTTGAAATGGATGACTGGCTCCACTCCACAGTCACATAACAAGTGCAGGTGCATGGCCTCAGCAATACATCTCATGGGAATTAGGATAAGCTCCACCATTTAACATTACCACAGAGAAAAAGGGCTGGATCACCAGGCAGACCCCCCCATTCCAGGGTGGTTTTTAATATCATTATTTTTTTTAATGCTGTTGAAATAAAAAATAAATAAAAAAATAGTGGTATATAATATCGCTGAAGGAGATGGTTTGGAAGTTACACAAACATAAATCCCCCCACCAAATCACAGTGCAGGAGAGTAAGACAGAGACTAATGCAAGCATTGAAAAAAGGGGGGATGGTAATGTGTACCAGGGAGAATGAGCAGGAAGCTGCTCTGCAGAGGTGACTAGTGCAGAGCTGGACTGGAGATGTGCAGAGCTGGGCTTGGGGTGTGCAGAGCTGAGCTAGGGATGTGCAGAGCTGGGCTAGGGATGTGCAGAGCTGGGCTGAGTATTGTGTCTGCTTCTGGTGACTGGACCCTTCATTGCTGCTGCTGAGGACATGACAGCAGACACTGCAACCAAGACTGAAGAGATCTGTCACTAAAAGGGGGACCAAAGACAAGTGCCAAGAGCAAGGGTATGGCATCAGCATGAACACATACACAGTAACACAGACACACACAACTAGACTCTGTAGGAAATGGCAAAACAGCAAGCCACAAGGCTAACCGACCACAAGAGAATCTGCATATCACATGAAATATTTAATATAAAAATGCAGAATTGTCAGAGCATCACAGCCAGAGACAGCAGATCTTCAATCCCACCACAAGTAGCTCCATGAACACTGGCACACGTACTGTAGGGAAATATACACGAATCCGTTAATTAACTGCATATAGAGTCATTATGGTTACTTGGATTTATTATATGTCTCTGGCAGTAGTTATTTACACTGGAATTTATATCAGTGAACACATAGCCAGCCAGCACAACCAAGATCTACTGCAGAAAAACACATATATTAGACTACTAAAGATCGGTTAATTTATATGGGTACTGTGTACAGGACCAACATTCCAACATATCCACTCTAGAATTCTAACGATAACCTGCATGCTAACACCTGCATTCACTTCAAATAGTTATTCCCTTACTAATGGCAATAGAAGCTTCATATCAGTCACAGTACAGATATCATATATTGGATTCGGTAGACACATTGCAGAATATGCCACATAAACAATAGGCACACAAATCCCCTGCTTTGTCCATCCAGTTACTTGTTCCTGTTATCTGTGTCCGGTTGTAAGCTACAGGTAAGTGATGAGAGGGGAGTCCAACTGACTGGAGCTGTATGTCCTGGGAGGGGTGGCATTAGTGATAAAAGACACATGTACAGTGAACACATTTACATGATGCTAATAATGTTTTGTATGTTACCTACATCCCCTCAGTGGTGTTTCTGATCCATTGTATGTGTTCATACCAGTACAGGTTTCTGCATGGGTAAATAGGTAATTCCACTGATAATATTTGCAGATTTGTGTGTGAATCTGTTTCTAACTACCAAAAAGTATATGTTGTGTGTGTGTGTGTGTGTGTGTGTGTCTAATGTGTGCTTGTGTACATAAGTGTTTGCAGTGTGGTGTGTATATGTATTTAGATACTAATGTTATGCCCATTTTTTGTTGTCTAAAATTTGCTATTTTCGTGTCCATTTGTGATGATCCCAGTGTGGCTAACAGCCCTGTATATGTAGACAATATTGTATAAATGACACACATGCATATACATGTAGTATTGTTGTATGTATTTGCAGGCTAAATCCATTAGATGTTTTTTATTTATATGTTTACCACCAATTAAAAGTGTGTCTGATTGTGTCTGTAAATGTGAATGTCTCTGTAAGTGTTTGCAATTATTTATTTATTTATTATTTAATTTTTATGTGTATAAGCAATCAGGGGTGTTGCACACAGGCAGTAGATGAGTTTCATATTTAAATTATGTGTCATTACTATTGCAGGTGTATACAATGTTTAAGTTTTGTAAAAATATTAGTACTATTGGCCACGCATGCATTCATTACTTTAATTACAGTACATTGCTTTACCCATACTTCTATTTATACAGTTACTTTATATTACTAGTGGAACTCTCTCTCTTTAAATATATGGAACTGAATTATTTTAGTATAGTAAGGGTTTTTTTTTGTTTATTGAAGAGCAATTCCTTTTTTGAAGTCTATGGGGAAATTGATATAAGTGGAGTAAATCCTTACTCTGCTATGAGAATTTAGCTCACGGTCTGTGTATGTTTGACTTAAAATGCATTTTATTTATTAAAGGACCACTATAGGCACCCAGACCACTTCAGCTCAATGAAGTGGTCTGGGTGCCAGGTCCATCTAGGATTAACCCTGCCTGCTGTAAACATAGCAGTTTCACAGAAACTGCTATGTTTACATTATGGTTAATCCAGCCTCTAGTGGCTCTCTCATTGACAGCCGCTAGAGGCGCTTCCGCTCTTCTCACTGTGACTTTCACAGTGAGAAGACGCCAGTGTCCATAGGAAAGCATTGAGAATGCTTTCCTATGTACTGGCTGAATGCGCGCGCGGCTCTTGCCGTGCATGCGCATTCAGCCAATAACATCAGAAGAGGGAGGAGAATCCCCAGCGCCAAGGGAGCCCGACGCTGGAGAAAGGTGAGCGTTTAACCTCCTTCCACCTCCTTCAGCCAGGTGGGAGTGGGACCCTGAGGGTGCGGGCACCCTCAGGGCACTACAGTGCCAGGAAAACGAGTATGTTTTCCTAGTTAAGGCTATAGGGAGGTGAGGGATGTGTGCACTTACGACAGATGTAATTTTTGCACAGAATTAATATTAGGAATCTCAGAACAGAGTTCTGGGGTGCCAAAGTCACATGTGCCACTGGTGCAAGTATCCCCCCGCCACAAAAGTGAATATATCTGTGTATGTACAGTATTTCAAGCAGAAATGCTCCACATACAGATTCCCACCATCATGACCACTTCTAAAAGTATGTATGGGGTACAGGAACATGGTACTCAATAATTAGACATACTGATACAAAAGGAATTGTGGGCCCATGGCACAAGAGACTGCCATTCTGGGGTAAAGAATCATTTTTTTCCTAGTTTGTGCAAAATTTAAGTGCTTTAAACTGGGTTTTTTGCCTTCTTTTGGATCAACAGCAAAAATAAGATGTGAGAAAGGCTGAATCTGATCCTTTCAGCCTATATAACTATGTACTAAAACTGTGCATTAATAGTCTTTGATGGAGCTAACCCAGCTTTTTCTACTGATAGTTATCATGTTCCTCATTTCTCCCTAAAAAAACAATTTCCTCCCTTCTTCACACTCCCTGCCCACAATTCTGGCAGCATTTTCTCTTTTCCATATCCAGAATTATCATCCCCTTCTCATTCGTCTTGCCCAGAATGTATTTTGTTTCCTCTTGCTCCACACAAATTTTGGAAATTTTCTCAAGATTCTTTCTCATATGTATTTGGACAAGATGGGGTTGGTCAATCTCCCTTAAAGGAACACTATAGCGTTAGGAATACCAATATGCATTCCTAACGCTATAGAGCCCTAGTCACCATTTAGGTGACTAGGGCTCCGTTCCGTGGCAAATATATGGTTAATTAACCATTTATTTGCTTACCTTAATCCAGCGCCGGGCTCCCTTGGCACTGGTGACCTCTCCTCCTCCATCAACGTCAGCTTCCAAGTGGAGCCGAATGCGCATGAGCGGCCAGAGGAGCGCTCACATTCAAACCCGCCCATAGGACAGCATTACTCAATGCTTTCCTATAGGGATCTTTTTTGATGCTGGACTCCATGAGGATGTCCAGCGTCAAACAAGTGCGATTTACTCCGTGTAAATCACAGAAGGGGCCTCTAGTGGCTGTCTGGCAAACAGCCACTAGAGGCTGGATTAACACTGCAGTGGAAACTGCTATGTTTTCAGCTGCAGGGTTAAAACTAGAGGGACCTGGCACCCAGACCACTTTATTGAGCTGAAGTGGTCTGGGGGCCTATAGTGGTCCTTGAAGTGCTGTTTGCACTTTTAATTGGGCCCCTAACTAATCAAATAGAAGTAAAATCATGATTAATGATGTAACATGTGTATCAAAGCCATTTAAACGTTCACTATTCTTATACATCTTTCACAATAGGACAGAGACATCTAAGGGTAAGGGATTTAGGATTTAAATAATTTAATAAAATAGAAAAATAAATAACATTTAAAAATATCATTACATAAAGGAGCCCACCGTACCAACTGTAGTGATTATGGTGCCAGGAATGTCCTCGTGCCCCAAGCATTGTAAAGAGTCAAACAATTTTTGAATGGTTTGACCCTATATTTTGGGGTCCATTGTTGCCAAAAAATGACATCTCCCTGTGGCACAACCAATCAGTGTCCTCTCCGCCAGAAGTTTCACAGCAACAGTGTGAGGACGTTATCACAACAAATTCCATCCAATCAGGACCCTTGTAGCTGCGTAGAGAACGCACAGCTTCAGAAAAAAATGGCCCGAAAGTTCGGCCACCAATTATTAAAGTGCGAAAGCTTTGCTCTAAAAATATCAACTGTCACTGTTCACATACTGCTGTGTGCTCATCGGCACGCTGCAGTACAATCAAATGACAATAATCATAGATAAAGAAGTTTGGCTTAGAATCCCTTGTCTGCATTATATCCAAATGCTGCTGTACTCTCTTGCAATCTTTCCATTGTGATAAAGGAAAAACAGGAATAGCAGGCTTCAAGGGACTACAAATCATGTTACCAAAGCCAGCATGCATACAATGGGTTTCCCTCAAACACTGGGCTATTTAGCCCTTCACATAAAAAAGTACAAAGAAATAAATTGTCAATCTTCTATTACTATTTTTTTTTTTTTCAAGTACCTAGTGTAACATTTCTGACTTATAGCGAAGTGCCATTCAGACACAAAATGTGTCATGTTTCTGTTTTTTCCCTCACTTTCAATATATTGCTGTGATTGTTGAAATTCTATAGTGAACACTTGAATAAAAATACAGAGAGTAGATTGAAGTCCTGATACACCCCCGAAACAGCCTGGTCTTTTACAGTACCGTGTGCACAAAACGGTTTATTACTCTATATAATATTTTCTTTTTGCAGGGACATGGAAATATGACAGACCTATTTCATCACCTGGTTGGACTGGGTTTTTATAATTACAGCCATTTACAAAACCATTAAGGAGGGCCATCACACTCTGAATGTGGACATGGACTTTAGCTCCTTAAGAGTGGAGGCAATTGTCCAAATGCTGAACCAAAAAAACACGTAGAATCTGTGCTAAATGATTGTCCTGCCATAATTTAAGAGTTAATCTTAAAGTGCACCTGTACACAGGGCCGGCCCAAGACACTGTACTGCCTGGGTCCAAAGATAAAATGCTCCTCCCCCCCACCACCAAAACCACACTTACCAAAACACGCCCACATCTGTTATGTCAAATAAGGAGTTCCACGAGACCCAGATTATATTGCCCCAACCAAGATGAGAAGATCGCAAGCAAAAAATCAAATCCTGGAATAAATTGGCCAGGTAGTTTGATTACAAAAGGGTCCACAAATGAGTCTTGGTGGTGTCTATTGAATGTCTATTATTAGGGGGCTTGGAAGGTTATATATTCATAGATACATTCCAAAACTTATTATATCCAACATGTACAGATGAGATTATTTCAGAACCTTATTTTATGCTTATGGAATATCTTCATTGGTATTAAAATATTAGCTAAGGGGCTTGGGAGCGAAGCTGAACAGACGCCAACTCTATCGGCTCCCAATCTGCAAATATCCCGAACATCATACACCTCTCAGCTAAACTAAGCCCACTAAGTGACTGGGGGAGCCGAGCGGAACTGACCGATGCCTTTCTTTCAACCACCAAAGACAGGGTAGGCCCCGGGCCTACTTCAAGACTCTCCTAGACGGCATCGGGGCATACTACCACCCAGATTCGGAGGAGATAGAACCCCCAACATCTAGCGACACCTCCGCAACCATGAGGCGCCGCATGCAGAAGCTGCAGCCAGCCTCGGCCGCTGACCAGCCAGATATCAGGGTGATGTTGCAGCGACAAGCACCATCCAAGATGGCCGCCACAGAGGCCTCCCCCGCTCCATCACTGAAAGCCCACTCACCAGAGCTGGGAGCAGAGGGCACGCAAAACAACACACTCCCGGCCCGTAAATCAAGACCTGCAGGAATACATTGCAGGAGATACAGGCTTTGCTGGCCGGCCGCGGATATCAGAACCCTCAGGGCAGATGTGCCCCAAACTACAGAGCGGGTGAGTGCTATGGAAGGGGACATTCAAACATTGAACAGTGGGGTGACGAATCTTACGGATGCCCTACATTCCCTGCAAACAATGCCCTACATTCCCTCCCAAGAGGACCGCCTGCGCCGCAATCATATCAAGCTCAGAGAAGTGCCGACAGGGATCACCCCAGAGGAGTTGCCTCATTTCATAAGAAGACTTATAGCCACTATCCTGCCCCCATCAACTGCCTGGAAAATGACACTGGAGGGCATATATCGCTTACCAGCAGGGCACAACTCATCTTCCACAGAGGCAAGAGACGTCATCTTGCGATCTGCTACCTCTCAAGATAAGGCAGCAATAATGTCAGCGGTGAGAGGCAAGAACCCCTTACTTTTTGAAAGCTCCCACCTACTTTTCTTCCGGACTTAACTAGGGCAACGCTACACTTGCGGAGATCATTGCAACACCTAACAGGCTGCCTGAGGACTGCAGGCATACAGTACAGATGGGGAATGCAGAGGGTCCTCCTGATCACCCATAATGGGACTACTCACAGAGCCACATTGGAGGCGGACATACTCGCAATCTCCACCCTCCTGGGACTCCCGGAGACATCCAAGACCAATGCTACGATAAATACAAATACTGAGATTTGATACCTCTCTTATATGTCAATATCAACCGAGAAGTTTCATAATGCACCTTCAAAATAAAGAATTTTAAAAAAAAATATGTATTAGCTAAGTACAATACTCAATCACTAACAATAACATACCAAAAAGTTAAATTGTCATATGGGATGTATGCCATTAGATAAGGATGTTTTTCTGTACCAAGTCCATCTATATTATTTTATATGGATTGTCTTTTATAGGGAAGCTTATGGGCATTGTATAATGCAGAGCTGTATAGGATTCAATGCTTCTCTGCATAAGGCATATTGTAATATTGCTGTGTGAAGTAATGCAGTGTGTCTGTGTGTGACTGTGGATGAAGTGTGTCTGTGTGTGTGTGCTGGGGATGACGTGTGTCCTGGGTGTAGTGTGTGTCTTTGTGTGTGCTGGAAACGCAGTGTGTGTGTGTACTGGGGATGGAGTGTGTGTGCGTACTGTGGATGGAGTATGTCTGTGTACAGGAGTTCAGTGTGTGTCTGTGTGTGTGTGTGTGCTGGAGATGAAGTGTGTGTGTGTGCTGGGGATGCAGTGAGTGTCTGTGTGTGTACTGGGGATGGAGTGTGTGTATCTGTGTGTGCTGGGGATGAAGTGTGTGTCTGCTTGTGTGCTGGTAATGAAATGTGTGTCTGTGTGTGTGCTGGAGATGCAGTATGTCTGTGTGTGTGCTGGGGATGAAGTGTGTCTATGTGTGAATGCTAGGGATGCAGTTTTTCTGTGTGTGCTGGGGATGAAGTGTGTCTATGTGTTGATGCCGGGGATGCAGTTGTTCTGCGTGTGCTGGGGAAGTAGTGTTTTCTGCATGTGCTGGGGATGCAGTGTGTGTTTGTGTGTGCTGGGGATGCAGGGTGTGTGCTTGGGATGAAGTGTGGGTGCTGGGGATGCAGTGTGTGTCTGTGTGTGTTCTAGGGATGCACTGTGTGTCTGTGTGTGCTGGGGATGCAGTGAGTGTCTGTGTGTGTACTGGGGATGAAGTATGTGTATCTGTGTGAGCTGGGGATGTAGTGTGTGTGTCTGTGTGTGCTTGGGATGAAGTGTGGGTGCTGGGGATGCAGTGTGTGTGTGTCTGTGTGTGCTTGGGATGAAGTGTGTGTGTAGGTGCTGGGGGTGCAGTGTGTTTGTGTGCGTGCTAGGGATTGGCTTCCTATGGGCAGCACACTGTGTGTGCACTGCAGCCAATAATGACACTTACTCTTGCTGCATCCGCAGTGTTGTCTCTTCTGGCTGGAGTGGGGTCTGACCTGTCTTCTAGTGGCTCCAGCTCCGCTCCTTAAGACCCCACCGCTGCTGGCCTGCTTGTGACATTTTGTATGTTAATCCTATACCAGGCCCCCCACACATGTGCTCTGTCCCTAACTAAAGATGGCCCCAGCAGACAGAGGAGATACCCAGGTATCGACTACTACATGGAACTCTCTGGTGTGAGCAGGTATTTAACCATCTCCACTGAGTAATTCTTAAGCATCTAGGACCTCTGTATACCACCAGCCTTTGGGAATTCTTATGTCACACCAATTCCTTTTTAAACCTTCAACCACTGTGACTGTCATGAGACAGGACTATACTTTGTACTTCTCATCCCATAATATTATTAGATTTTTTTCATTCTGTTGTTTCTTTTCTTTTTCTGTTATGACTTTTTATCACCTTTTATATATTTTGGTTTGTAATATTCACAAAACCTTTGCTAAGACGCGTGTTGCATTATACACTTATCAGCCACAACATTAAAAATACCTGCCTAATATCGTGTAGGCCCCCCTAGTGCAGCCAAAACAGCTCTGATGCATTGAGGCATGGACTCCATTCTGAACATGTCCTGAGTTATCTGGCACCAAGACATTAGCAGCAGATCCTTTCATTCCTTTCATTGCGAGGTGGGGCCTCCGTGGATCGTATTTGTTGTTCCAGGACATCCCACAGATGCTCAATTGGATTGAGATCTGGGGAATTTGGAGGCCAAGGAAACACCTTGAACTCTATGTCATGTTCCTCAAACCATTTCTGAACAATGTTTGCAATGTGGCAGGGTGCATTATCCTGCAGAAAGAGGCCACTGCCATCAGGAAACACCATTGTCTTGTAGGGGTGTGCGTGGTCTGCAACACTCTCTAGGCAGGTGTTATGTGTCAAAGAAAAATCAACATGAATGGCAGGATCCAAGGTTACCCAGCAGAACATTGTCCACCAGCCTGCCTTCTTCCAATAAAGGCATCCTTCGACAAACACGCACCTGGCCATCCACCTGTTCTAAATGAAAACGTGATTCATAAGACCAGGCAACCTTTTTCTATTACTCTATGGTCAAGTTCTGATGCTCATGTCCCCGTTGAAGGCACTTTTGATGGTGAATAGGGGTCATCATGGGCATGCAGCCCATATGCAGCAAACTGTGCAATGTGTGTTCTGAAACCTTGCTGTCATGGCCAGCATTACGTTTTTCAGCAATTTGAGCTACAATGGCTCTTCTGAGTGATTGGACCAGGCGGGCTAGCCTTCCCTCCACATGTGCATCAGTGAGCCTTGACCCCCGTGATCCAGACACCGGTTCACCGGTTGTCTTCATTGCACCACTTTTGGTAGGTACTAACCACTGCATACCGGGAACCCACAAGACTTTGCTTTTTGGACATGCTCTGACCCGGTCATCTAGCCATCACTATTTAGCCCTCTTCAAAGTCACTCAGTCCTTTTCACTTACCCATTTTTCCTGCTTGCAACACATGAAATTCAAGAACTGGCCGTTCACTTGCTGTCTAATATACCCCCCCGGAATGGTGCCATTGTAACTATATAATCAATGTTATACCAGTCAGTGGTTTTAATGTTTGGCTGATGAGTGTAGGGGTGGGTATTCCTCTATTCTTTTCTATGATTTAAATTCAAGATCTCTCAATAAACTTGAAAGTAAAAATAAAATAAATTATATAAAAAAAGGAAATATCAGTCTGTTTTAATAGCTATAGGTAAGCTTACATCAAGATATGAATAATGTTGGAGACTAGAAGACATCAGATATGCCCCATGTCTCACCATACGGCAAAACAAAACAAGCTTTTCCTAGGAGGAGTTGAAATATTAAACACTAGGGTCAAGAGGGTCCAACAGTGCACTTCACAATTTACAATCCCCACTAATAATTACATAACCCAGGAAAACACAGAACATGTTAACTCCAAAAGTGCTTACTAGACGTACAAAGCAATGTGTGGATGGTATTGGAGAGAGTGAAGAGAATATAATCACTGGACAATGCACACCTTTCACGTGGAACTTCTGTCTGGTCTGGTGGTTTCCCTATAAGTAGGATAGTAAGTGAGCTGATGGAAGTAGGGGAAACTAAGTAATGGAGAAGGCTAGGACTTAGCCTTATGCAAAGTAACAAAAAGCAAAACTACCGAACTGTGATTAAATCGTATACAGCTAGAGAATTGTCAGCTAAAATTGCAGTGTATTGCCAAGTCTAATCATAATTAAAATTGACAAGAGATAATTGCTCTGCTTCAAGAAAGAAGGATAAAGAGCTGCTTATCTGCTTATGCTTCATGGTTGCATATATTATAATCTTTTTTGTGTATTGATATAGCTGATCTAAGATGGTGATTATAGCCCTGATTTTATATTTTTGAAATTATTTTTAATTTTTGGATACACTTTTAAAATGATTTGTCAACAGAAGTCACCATTAAAGTCTATGGGGATTTTTGTAGATAACTCATTTAAAAAGCTTATTAAAAATATTAGATGAAGGCCTTGACTACATGGCTACATTTACTCCTCTTTGTTCTATTTATGCTTCTATGGTACTATTGTTATTTGTAACATTTATATTTTTTTCAATGGTTAATTTTATGATTCTATGAAAACTGAAAAAAATATTTTCACAAAAAAGAAAACATTAAAAGCACACAGAGCGATTACCGTGACTTTTTACCCTGCATTACAGGTCTAATAAAGTGTACTGCAGAAAGAACAAATTTATCAACAATAAGAAACCTGTAGTATATGTAAAAGTGTCCTGGTGTTTAAACAAACCAAACAAAATATAGTTTAATAATAAAAATAATGCAAAAATGTAATCTTCAAGAGAGTACTGTAAAAAGTTAAAGGGTACCTTTAACTTGCTCTGCGATTGCTATGTCTGACATCACTCTGTTTAGGCGCTGGCATGTTGGCAACGAAGCCTCCGCAAGCAGGGCAAATTAAAGAAGACCACAGGAAGATCAAGGGCCGGACCAGAGGTGGGTGTTACAAAAAAGTAACACCTACAAACCTCAAAACATGGCGGCGATGGAACGGAGGAAAGGTGAGTAAATCTCAATATTTTAAATTGAATACATCAAGTATCTCTATGATATCTGATGTATTGAATGCATTTGGAGGGGCGCTTTAGATAAAGTTGTAAAAGGCATAACATGTTTACTTTAAAGAAGAGATTGAACTTAGTGAATTTATCCACTCAGCTTTATAAAGCACACCATAAAATGCACCGACACTAGTAGAGCCAGTAAACTACAAAAATAAATTGTCTGGAATTAAATATAATTAACCTGGGAATTACTTAAGAAATTGGGAGGTAAATTGTAATATTCACTCCAACAAGGTTCACTGACCTACTTAAAATATCACCTTGAAATATCAGGAGGACATAAGAAGTCACATCCCAAAACCCAGGCATAATAATCAGGATCTTTCAAAGATATGTCCAAAGAATTCAGTGTGTATTTCATAAACATAAAATACTTACTGTGTTAAAAGTTAATTGAAATTCCAACACAGTCAAAAGAGATTGTAAGACAAAGTCCTTATTATTAGGGCAAGTGTGAAGAAGACACTAGTGTATCTCAAGACTTAGTGTATGATGGATCCTGCAGTTTTACAGCTCCATAGACATCGGGGTTGTATTCTCTCATATGCATGAATGGATAGACAACCCAACACACAGAATAAAGTCACACAAGTACAGGAAAAACAGTAGACAGCAGTACGTATTACAGGACCATAGCGTGACCAGGCTTAATGTGCAAAGAACAAGAAATAGAAATGTCAAATAATAGACACGGTCAATAGAGATATACTAAATAGATAAACAAGCTAAGGTCAGGGATACAGGGAAAAGAGTAGTCGCGACAACCCAAGATCAATAATCAGAAGTCAGAGTGTAGAAAAAATGCGCTCTCTGATAAACAAACGGGAATCTACAACAGGGCACTGAATATATATATATATAAAGCTCAAGTATTTATAGGCCTGGGGTTTCAATGATAGCCACACCCCAAAACATTAGTGGGGCCGTCATCAACGATGTGATGACACTGTGAAGTGGGTGTGGTTTAATGGCATCATAAAGGGTGGTATCAGAAAAGCTGGAAAATGTGACTGGGGGTGTGAAACTGATGTGGTGCCTACTTGGGAGGATTAGGGCACCAGGTGAGTGCTGAATTGCAAGGTTATGTGTCCTTACAAAAGCACTGATGTGTCTCCAGGCAGATAAAATACCAGGATATGATGAAAGTTTCAGTGGGGAAAAGCTTCAGGTAAGAGTATCTTTGGAAAATAGGCAAAGACTACTGAAGGTGACAGAACTGCTTTAACTAATTTCACAGAAATAGGTTGTTAGGTCAGGCATGCTTTACAAATCTCCATGGCACTGCTATTAGTTATGAGCTGCTTATATATTCCTGATCCCTTTCTCCTTAGACACTAACTCTCCTACTCATCAGGCTAGTAAACCAATTGGCATCTTCTCTATTTATTCCTCTAACTTATTTATGATCCTTAACCAGCAATATCAATGTGCCATTTACCCATCTTTATATACCTAAACTAGCTTGGCCTATTAGAAAACTTTGGTCTCTGACATTAAACAGATTTTACTTCTCTCCATTCACCCACATTGATTGTCTTCTGTACTGGTCAAGAATCCTCTATCTTTCAACTGTCCTGAGAAAGAAGGGCAGATACAAATAAAAACATCTCTATGTTGCTATCATCACTCACACCAATGATCCCGTAACCTCCAAAGGTGCTGAAAAGTCAATCTGCTTGTGGGTATAAATGTATGTATAGCTATAAACTTTAGCCCTCAGTTTTTCACATTGACTTCACCTTCCTCATAATCACATTCTATCACAACTCCAACCTTCTCTTGAAAACCTTTAGTAAATTAAATGTACTACTTGGTCCTAACTCAAAAAAAAATTTGCTTTTTTTTTTAGTTAATTAATCTAATGTCCGGTGCTGAAATACTTACCTCACACAGAAGTCTGTAGTAAGTGCCCATGGAGACATATATGGGGGGGACATACCTCTCAATTAATATAGGTATTTCCACTTTTTTGAATATTACACCATTGAAATAAAAAACATTAAAAATCACCTATAGATTATATTAAGATGTTGATTGGTTTTAATTTAAATTTATATTAAAGATTTTGCAAATCACAATTAAGTTGAGTCCAGGCACAGTAGGGCACACATTGCATATTAGGAAGGGACATAGAAACACTGTTGCAAAGGACAGAGTTTATAACAATGATTGAAAGGGAGCTAAGATGGACAGTTGCTCACAATCGCTGTATTAAAACCACACCATGTTATATCAGCACAGCAAGAGCAGCATTAACTTTAATCTTGCAACGTTAAATATCTACTTTCACAGTAATATCCCCACACTGTGCTGTATAATTAACTCCAAATAATGGTGCATTATAGTGGCACTGTCACAAATTATTTAATTGGAGATGTTGTGTATCTCTCAATATTGTAAGGTCAACAAGGAAAGAATGCCAAAATCAAACCTGGGTCTTTTCAGGACCCTACTCAAGGCTCTATTAAAGGTTAACTTCCCCACACCATCTTCTCCGATCAGTACTCTGCATTTACCTTTGTGCTGTTTAACTTGATCTAGTACAATATCCATTGTGACCTTATCTCTTGCTAATTTATTACTGGTTACGTGTAGCTAGTTTAGAGTGGTTTAAAACCATTGTACAAATGCAGTATGCACCCTCCCTTAATCTGTCTCCAAGGGGATGCAAGTTCTACAGAATATTATGTAACTGTAGCAGTAGAAATATTACCTAATGAGTTCTTTCCTAGTCTCATGAGACACATTGTCTAAATAAACAGCAAAAAGAATAACATCCTTGTGAAATATACATTTTCTGTTTGTTTGTTTTTTTGTGTATTGACAGAAAACTCTGTAGTGTAATAAACAGGATCTTGGACCCTTAATATCTAGAAGGTTACCACTTGGCTCAGGAGACCGAGAGCAAATCCATATCCATGTTCACTTAAAGGGACACTAGAGTCATCAAAACAACTTTAGGTTAATTGAGCAGTTTTGGTGTATAGATCATGAATCTGCTGTCTCCCTGCTCACTTCTCTGCCATTTAGGAGTTAAATAACTTTGTTTATACAGTCACACTACCCTGCATGTGACTTGCACTAAGCACTTCCTGTAAAGAGATGTCTAATGTTTATACTTCCTTTACAGGGCCGGCGCTTCCTATAAGGCGAACTAGGCAGCCGCCTAGGGCGCCATATAGGAGGGGGCGCCCTGCGCCCCCATCGCCGGTCCTTTAAATGCCGCAGCCATCTGAGCGCTCTGTAGAGAGCGCTCAGACGGCTGCTGCACTGCCTCACCTCCCCTGCCCTGCTGTAGCGTGGCCGAGCTCCTTTCTGGTCCAACCCGGCGGACTGACAGGAAGTGCACACTGAGTATTGCACTTCCTGTCCGCCGAGTCGCGGAACGAAAAAGCTAACTAAACAGAAAGTAAGGAGGGAGGAAGAAGATACTGGGGAAAGGTTATAGGGGCAGGAGAGAGGAGAAAGAAACTGAGAGAAAGGTATAAGAGGAGGAGAAAGAGAAAGAGATACTGGGAGAAGGAAAGCATACTGAGAGATTGTAAGGGAGAGAGAAAGGATACTGGGAGAATTATAGGAAAGAGAGAGAAGAGAGATACAGAGAAAGTATTAGGGAGAAAAAGATTACAGGGAGGAGGAAGGGGAGAAAGAAAGAAAATTACAGGAGGGGAGAAGATTACAGGGAAAGGGGAGAAGGTAGAAGGTACAGGAGTAGGGAGAAAGGGAGAATTACAGGGAGGGGGAGAAGAAGAGAAGATTACAGGGGAGAAGAAGCGATTACAGGGAGGGAAGGGGGGAGAAGATTACAGGGAGGGGCGAGAAGAAGAGAAGATTACAGGGGGGAGAAGAAGAGGAGAACACAGGGAGGCGGGGGAATAAGAGGAAAACACGGGGGGAGAAGAAGAGGAGAACACGATGGGTGGGAGATGAGAACGTAGGGGAGGGAGAGACCACTAAAGGGGGAGGGGGTGGAGAGACCACTAGGGGAGGGGGTGAGGAGAGACCGCTAAGGGAGGGGGGTGGAGGATAGACCACTAGGGGAGGGTGGGGGGAGAGGAGAGACCACTAATGGAAAGGGGGGCAGAGGAGAGCAGAGACCACTAAGGGGGAGACGAGAGACCACTAATGGAAAGTCGGGGATAAAAGGAGACCACTAAGGGAGGTAGGGGGGAGAGGAGAGACCACTAAGGGGCAGGGGAGATCTCTAAGGGATGGGAGAGCTCTATAGGACAGGGGGCAGGACAGGGAGCTCTTTCACACCCCACGCACACACACACACACAATGCATCCCTATACACACAGAAACACAACATGCTTCCCTTATACACAGAGAAACAAATAATGCAACCCTTACACATAAAGACAATACATCCTTTGCACATATACACAGAAACACACAATGCATCTCTTACACACACATGCAAACACACACTGCTTCTCTTACACACACACACAGAAACACAATGCATCTCTTACAAACACTCAACATAGAAACATAGAATGTGACGGCAGATAAGAACCATTCGGCCCATCTAGTCTGCCCAATTTTCTAAATACTTTCATTACTCCCTAGTCTTATCTTATAGTTAGGATAGCCTTATGCCGCACCCCTTACAGACACACACACTGCATCCCTTACATACACAGAAACACACTTTGCATCCCTTATGCATACAAACACAGATTCACACAATGCATCCCTTACACACAACAAGAAACACACAATACATCCCTTATACACAAACACTCACTGCTTTCTATCCCTTACACAAAAACACAGTGCTTCCACTACATACACACTGCATCACCTACACAAACTGGTATCCCTAAACACTACATTCCATAAGCACACACATTAGATCCTCTACAGTAACACATAACACATAACACATCCCCTACACACTCCACTCCCTGTGAGCAAACTCATGGGTGGAACATGTAGGTGGACTTATGGGTGGGCTTTATGGGCATACTCACCGTCAGGCCCTGGGGCCCAGACCTTGAGCTATGTAAGAGGCCCCAAAAAATGGAGCTGCTTCCCGTTCTCCAAGAACATTGAATTTTGTGACCACAGTTACAAACAGCCTCCAGAGATCCTGTTCTACACCAGACCAGTGGAGCAAGACTGCAGCCAGAGCCCATCACCATCCTCATCTGATTGTAAGTAGGCAATCTAGTATATTATTAGTGACACTAATCTCTAATTTACCTCACATTAAATGGACACTATAGTCCCCAGAACCACTGCAGCTTAATAAAGTTGTTCTGGTGTCTATAGCCGGTCCCTGCAGGCTTTTTAATGTAAACACACACTGTGTGCAGCACTGGCATTAGTTCATATGGCAGATCATATGGGTGGGGCGATGTCTCGGGGCGGGGGGTGGGGGGGTAGTGGGCGGCAAATCTTTTTTTTGCCTAGGACGGCAAAAATCCTTGCACCGGCCCTGTCCCTGTTCCTTTATTACACAGTCTGTTTAATTTACAATTTCTTATCTCATTCACTGTTAAAGTTCAATTTACAGAACAGTAGATAAAAGCTTTTAAAGTAAGTTAACATCTGATTGAAAGTAAAAGCATTTTGTTTTCATGCAGGCTGTGTGAGTCACAGCCAGAGGAGGTGTGATTAGGGTTGCATAAACAGAAATAAAAGGGATTTAATTCCTAAATGGCAGATAACTGAGCAGTGATACTTCAGAAGCATGATCTATAAACATAAATTTCTTTATGAAGCTAAAGTTGTTTTGGTGACTATAGTCTCCCTTTAAGTTTAAACATATTTCTTCCTTGTTCCAAAAATCTACGAATTAGCCCACCAGTGTTTACTGGTCTTTTATTTTCTGGGAGATCAACCAGAGATGCTCATAGGGTGTGTACTAGCTTCAAATGTAGTTATTCTATTTGATGTGTTGCTGCTAAACTGGTATAAATCTTATATAGAAAACAAAAATTATAGGTCACGCCACAATAGAAACAAATGATATGATATAATAAAATAAATAAATAATAAAACCAATATTGTACTAAAAGACAAAATATTTAAAAGGAATAGTACTGGTATTAAGATACAGGAAAAATAAAAATAGGTCACGTCACAGTAGACAATGAAATAATATGATTACAGTAGTGTACTTACATAAATAAGACAAAACGAAATATACAATAGTCCTGATTTTACTCCAGTAGTGTACACTGTATCAAACAGTAGAGCGGAAAGGAAACTTCACAGCAATGGTATTCCTACTCACCTATTTAAGAGCTAGTCCAAAGCTCAGGTGTGGATAGCATTCAGTGGCATTGATCTCCCACTGGTAGGATGTAGGTGGTGATTGATGACGTGTAGCTTGAAGTGAAGGTTTTCTTGATGTGAGGAAAAAATACAACAAAAAATAGTGGTCTCTGTATATAACAAATAAAAAGATAATAATAAAAAGGTATTATACTCACATTTGAGTGAGCAGGGTATACTGCTCACTATCATAGCGTGGGTGGTATAATCCCCACCTTAGGATTCTTGGATGAGTATATACTGCGATATTCTTGGTGTCCAGGTTAAAAAATAATAAATAAAATGATTTGTAAAAAAGGTGTATGGCACACACAAAGTATAGGGGACAATATTCCTTTAATAGTACAAATTTAAAAAGCAATAAAAACAGCCAAAACATGTTTCCCCAACACAGGGCTTCATCAACTGGCAATAAAATTATCAGTTGATGAAGCCCTGTGTTGGCGAAACACGTTTTGGCTGTTTTTATTGCTTTTTAAATAAAATTGTCACAGGACAGAGACAAATGTTCAATATCTGAACCAAAACAAAACCTAGAATTTGTGTTATGTGTTTGTTTCACTTTCATTTAAGAGTTTCTCTTTAAGTGCATCCATACATACAGTGATCAGCCACAACATTAAAATCACCTGCCTAATATCATGTAGGTCCCCTTGTGCTGCCATAACAGCTATGATGCATCAAAGCATGGACTCCACAAGACCTCTAAACGTGTCTTGTGGTATCGTACACAGATTTTATCAGCAGATCCTTTAAGTGAGATTGGGCCTCCATGGATTGGATTTGTTCTTCCAGCAAATCCCACATATGCTCAATCGGATTGAGATCTGGGGAATTTGGAAGTGAAAACAACACAAATCATTCTTGAAGAATTTTTGCAGTGTGGTATAGTGCATTATCCTGCTGAAAATGGAACATCATCACCATTGCCATGAATGGATGTACGTGGTCTGCAACAATCTCTAGATAGGTGGTACCAGGGCCGGCGCTACCTGTAGAGAGCCTCAGGCAGCTGCAGCTTTGCCCGGGCTGGTGCGTCCATGAGGGAGCACCGCCCAGGCGCAGCATGAGGAGAGGGGCTGACAGGAGGGAAGCGCTCAGCGCTCCCTCCTTTCACTCCCTCACTGTAGCGTGGCCGAGCTCTGTATGGTCCGCGGGTACAGTGAGCATCTGTCTCCTGTACCCGGCCGGACTAACAGGAAGTGCACACTGAGTGTCTCCTGTACCCGGCCGGACTAACAGGAAGTTAGAGTGTGCACTTCCTTTTAGTCCGTGGACCATACAGAGCTCGGCCACGCTACAACAGTGTGGGGGGGGGGAATAGAAGGAAATTGAGAGAGGGAAGGAAACTAGAGGGGGATAAGGGAGGTGGAGGAGGGGAAGAAGAAGGAAATTGGAGAGGGAGGAGAAGAAGGAAATTGGAGAGGGAGGGGAGAAGAAGGAAATTGGAGAGGGGGGAGAAGAAGGAAGAGGGGGGAGAAGAAGGAAATTGGAGATGGGGGAGAAGAAGGAAATTGGAGAGGGGGGAGAAGGAAATTGAGAGGGGGAGAAGGAAATTGATGGGGGGGAGATTGACATCCATCACACACACACAATCACACACAATGCACCCCTTGCACACAGAGAAACACACAATGCATTACACACAAGCAATGCATCCCTTACACACACAGAAACACACAATGCATTCATTACACACACTCAATGCATCCCTTACAGACGCACACACTGCATCCCATACATACACAAACACACCTTGCAGCCCTTGCCCATACAAACACAGATTCACACAATGCATTCCTTACACACATCAGGACATCCCCTACATACTCCACCCCCTGTGAACAAACTCATTGGTGGAACATGAAGGTGGACCCTGGGACCCAGACCTTGAGCTGTGTAAAGGGCCCCCCAAAAATGGAGCTGCTTCTTGTTCTCCCAGAACATTGATTTTTGTGACCACAGTTACAAACCGCCTCCAGAGAGCCTGTTCTACACCAGACCAGTGGAGCCAGACTGCAGCTTGAGCCCATCATCATCCTCATCTGGTTGTGTGTCGGCAATCTAGTATATTATTCGTGGCACTAATCTCTAATTTACCTCACATTAAAGAAACACTACAGTCCCCAGAACCACTGCAGCTTAATGTAGTGGTTCTGGTGTCTATAGCCTGTCCCTGTAGGCCTTTTAATGTAAACACGGCAGCACTGCAGCACTGGCGTTAGTTAACATGACAGATCATATGGGTGGGGCATTATGATGTCACATGGGGGGGCGGCAAACTTTACTTTTGCCTTGGGCAGCAAAAATCCTTGCACCGGCCCTGGGTGGTACATGCCAAAGAAGCATCTACATGAATGCCAAGGGCCCAAGGTTTCCCAGCAGAACATTGCCTAGAGCATAACACTGACTTCTCCAGATAGTGCAGCCTGCTGCTATTTCTTCCCCGGGTAAATTATGCACTTGCACCAGGCCATCCATCAGACCTAAAAGAAAAAGTGATTCATCAGACCTGGCAGAGGTTCTTCCATTGCTCCATGGTGCAATTCTGACACTCATACCCCATTTCATATGGAACTGCAATGTTTTAAATTGCACCCAGACCACTTGAATTAGCTGGAGTGGTCTGGGTGCTTGTAGTGTCCCTTTAAAGAGTTACGCCATCCCCCACGCTGGTAGAAGTCGTCATCGAGTATGCAGTGGTGTATCCTGGTTTTGTGCTGCCCTAGGCAGGACAAAACTCAGACGTCCCCCTCCCCCCGCCCCACCTTCTAAATACACACACACAAACAGTCAGACACACACACACAAACACACAGTCAGACACAAACACACAGTCAGACACAAACACACACACACACACACAGTCAGACACAAACACACACACACAGACACCCACACACAGTCAGACACAAACACACACACACAGTCAGACACACACACACACAATCACTCACATTAACACTTTTAAAAAATTTTTTATTTAACCCCCCTCCTTACCTGTGGGAATGCTGGGGGGGGGGTTTCTTTCTCCCTGGGGTCCAGTGGCTGCCAGTCGGGCTGATGGGCTGGCTGCTGGGCGGGTGGCTGGCGAGGGAGCACTTCCTCTGAGCGGTCTGCTCAGCTCCCTCGCGTGCCGCAGAGTGAGGCTGGGAGCTGGAATATGACGTCATATTCCGGCTCCCAGCCTCACTCTGCAGCGCGCGAGGGAGCTGAGCAGACTGCTCAGAGGAAGTGCTCCCTCGCCAGCCGCCCAGACCAGCGCCCAGCATATCAGTTTAACAAGACATTTGCCCTGGGCATTTGGGCGGCGGCTTTTTAAAAAAAATGCTGCCCAAGGCAAATGCCTTGTTTGCCTCGCGGCTAATACGTCCCTGCGAATATGTATGTGCAACATTTGTTCTTGAAACGTGGCACATACAGTAATATCTTCGTGCAGCACACATGTACTCTGTTCCATGCTGCCTAATGTCAGTTCTGTGCAAAAATTACATTTGCCGTCATCGTCCTGGCAACAGATGTAATGAATTTCTTCCTTGCACTCAGTGCGCCTGAAGCTTCAGTGTCCCCTCTCTTGCTTTTCTTATTTTGTCCAGCACTCCTTCCTCTTCCAGGCTCAGTGTGCTCTCTGAACCAGAACATTCCTATCAAATGCTTCTCTATGAGAAGTATTAGATTAAACTATAGAGCAGAAGGGAGTAACATCAGACGGGGAATGGATGACCCTCGCCTGGTGCTGGATTTAAGGTTTTATATCTAACTCATAGCGATTATAACAGAAAAGGGGGTCCCTAGTTACTAGTGCCCAATAGGGCAATATAACAAAAATTACACCAAGGATAATAAATAGTTAGAGTAACCTTTTAAATAGAATTCAAATGTTAAAAATGTGGGGTATTCCTATACCCAAAGGCATACTAAAAAGGAAGTGGGGCGATCCACACTCATAGTGGGCAGCAGGAGGAGGAATGCAGAGACGCGCAATGCCGTGCTGTCCACATGCTCCACCCTCACAGTGTTTGAGCTGAAGCACTCTGACACTCTGTGCGGGAGACCCTGGAGACGGATCAGCAGGGAGCAGCGAGCAGGCTTAGGATCAGGGTTAGTGCTTGCTAATATTGTTGATTTGTTTTGTTTTTTGTTTAACCCCTTAAAGGACCACTATAGTGCCAGGAAAACATACTCGTTTTCTTGGCACTATAGTGCCCTGAGGGTGCCCCCACCCTCAGGGACCCCCTCCTGCCGGGCTCTGGGGAGAGGAAGGGTTTAAACACTCACCTTTCTCCAGCGCCGGGCGGGGAGCTCTCCTCCTCCTCTCCGCCTCCGATCCTTCTCTTCGGCTGAATGCACAATGCTTTCCTATGGACGCTGGCGTCTTCTCACTGTGATTTTCACAGTGAGAAGCACGCAAACGCCTCTAGCAGCTATCAATGAGACAGCCACTAGAGGATTTGGAGGCTGGATTAACCCTATTATAAACATAGCAGTCAACCCTAGAGGGACCTGGCACCCAGACCACTTCATTAAGCTGAAGTGGTCTGGGTGCCTAGAGTGGTCCTTTAAGGACACATGACATGTGTGACATGTCATGATTCCCTTTTATTCCAGAAGTTTGGTCCTTAAGGGGTTAAAAGTGTTTTTTGTGCAGGGGTCTTGTAGAGGGAGGTGGGGCAGGGGTGTTTGTGAATAGGGGGTGCATTGGGCTGTATGTAGTGCGGGGGTATTGTAGAGGGGGATGCAGAAGTTTTTGTAGAGAGGGGGCAGGGATTTTTGTAAATGGGGGGGCACTTTTTTTTTAAGGCGGGCATGTTTTTTGTAGAGGCAGCAGGGGATTTGAAAAAGTGGGACTGGGCATTGGTTTTGTAGCAGGGGGCTTGTAGAAGGGGGGCTGGGCAGGGGATTTGTAGAAGGGGGAATAGGCAGGTTTTTTTTGTAGAGTAGAGAGGGCAGGGGTTTTGTAGAAATGGGGGTTGTATTGCACAGACAGTTAGTATTGTTTTTGTGTACACTTATGTGGCATGTGTATTATTATGAAAAATATTTTTGCAAATCTTGAAAATTGATTATACAAACTACAAACATATCCCAGCAAAATAGAACATTGAAATTATTATTAAGTTAAGAAAACTTTGACTGAATCAGCAAGAACACTAATGCAACAATTGAAAGAACACAATAATATAATGTGGAGGGAGGGTAGTAATGGTAGAATGGGAAGGTTCTAGAATTGTATTGAGGTGAAAAGGTTAATGCTGAATTTTGTTACACCATTACATAGTAATCTGGGTTGAAGAAATACTCAAGCCCATGAAGTTCAACATGTATAACTGTTAAAACCCATTCCTTTATGTTGTTGATCCAAAAAAAGAGAAAAGGGCATATTTAGAAAAAGCTGAAATGTTCCTTATCTGCCAACAATGGACACTTCTGAACTCCATCTGCTAAATGCCTGTGTGCCTGAGCAGAATGCTTAGCTTGTTTAAAAAGGCAGAAGGCAGACGAAGGAATGGTAGTATTTATAGCGACTGCGTTCATAATTGGGCTGCGTGGTGATGATAAAAATACATGCTGATAATATATACATCTAATTGTTTCTCACAGTCAAATGTTTGGAGACAGATGTCAGACATAAGCATGAACAATCACACAAATCATTAACATCATGTAAAAACAGATGCTGCTAACCCAGCTGCATTGACTTTTACATGTTTTAAAATATGTACACTGTACATCCATGCTGTTTGGATTCTATAGTCCATCTTTAGACCTAAGTCCTTGTGACGGTCTGAATATGTGTTACCATCTGTCATTCCCTTATTTCCATAAAATAATATCGCCAATAATCCTCAGGGTAAAATATTGCTGGTATCGCATAATAATCCACTCATGAACCAAAGCTTAATGCGGGAACAAGACTGGTTTAATGGAAGGCAAAGGCATTCAATCTATACTGCATCAAACTCCTCCTCTGAGCCAGCAAGATAATTGAGCTTTGGAAACATACTAAACTCAATTATCTGCTGGCCAGAAAAATCTTACAATTTCACATTTTCCAGAAATATCATAAACAGACATAAAACCCCACAAAAAACATATCCCTGGGTAACTGAGCTTGATGGGAGTAACATATGAAAAATTTAGACATCCGTTCGGTAGTTTTCTAATGGCACTGTGTGAAAGTTTGACCGGTCTGCCACGAGGGTGAATCCGAAAAAGAGTTCCATAGAATTGGTAGCAAGAGCCGGTCTGCGTTCGCGTGGATTTGTACGAAAACCACCATAGATGGAGTAAAGCTGATTTGTGTAGAATGCTCCTCTTGTTCGTCTGATTGAAACTCGATTGAAAGTAGTACGTATGGGACTTCCATAAAGACCGGTGTTCGTGCGAGTGCCATGCCCAAAACAGTTCCAGGCACTCGACGACCAAGTCTCGCTGCCCGTGTTCGGGAGAAAAGATGGCCGCCGTCCATTGTTCTCACCACGTGCGTTCATATGCACGAAATGGCAGCCACCTAGGAGCATTCAATTACTCTGCGGTTTTCGTATAGTTACACAGTGTTCCACGTTCCAATTAGTACCCAGGGTGGTCTCCGTTCGGTAAAACAAATGATTTACCGAGCAACGAAAAATAAAACAGATAAACAAGGGAATTAGGTAGCAGGGAGGGGAAATAACGGTTACTGGGGAATCCTTCACAGTCCTCAAGTAGGCTGCCTGTGGAATTTCTTCTCTAATGATAACTATATGTATACACAGTCAGCATACCTACCAACAGTCCAGGTTCCAGTTCGTGCTGCTGTCCTGCTGTCCCAGGTTGGTTTCCTGTTGTTCCCTGATATCTTCAGAAAAAACACAAAGAAAGTGCATCAGCAGAAACATGCTGTGCTGTATGGACACACATGCATAGTCATTGGCCCTAAGACTAGGCACAGATTTCTTCAGCAGTGCACTGTCTATCTTGAGTGTGGCTCGATAGGGAGGTGGTCAGTCAGCCTGGGTTGCATTCACCGATGCTTCCCTCTTTGGATGGCCCCACTCCTTTTCCAAAAAGGACTGTTTCAGGTCCTGAAACATGTGGCGTTACTGGAATATTTCCATAGGCTTGTCCACCTCCCTTTCTGACTTCATATCTTCAAATGTTGGGAAGTATAAAATGGCCATGCTTTTGTAGGTTAAAGGGGCATATATACCTATATATCTTTCAGAATTGTTCTGCCAAAGGCATGATGATTGGGCTCAATGCTTCTCTATGAGAGGCATCCAGGTGGTTGAGCATAGTGATTGGTTCACATGCCTAGTAGGTCCCTAGTGCTTGTTTCTAAAACACATTGGATTAGACCAGAGATCATCTGGACAGAGTAGGAGTGATTGCAGCAGAGAGACTGCCTGGTGTTGATAAAAAGATGAGTAAAACAAGGCTTTTTATATTTGAAAACTATAAGTCTAGTAAGATGCTTATTTTTGATGTTAGAGTGTTACTTTAACCAAGGCTATACATGGCTCAGCAGGAGAGAGTAAGGACAAATCGACTCTCATTACAGTGTGCCAGGGCGCACACCGCATGTCCCTTTTACATTGCCATGACTTTGTTGACTTTGACGTGAATTTCATTCAAGGGGTTCATTAGTTAAAATATTTTGGGATCACAGGTAGTTTAAGTATCTGTGACTTCTTTTAGTTTTCTCTATGAGTAAAATGTTGTGTTTTTAATTTGTACAAGCATTGTAATTAAATATAAAAGAACACTATAGTGTTGGACTACATGTTTGGGACACCGGGCCTCATCAGTAAGGAGTAAAAAGTAACTTTACTTACCTTTTCTCCATCACCGCTCTGGTCTCGCTGTGGCTGGACCCTTCTCTATGGCTGAGATCATGAGTCTTGATGTTCTCAGTCAATCCAATGCTTTTTCCATAGGAAAGCATTAGGAAGCTGTTGTGTAAAAGCTATTTTGGAACCTATTGTGTAAAGGGACTATAGTGTCCTTTTAACTTTGATATCCAGTGTCAACAAATATTTTAGTTCATCACCTTACTATTAGCTGCAATATGCTTTTGAAAGAAAAAAAATACAAAGCTACAACTACATCCCACAATTCACTTAATTTACAATCATAGATGGAAATATCTACGCCTATTTTTTTGGTTAAAGAGCATAATAAATTATTTTTGTCGATGGTGATAAAATTGCAGGTTGTACAGCCTTCAGTAGCAAGCTAAAAAGTGAATTACAACTCCCCAAAAGCCTGTTGTGCCATAACCCCTTGTGGTATGGAGGTGGTTTAGAAAGCTGTGACGATACTAGCTTAACGTTAGTCACCTCCTGGTATGATGATCACTCCAGACCGTTAAACAACTTTCGTTTCCTGAAAAGCTTTATGTGTGAAGAGTGTGTCCTCTTTTTTTCATATTGCAAAAAGTGCAGATTTCGATAGAATTTTATAATTTTATAAATCAACCTGGTTTCAAGCAGAAAGACAGTAATGTTACTTCCTGGTTTGGTTAGCTCAATAAAGCTAAACTCGCCAAACAGCATGGGGAGCAGAGAAACTGTCACACCACAAAGCATACACCCCCACCACCCAAGGCACTCACACAGGACCGGGAGGCAACGGCGGAGTCCCTCTAGCTTCCATGATCGGCGACGCCAAGGCCCCATGGGACTTTCCAGTATGTGCCCTGCAAGTGCCGACTACAGGAGTAGGCTGACTTTCACTGACTCTCACTGCCGCACTGCGGCCGGTACTGCTGTCATGCCACCACATCCATGCAGTTATAGAGGACTATGTCTCGCAATATTTTCAAGCCTGACCTCCCTGAAACAGACTAACGTTAGCAATGTTATAACATGTTTTTACAGCGTAGAATAGCCCGAATATTAATCGTATGCCATATCCTTTCATGTTGAACTATGTCGCCCACCTAATGCGACCTTAACTTGTGTTGAGTAACTTATAAGTGATATGCTTATCTATACAGTCAAACTAGCCAGGTACCGGCAACACAGCGGATTAGACTTCAGGGGCCTATATCATAACCTAGCATATCTAGCAATGCCCTCACTTTATGTTTCCCACAGTTAACTTGCAAGCACTGTACTTGATTAGCATGCATACTCTTCATATAAAGCGTAGATTAAACTAGTAAATTTAAATGTAATGCCTAACCAATATAAATATATGTTCTGTTCATGCATCTATATACAAAAATGTGCACTGCTCAAATGCCATAAATGGAACATCAATACGATATGTCTATGCTTACTAACGCTGTTGTGGCAGAGTAAGCTGTTTTGTCTATCCATGCACTCAAAAATAAAGAATTAAAAAAAATTAAAAAAAATAAAGCTAAACTCAAGAGGCAGCAACTGCTCAGAGCACCTGCCTTACAATGACTTCTCATTGAGCTGCATTGGAAAGTCTGTGATTGGACAGCAACAGAAAGTCTGGGCGGGGTTAGAAGATGAACAGTGATTTGTATTTTTTTATAGTTGGGTAGTGAAGTACCCCTTTACAGCTACATTGTTGTTAAAAAAATGCAATACCTTTAATATAAGTACTTTTTTTTTGCCCCATCATAACAGCCCAGGTTTTTTTTGTCTTGTGTTCAGCCCACTAACATGGTGGACTGGTGATTAGATGTTTGCCTGCAACTTGGAGTGCTAACATGCACTTTATTCATTATATTCAGATTTGGTTTTAAAATGTATTTACTTGCTGTTTCAGTTCATTTTGTACATCCTCCAATGGCGTGTTCGTAAGTCTTTGTCCACAGCCATTGGTTGTGTCTTCCAGTGTTTCCAAAATCATATTGTGACTGCTGTCTCCTCTTGTTAATGAATTGATTATGCTGAAGATCATATTCAGATAGGTTGTAGGTATATCCCTGGACTACCGATGATACAGACTTTCCAGGAATTTACATAAATCAGCCTAATTAGCTATGGGAGACCAAGCTGGGAGTGATAGGAATTGTTTCGAAGATGATTTGTGGTGTCAGATCAGTCAAAATTAATTCTGATGCTAGTGCCCTGAAAATATTTTATAAAGTACTCTCACCGCTGTCACCGCATGTCAGTATTAGTACAATGTCTAGTTAAAAAAAATAACTAGAATCTTGTACCTAAATAAAAAAACACTTTTTAACGTGTGCATTAAATATTGTTCTGTTCATTTGCTGTTTTGATACACTGTGGCAGCATGTCCACGCAACACAGAGATAAGGTTAATTGCCTTCTGTGCATTTTGCATGTTTTATTAAAATCTGATTATACAGCGATCCTTGGATCTTTCAGTTGGTTGAGATTTCTTCAAGGTCGGTGCGCACTAAGAATATTAAACAGTCAATTTAGCTTGCAGTTTATATAAGTACTCTGCTTCAGTCCTTGTTACTCTACAGCAGACCACATTTACAGGAGATCCCAAAACACTTAAGGTTAAGCATCACTGCTATTCTAGAGTAAAAGAGGTTCCTGGTACAGATAACTACTGGAATACAGCTCCCAGCTTCCTCTGGCAGTCTTTTGGCTTAAAAGCTCCAGTGATAACATGTCACTCGTAATATTAGAGCTTAGTCCTCATCTAGGCAAGGGCATGTTTGTTAGTTATGACCATCCATTCAAAACAATATAGAGGGTACCTGAGATCCCAGAGTGATATTGCAATGTAAATATTAGCATTATTAGAGAACTGGGCCTCTGTGTTTTATATTAGTTCACCCGACATCGCTTGAGTATTATCTTTCCTTAAAATACTAACTAAAAATATGTAATATTTGCATTAGGTATGTTTTGAGTTTATTTATGGCAGTTTGAATGTTATTCCATTTACTTTTTATTGCTTACTTAACATTACAATTCATACCTAGGAGGCGACCCAAATCTCCATTCTTCTGCTCCATATTGATGAGTTTTTCAGGGCAAGCCAGGACACCCCTCTAATGCTAAGAGCAGGATTCATTAAGATTCACGTTGAGATGAGCCATTGCACACCATAAAATATAAATCTGAATTTGGCAGAGATCTTGTTTGTTTTGCCAATGTGCACGCCATTGTACAAAGCCTCCTGTCTTTTTCCCAGGTCTGTGGCAGCCGGCACTGCCAAGCAGCACAGATTTTAGAAGATTTAAATCCTATATGTTTCAGATGATTTAGCTAAACATTTCACTTCTGTCCACTGGAAACAAGCAGGCTGAAGATACACAGACATTAAACAATACATAAAAAAGAATTAGTCTGCACAGCACTGGTGGAACCACAGCCTAAATATTGAAAGATTGGATTTTTTGTCTGTCTAATTTATTTTCCAAGGAGGATAAGCTATAAAGCCAAGATCTGTTTTACAGACCTCTAATTTACAAGGCTTATTGTAAATGCTTCTAACATTAGATAGCAGATACTATGCCATACAATAACATACTCTAACATACCATTGAGAATGAGACCTGGTTAGTGAGAAGGGGTAGTTGTGACAATTCCTTCATCTATTGTTTTAAAAGAAATGTAAAGTTCGAAGTTAATTAAGTGATTCTGTTGGTAATTATAAGGATTGTTCCTGTATATAGTTAAGACCCCATGTTCTAGATATTTTCTTGAAGGTTCTCCAGACCTCTATGGGAAATATTTATGAAACTGTTCTGAAAAGTGGCAGTTAAATTACATCAATATATTTTTATTGTATTTATTAAAGTAATCTAAAAAGTGACATCTCTTTTCATAGTAAATCCCGATAGTTTTTGCTGAAATTTCCATTTAAGAAGACTGACAAATTTATGACAGAAAAATTCTGTCAACTTTCTTTTTTAAAAAGTGGCAAATATATTTATAAATCTACCGTGTTAGCAAAACAATGTTGCATATTCAAAAATGAGAGGGAGCAAAAAAAGCAACAAACGTAAAAATCGGAAACATTTAAAGGGACAGTAAAGGGTCAGGAACACGAACATGTATTCCTGATCCTGAGCCTCTAGTGTTAAAACCACCATCCAGTCCCCCTGGCCACCTCTTGCCTCCTTAAATATAGTAAAATCTTACTTGCATTCAAATCTGCAGTTACTGGCTCTGCCCCTATCTGCCTCTAAAACTGCCTGCTGTCTGCTGACATCATCAGAAGTGGTGATCTGAGCCAATCACAATGCTTTCCCATAGGATTGTTAAGGAGGCAGATCAGGGGCAGAGCCATCACAAGTCAAATACAGCCCTGACCAGTCAGCATCTCCTCATAGAGATGCATTGAATCAATGAGTAAAGTTTAGTGTCTCTATGCAGAGGGTGGAGACACTGAATGACAGTGCTGCTCACTGTGCAGCCCTGCCCCAGGAAGCACTTCTAGCAACCATCTGAGCAATGGCCAGTGGAGTTATTACTAGGCTGTAATGTTAACACTGCATTTTCTCTGAAAAGACAGTGTTTACAGTAAAAGGCTTGAGGGGAAAGATTCTACTCATCAGAACAAATTCAATTAGCTATAGTTGTTCCGGTGACTATAGTGTCCATTTAATTAATTGTGCTTTGTTGATAATTACACAGGTAAGTGTCGCCAACACCTTAATAAATCACACCTATGGCTCAAGTGGCAAAGCCCCAGGTGCAATATAAGAAAGGTATTTCCTCTGCCCCGTTTAAGGTTTAGGACATTGCACCTGTCACAGACCCTTTGTTTGTATGGAACAATCTTGTTGTGCATTAGACCAGGGGTAGGCAACCTTTGGCACTCCAGATGTTGTGGACTACATCCCCCATAATGCTCTTACACCTATAATGCTGGCAAAACATCATGGGAGATGTAGTCCAAAACATCTGGAGTGCCGAAGGTTGCCTATGCCTGCATTAGACTAAAAAGGTGTTAATTGACATAAAGATTAACACAGCACAAATAGATATTGCATAACACAGCTGCTGGTCCTGATCAATAATAACCTGTAGGCACCTGTAGATACACGTAAACATAGATGCACACTCACACACACATAGATACATACTCACACATACATAGACACTTACATACTTTGCAACTTGATTAGGGTGCTGGACAGCCTATAAGTGATCATTAGGGAGAGAGAGAAAATCACCCTCATCTGTTTGTGGTGTCTAATGTTTGGGAAACAGGAAAGCTGTGCATTGTTAGCACAGTCTTCCTTGCTGTTCCCATTCAATGCATTGTACTAACAACCTGCCGTAGGTGTTGTGTTGTGATGTGACCTCCTATCCCAGCACTGGCTGCCTGTCTCTGTGTAAACATGCAGTTGCAGTTAATGACATTAAAGGGACACTCCACTGCCAAAATTCAAAATAAATAAAAATCAGTGTTTAATATATATATCCCAAATTAACATATGCATGCATATGGTTTCCTTACTGCTAATTAATTCATGATCTGTCAATCTGCAGCACATCTATGCGTATGTCTACGTATGCTATAGATCACTGTAATAAACACGTTGACAAGGAAAATATAGAACAAGTGCGATTCAACACTCTGCAGCAACTATCTTAACACTTCGTACAGCACAAATGTGACCTATTCCTAGCATGTGTTACCAGCGTAAATTAGAGCTTGTAAATTCGTGCCAAATGTTTATCTCTCATTGAATGATTCTGCCTACCACCATGTGCAGTACTGTACAGTTCCATACCGTGGTCTACAAAGGCTGAGTAGAAGGTTACAATAAAGTACAGAGAAGTTCTTTAGGTATTTATTAAGTTATGATAATTTCTGATTTCAGATACATAACAGACCTTAAAATTCTAGCATGCGCAGGCCTTCCTATGCCTTCAGCGCTTTCATTGTAATGTGTGATATGTTGCTACCTGAGCAAATGGCATAAACAATAAGCGGTAACATAATCTCATCCACGAAATGACTAACATCTGCTGCCTTTCACTTTTCTGCACAATTTTACAAATCCCAGATTGTCATTCAAGAACTTACATTTTTGTTTTTATTGTGATAGCAGAGTCTTTCTCTCTTCAAACCTTGTAAAATAACCTATTGGACAGTACTGCACAAATTGCTGCCACCTTACAAATAATAAAACATCCCTGCCTGCTTGCTTGTATTGTTTGGGTCCAATTATTGCACTTTAGAGGTGGCTAAAGGACCCATAACAGTCTGATTTGTTGAGCGTGATTCAGGATAGAGGGATTTCATCTGTGCTGCTGTCAAACTGGTGGTCACACATGTGTAGCTATTTATTTTTTTAAATGAAACATGATTTAATAACTCTATATTAACGTGCATTAATGAACAGTAGCAAAATTCCTGTATCCTCTGTATCCTTTAGTATCGGCTGTTGAATTTGTGGACCAAGGGATTTTTTTCAGGTTGTGAGGCTTGCTGTTATTATGTTGTCATGGATCCTTTCTTCCTCTCTGGGCTTCCCAGGGAGACCTGACATTTGTTGCTTTATTCATTTGTTTGTGTGTTGTCACTCTCTCTCTCACAGCACATAAAGGTTTCGGTTATTTGATGCTAAGCAAATTGTTTGATGCTGGGCAGGTTAGTTAGGTATCTTAGCTATTCGTGCTGAATACTACAACTTCTGGTTATTTTATTGTTAGTAGCTTTGGGTTTTAATTTCAGGACAGCACTAAATGCTCTTTGACATTTACACTACCAAGATTCTAATAATCCACTGTTTACCTATCCTGGCAATAGGCAACCATACAGAGTCATAATTCTGTAAGCTCATTACATTATAGGAGAATAATTTAATTAAAAAAATGTAAATGTGTAGATGCTAGTATTGGTGTGTCAAACCATTCAGAGAAAAGGCTGTGTTTACATTACTGTCTAGAAACAACTCTAGTGGCAGTCACTCAGCCACTAGAGGTGTCTTCTGGGTCAGGGTTGCACAGTGTGCAGCACTGACGTTCAGCGTCCCCACGCTCTGCATGGAGGTGCTGAACGCTCCTCATAAAGATGCATTGATTCAATGCATATTTATGAGGAGATGCTGATTGCGCATGCGCAATACCCTGTCAGTGCTTTCCTATGGGAAAGAATTGAATTGCCTGAGATTATCATTAATTTGATGATCTCAACCAAGGAGGCTGAACGTGTCCAGCTGTGACAGACCCACGCATGCTGGAAAAACGGTGACGTAAATCACCTTTTTAACGCTGGTAAGAAAGGGCCTGGAGCTAAACGGCGCATTTAGACCTCTAGTGTCAGGAATAGATGTTTGTATTCCTGACACTAAACTGTTACTTCAATATTGGGTGCTGAAAGAGTAGGAGGCTTCTCAAAAAATTGAGGAAGAGAAAGAGCCGTTCTGTGGTCAATTGATTCGATAGGAATAAGTGAGGTTTTTAGCTGGTATTATAGCACATTAATTATATCTGCACTGGAAATTTATCTTAGGGTAAAAATAATTAACCAACAAACATTAATATTCAATCATGTCAATGTTGACGTTATACAGGAAAGGTCTCTAGGTAAGTGTCGGAGTGAGCAAACTTTGATAGGAGACTTGTCACGGCGCATGCTGCAGCTACTTCTACATCAAATTATAGATGGAGGAGACTCTATATGTTGAATGACAGGAACAGGGCGGCTGGTCCCAGGTTTAAGATCCAGACCTTGTGAATCTGTTCTCAGCACAAGGAAACACGATAACAAGCTTGTACTCCACGGACTATCTTTTTAAAAGACAGGCTTTCATCAGTAACAGTTATTCTGGGAACTAGCAAGCCATGTAGTCTGTCCCGTGTAGTTGACAGGTTATGTAGGTTAAGTAGAGTAATTTTTTGGGAAGCACAGCACATAAGGAGTTGTAGGGAGTTTCTGTCCCACACAGCATGTTACTAGCACAGAAAGTGGGCAAGCTGAACAGGGGGATTAGTGTGGATGGCTCCTTCTATCTATATTGTGTGAAGTGCAGGTAATACATAGTGTATATATATTTTACTTTGAAATTACATTTTAAACAGTTCTCCTCAAGTTCTGAAATTAATTATTTCGATGTTATATTAGAAATAAGTAAAAATAAACACTGTTTTGTATATTAACCATGCTTTTACTTTGTGTCTTTTTAAAGACATTATTATAACTATATGGCTTAACTAATCCATTTAATAATCCATAGAATATTTGGTTGGAAAATGTTTTTTACTTTTATCCATAATGATATTCAAAGATATCCACTCTCCCAAGGACCTCACACTTTCCTGATGACCTTGCAAAAAAAAAACAACAAAAGAGCACGAGAACTCTGAGAGAGCCTAAAAGTTTAGAGAAACTCAATAGCTTGCCCTTCGGTTATTCCCCGCTCAGGTCTCAAACTAGTTTTTCTCACTTGTGCCATTTTAGAGTGAACCTATACCATTTGCAGATCAGGCTGATCCCACCTACAAGGGCAGATCTGATGCAAAATGCCAGCAAGTTCCCTCTGAGCAAGAGATACACAACAATCGTTTCAGCCTTCTCTGAGCCTCATCAGCAAGGTGTAGCTGATACCCCTCTAGGCACTGTGAGCATGGGGTCTGGATTATTCTTTTAACTTAGGGAGAGCCAAGTTAATGCATTGCTACAAAAACCAAGGATATGAGAACTCTGAGACAAAAGTTTAGAATGGCAGTACAGATCCGAAGTGCCAGCAAGTTCCTTCTTCACGAGAGATCACTTCGGATCTGTACTGCCATTGTGGTTTGATCTGAACATGCTCCTCATACCTAAAAAAAATGTGCTGTTAACACATATGCCATGTTATTGGTTACTTCGGAATATTTATGATGGCTTGTTCCTGCTATTGTGGCATTACAAGCATTTTGTTATTCTGAACACAGAAAAATAAAGATTGACAAAAAAAATATCAGGCTGGTAGAAATATGTACCACAAGTTACAAAATATGTAAAAATAAATCTTCAGAATCTCTGTAGTGGTTATGGTGCCAGATGTGCCCTGGCATCCCCAATTATATGGAGTCAGACTGCTTTTGAATGGTTTGATTATGCAGGAACATAAAGGGACACTATAGTCACCAGAACAACTACAGCTTAATGTAGTTGTTCTCGTGAGTATAATCATTATATGCAGGCATTTTCATGCAAACACTGCCTTTTCAGAGAAAAGGCAGTGTTTACATTGCCCCTAGGGACACCTCCAAGTGGCCACTGGAGGTGCTTCCTGGCTCAGTGCAGCACTGCTGTTCAGAATCCCCACGCTCTGCATAGAGACACTGAATTTTCCTCATAGAGATGCATTGATTCAGTGCATCTCTATAAGGAGGTGCTGATTGGCCAAAACGGGAAAAAGTGGGAAAGCATTGGATTGGGTAAAATCGGCAATTCTGATGATGTCACCAAGGGGACAGGGACAATGCCGGCGGACCTGCACGGCCCTGGAAATAAGGTGCGTTTTTCATGCTATTAAGGATTTGGCACTATAGGGGCAGGAATACATGTTTGTGTTCCTGACCCTATAGTGTTCCTTTAATTTAGCTCTCCTGAGCTAAGCCCTGCAATGCAGAACTTAGCTCATTGGCTGAGAGCATTCAGCTTACGTTCTCATGCAAGGAGGTAAACTCTGCATTGCAAGGATTAGCTCAGGAGCGCTAATTGAAATTCCTGCTTAGGAATTCTGACTCTATTGTGCTGATAGTGGTGACAGGGACCCGAATCTGCAAAACCCAGGTAAGAAGTAAAACTGTTTTTAAATGTGTGTCCGGGGGGGTCAAAGCACTCCTGGCACCATAACCAGTACAGCGAGCTGTAGTGGTTATGGTTCTTGGATTGTTGTTTTAAAGCCTGCCTTTATTTGTTCTTCTTAGATGACAAAAAAAATCTAAGGTAACATAGGTCAACAGGCAGGAGCTATACAGAGTTGGACACCAATGCTTTGGGAGGCTATAGTGCGTGACAAAACACTATGCTGTGCCAATCAGCATCTCCTGAATTGAATCACTGCAGCTCTATAGGGAATGTAGGTGCTGCATTGGACTAGGAAGCACCTCTAATGGCCGTCTGAGTTATTGACACTAGAGGTGTTACTAGCCAGCAATGTAAACACAGTGCTAGGACTGCAGAGACTGGCTTAGGCCCCAGAACCCACGACATTAAGCTGGTGACTATAGTGTCCCCTCAAGTCGGTTTTTCTTTTGTTTCCCGTTAACCTTGCTATATGTCAGCTTATGTATTGTCCTTATTACATTAATGCCATTACACACAGTAATAAGCTGACTCCCACGAAGAAAATGTAAAAATTCAAATGCAGCATTACACAAGCACATGGATCGATAAAACTATCAATATAATGATCCTATGAGCTCTGCGGAGAAACGAGCAGTTGTACAGACAAATTGAATATATTAACTGAAGAACTAAATGTACTGAAATAATTTAGAACAATAGCAACTATTGGCCATTCTGCGTATATAGCCTACATCCTGACAGAAAGCCAAATGCTGTGCTTCTACACCCCATCGTTTCCCCTTCCCTTTATTTTCTGGATTGTGAAGGTCAGATATTTGGTAAATAGGCTATGAAAGGTAAGTTATTTTCCCCTGTAGTGATGCATAAAGAAATTACTGCTTTAGAGTGTTTTTACTGTGTTAAATTGTGTATTGTATAGTAATATCTGCTATCTGAGCTGATTATATTTTCATATTGGATGGATCTACTCTCTACACATACCGTACTCTGTATATGGAGTTCCCTCTTTTATGGGAAAGTAGTCAAAACTTTTAAGGTCTGCTGGGGGCACGCCGCCACCTCCTACAAGCAGTTTCCATTAGCTCCACTGAGCTTGCCCTGCCATGTAGTACTGGCTTATTGCCTGAGAGTGTCAGCTGAGTGCTCTCAGCCAATGAGTACCTTCCTGCACTGCAGGACAAAGCTAAATGCAGAGCTTTCTGGCAATAGGGGAGGTGGTGATGGATGCCCTCCGGATCCCAGGTAAGTTGTCAAACTGTTCACAAACATTTTGGCTACTTACCCTGGGAGTTTGTTATGGCACTCCTGGCACCATAATCACTGCAACTGGCTGTAGGTATAATACTTTCTTCAATATTTGGAGCTAAAATCAGGCTTTTTTTTTTTCTTTTTTTCTTAACTGTTTGGCATCTAGAAAGGCAGACTCCCCTGTCTAAAATTCTACATTTCTTTAAAATGTAGAAATGTAATTAAAAATAAATACCAGGATAAAGTTTGCTAAATAATGATGCTGCATGTTACAGATATCCTATAGTGCCAGGAAAACAAACCAGTTTTCCTGGCACTATAGGCTCTTGGAGTGCCCACCTCCCTCTGTGCTGAATGGGTTAAAACCCCTTCAGCCGCTTACCTTAATCCAGCTCCCTCGGCGCTGGTGACCTCTCCTCCCGCGTCAACATCAGCTCCCGAGTGGAGCCGAATGCGCATGCTTTCCTATGGGGATCTTATTTGACGCTGGACTCCGTGAGGACGTCCAGCGTCAAATAAGTGTGATTTACTCAGTGTAAATCACGGAAGCGCCTCTAGTGGCTGTCAGGGAGACAGCCACTAGAGGCTGGATTAACCCTTCAATGTAAACATAGCAGTTTCTCTGAAAACAAAATAATGCAACGAGAAAGAATAACCTGATGAACTTATGTGTATTCTTGCTAGAAGAAGAGCTTGTTTTTTTAGAATTTCAGACTATTACTAGAAAGTATGGACCCATAGTGAGTTTTCCCGTCGTTATTGAGTAATTGTTTTGAATGTTCTTTGATTGCAGTTTACAATTGCCTGCTGTTAAGCTTTGTATGTTTTATATGGTCCAGCACAATCCTATTGTATTTGTTTAATTGCTAAATGCTGTGCTTCTACACCCCATCATTTCCCCTTCCCTTTACTATACTATAGGCAATTATTATTTCACTTTAGTTTAATACAATTCTAATCATTTCTATACTATACGCATAAATGGCCATCTCAATCAAACATTAAAATAATTTAAAAAAATAAAATGAATCTTAACTTTATTAAGAATATGTGCTCAAGCCGTCCACTACCAAAATCATGTTTGTGTTACTTTTATTTTATGGCTTCAAAATTGTAAAAATAATATCAGGAAGTATTACTTTACTGAGAGGTTAGTGGATGCATGGAATAGCCTTCCAGCTGAAGTGGTAGAGGTTAACACAGTAAAGGAGTTTAAGCCTGCGTGGGATAGGTATAAGGCTATCCTAACTATAAGATAAGGCCAGGGACTAATGAAAGTATTTAGAAAATTGGGCAGACTAGATGGGCCGAATGGTTCTTATCTGCCGTCACATTCTATGTTTCTATGTTAAAGCAATGCTTTATATGATTTAGTTTATACAAAGCCTTAAGGGACACTGTAAGCACCCAGACCACTTCAGCTCATTGAAGAGGTCTGGGTGCAATGTCCCATGTCCCTTAACCCTTCAGTGGTAATTATTTGCAGTTTCTGAGTGTTAACTTCACTTTTAGTGTCCGTCTTCCAGAAACAGTACAGAACATGAATTGTCTTTAAGATGACATACAGTGTCTTGCATACATTTGTACACGGTGTAACAGTGCATTGTAACTGTATTGATGTAGATAGGCATTTGCCTACATGCAATCTTGCAACATTCTGTTGGCATGCTGTACTTGCCTCCAGGTTCCTTACTAATACAAATAAAAAGAATATTCAACTATTTTTATCTGTTTTTTTCCTCACATTTTCAATGTGTTCTTAGACAGTCAGATGCTGGATGCAGATCTAAATTTGTGCTCACTGAACTGTGTGTCAAATGTGTATCCACACCATCTAGTATCACCAAAACAGTGCAGATTGATGGCCTCATTTGCTAAGACTATTTAAACCCTCTATTCCAGCTATAGTGTTCTTTTGAGGTTTCTACACCCGCATGTGGGTTCTTGTTGATTTCTTATTTTAACTTGGCTTATTTATTTGAGGATCCTAATTTCTGTTATCCTGACCTAGGTAGTTTACTTGTTTTGTTGTATCTCCATATCCCTGTCCTTATGGGTTTAGGCTTGTTACTGACTGTAGTTTTTCCTTTTCTTTGCCAGCATTAAACCTGGTCACTCTAAGAACCAGTAATAGGCCGTAATCTTTATCTAACGACTGTTTTTAGTTGTTAGAATTAAATCAAAGCCAAAGTTGGAGAACAGTAGAAGCCATGTAATTTGCAGCTACATCTCCTCAGGGAATTTGTGCAAAATTAAATAAATAACAAACTGGAAACAGACAACGCACTGAATTTCTAGAAAGCAGTCAGTAAACTAATAGAAAGTGCTTAACATAATTTAAAGAAAATGCATTAACAATGATTTGGGGTTTGGAATTGTGTTTATGGACTACAGCGGAAATTAGAATGGGTTAAAACTAACCTTATTTCCTTATAGGAAATCATTGGATTGGCTAAAAATTGTAAGTTGTGATGTCAGCAAAGAGGCGGATCGGGGGTCTCCTTGGTGACATCATCAGAATTTACGATTTGTAGCCAATCCATCAGGTGGGATGGGGGTGGGGACAAATGCTGGTTTAACCAATCAGCACCTACTCATAGAGATGCATTGAATCAATACTGAGCGTGGAGGCGCTGAAAGGCAGTGCTGCCTTCTGTGCAGCACTGCCCCAGGAAGCACCTCCAGTGGCCATCTGAGGAGTGGCCAGTGGAGGTATCCATAGGGGGCAATGCAAACATGAAAATGCCTGAAGGTAATGATTATATTCACCTGAACAAATACATTAAGCTGTAGTTGTTCTGGTCTGGTGACTGTAGTGTCCCTTTAATTTATACCAAAATAGCCAAGCAAGAAAACAGCTTCAAAGAATTGATTCATCTCCATTTCTTTACGAATGTGAAGGCTTGGCCTGCAGTTGTGGGAGGGGCATGTTAACCTATTTAAACCCCTTCCTCACCTTCCTCAGTCCCGTTTCTGTTTTGACGTTTTGCTTGTCGGGTCGTCCTTCCTCTCCTTTCCGGCTCCTCGCTCCTAACATGGGGTCTCCGTGCTTGCCGCTCATGTCTCTGGTCTCGGGGTGTTGTCTCCGCTGGCGGCTCGGCTGCCGCTCCTCTCTCTCCGGCGTTTCTGGCTGTCAGCCCCCTCACTGCCGCCGGCGCTGTCACGAGTCTCGCGTCGCACTCACCGTCGGTCGCACGTCCATGCGGCCACGCCAGCATATGTCGGGTGCAGCGTTTGGGGGAGGTAGGGGCTTAGACATAGCTCGTCTGCCTATGTGGGACCCTTCCATCAATATCAGTGAGTAAGTTTTTGTGTAGTGGGAGTGTAATTCTAGCGCTGTAATTACCAGTTATAAGGGAAGCTTGCCCCTTTTTTCTCCTGTGTTAGCAGTGTGTATATTTTATTAATTTATTTTTTGCATGGTCAGTTGTTCTGGTGCGAGCATTCTCTAATGTACACTGTAGTTTGTATAATAACATAATGTGTTGCCAGCCTGTATGTGTTATTATTTGACTAGATATATTTTATATTTTTAAACCTTATCCTTTCTTGTTACACAAGAACTAGCTTTCAGTTTTCCAACATTCCTCAGCTGGAATCTTACTGTTTCCAAAATAATTTCAGGTTCTGGATGCTTTCTAAGATAACTCATCCATGCAGGGTCTGATAAGACTGATCCCTTTGTGGAACTCGAACTGTAATTCCCAAAGATATAACTTTTTACCCCTTATATGCCAAACGTTGACAACGGATAAATTGCTGCAGCTTTTACCCTGCGTTCATTGTTAAGTATCCTCATGGTCGCTGTGTTCAAACTACAGGCTGGGGGAACCGACAGTTAGACGTGATGTATAACACTCTCACGTGTTCCTTCCTCTGAATTGTGGAACACTCACCCCTCACCCATTGTTCACTCACTTTGTCGTTAGACTTGCCTGTCTGCTGGTGCACAGAGGGTTAGAACTTTTTGTTAAACAAGTTATGTAAACTATAACTTTGGTTCACATATTCTGCACACACGACAATCTGTGCCCGTCATGTGTGCACGGTCTACCACTCTCCTTTTCCATTCTAATTGGCTGGACTCCGTCGGGCTCTCGCTGCCCTCCAGTCGCGGTTGCCCCTACGCTTCTTTTTCATTCCCCGCCCTCTCTTTTCTTTCGCTCAGTACGTCCCCTCTCTCACTCTTTGCCCTCCCCTCTTATTTAGCTGTTGCTGGCTGTCAGGGTCCTAGGTGTCCACTAGCTGTAATTCCCCTGGCTTCTTTGCCTAGGTTAGTGGTCCCGCGAGGCCGACACCCATCCTCGCACTCTGAGGTACTACGCCCCTCGGGCCAACTCATAGTTAGTCGCCTCGCACTATTGCATAGAGAGGGCCTCACCTGTCACTCCCACTCTATCTTATGTTTAACCGTCACCGAGAGGCCGACACCCCGCCACAACGTTCAGTGGCCACGATATCCCCTCGCGCCAACGCATAGATAGAGCCTCTCACGCCGCTTGGCATCTAGCAGGGCCTCACCTGTCACCAAACCTAGTTTTAATTGTTTCGCCATTTGGCTTAGCTAGTATGCCAGCACTCACACACACGCACACACTCGCACTGGGTCTCGTGATCCTCATGGGGTTTACACCACCACAGCTTCTGTTACCTACTGCCGAGCTTGCTTCTTTCAGCCTGTCCACCCGGACTCGGTCGGGCTTACTCTGCTTTCGGTTATGGTCGGCACTGCGGTTTTCCTCGTTCACCCTCACAGGTTTCAATACTTGTTTCAGCACATCTGTCCTCTCACACTGCCTTCCCTCCCCTCTTAGTTAGCTGTGGCTGGCTATAAGGGTCTTAGGTGTCCACTAGTTTGTAGTTCCCTCCCTGGCTTCTTCGCCTTAGTTTAGTGGTCCCGCGAGGCCAACACCCATCCTCATACTCGGAGGTACTACGCCCCTCGGGCCAAATCATAGTTAGTCGCCTCGCACTATTGCATAGAGAGGGCCTCACCTGTCACTCCCACTCTATCTTATGTTTAACCGTCACCGAGAGGCCGACACCCCGCCACAACGTTTCAGTGGCCACGATTTCCCCTCGCGCCAACGCATAGATAGAGCCTCTCACGCCGCTTGGCATCTAGCAGGGCCTCACCTGTCACCAAGCCTAGTTTTAATTGTCTTTTTGGCATTAGCTAGTATGCCAGCCCGCACACATACACTCTTTCTCGCTCACGCGCATGTTGGGTCGCTTATGCCTATGGCCTCTCCCGCAGCCGCTTCCTTTCCCGGATTTTCGGGGCTTGTCATGGGTTGCCAGCTTTGTCAACTCGTGTTTTGCCTTTCTTTCACGTATGGCTCTCATTTTTCTAGCACTTGCAGCACCTGGGTTTTCGGTCCTTCTTCCCCTTCGAAGCTCCTGTCTCACGTATCACGTGTACTGGCTTTGTTGATATGTTGTCCGCGATTGACTTTCGCTTCTTTTGCCACCTCTTACTTACATCAACTCTACCTATCCGGTCTATAACTTCACTTGTGGTACAGGTTTCTAGTCACACGCTTTTCCATGTCGCCATACCAGTTTATTACCATACTCTAGGTTTCAAGTTCTGTGAATTTTCAATCTCCGGTTTCCCATCTACATCCAAGTTTTATAATTACTATCAGACCTATCTTACACTTGTCATCACGACCGGGCATCAATTTTCTATGTAGGGCGATATCTGCTTGATCCAAGGATAAATCCGACTGCCATTCTGGGGTCAAGAAGGAATTTTTCCCTAGCTTGATGCAAATTGGAAAGCGCATCAAACTGGGTTTTTCGCCTTCTTTTGGATCAACAGTTTAATCACAGATGTGAGGTAGGCCGGAATTGGGGGTCGCTAGTCTTTTCAGCTAGGTTACTAGGTAGTTTAGTTGTCAAGCCGGTGTACAGTTTCTCGTGGACACACATATCTCCCACAGTCACCACGTTTACTTATTTATTTTGCAGCCCTGTCTCAAGAAATCTCACCTATTTTATGCGGTCTATTGTTTACCGTCTCTACCCCACTCCCAGTTTACGCTAGATGGCCAACATGTTTTCCTTCCTTCCCCATGCACAAGTTAGAGGGCCGTTGAAAGCGCCGGGCACCTCATTACTCACTCAGCTGTTACCTTTCAGATAGGTTATTTTAGGTTGTTGATTGCTTTTATACAGATTTCCTTTTTGCCCTCTTTTATTCCAGGCCTACCACGACGTCGGTTCCGGCACACCACAACCGACTTATTCCCCTCCCCTTTTTATTTCCTTTACGGCCTTATTTGCCCCTCACACAATTACATGTTTAGTGCACATCTCACAATACGTGTTTTCTACATGTGTGGTAGGGATGTATAACTCAGATTGTGTGTTCACTAAACAGTGAACTAAGAAACAGATAGTTAAACTTACACAAAAGAAGCCAAATTAATTTTTTTTCAAATCTAGCAAGCATGAGATTTAGCTAATATACTCCTGGGATTTCTTATATACTGCAATGCTCTGCGAGTTTCTACTGTGCCAGAGGGAATTTCTGTACCTGCCTATTCAGAAGTTAACAGCATTGAGCCATAAAAATGGTTAAGAAACGCTGATGAGATTTGTAATTATTGCAGATATAATTACCAGACTTATGTTTATTTTTATCTCTGTGTTTAATGTATTTTACAAATTTGGAACCTTGGCATGCTGCAACTCCTTTTTTTCTGCAGGAGATTCGTCTTGTCTTTTTATAATCTCAACGTGAAGGGAATCCTGTGACATATGATCGTGTACTGTTAAAGATCATTTATTGACATCTTGAGATTTGTAGAAAAAAGTTTTTAGGTTTTTTTTTACAGTCTCAGCCTTGTCTTACTGCTTTCACATGCAAGCATTGCATTCTATATAATGATATTTGCTGGGCAGATGGTCAATAACTGACTTCCCCATACCCAGAGACTGTCAGTAACACTGCCTGTTGCATAATAACATTGGGAGACAGTGGGAGCTGAGATATGGGGTTATATCATAGCTGCTTGTTTAAGGTGCAGCTGCAGACCAATGGGTTTAGGAGCAAAGCATGTGCTATTGGTTCACAGCCCTCCAGTTCTCCCATCACTATGGACACAGTGATCCAGTCTCTCTCCTTTCCATCACCGAGAAAGGTAAAAAAGGAGGGAGGATAATATTTCCAAACTAAGAGTGTCTATGAGAGTGATTTATCAAAAAGGAGAAACACTATGTAAACCAGTGGAAACAGCAGGAAGATTCAATTGGCACCTCCTCCCCTTTTACATTTTTGCAGTACTTTTTGCATAGTTACATAGCTGAAAAGAGACGCATCATCAAGTTCAGCCTTTCTCACATCAATTTTTGCTGTTGATCCAAAAGAAGGCAAAAAGCCAAGTTTGAAGCGTTTTCCTATTTTACAAACTTGGAAAAAATTCCCTCTTCTCCCCACAAAGGCAGTCAGATCAAGAAGTTGTTACCCCACATATTAAAAATATATCCCTAAATATGATGTTTTTGCAAATATTCATCCAGTTGCTTTTAAACATCTGTACAGACTCTGATAAAACCACCTCTTCAGGCAGAGAATTACACATCCTTATTGTTCTTATAATAAAAAACCCTTTCCTTTGCCTTAGAGGCTTAGACTATAGTAAAAAAAACCATTCCTTTTATTAATTTTGTAGCCAGCCTCTGCACTTTTCTAATGCCATAATATCGTTCTTTAGAACAAGTGCCCAAAATCGCACAGCATATTCAAGGTGTCATGGCAGCTGGCAGTCTCTTACCTGCCCAGGGTGTCCTTCACCTCCAGGGCTCCTGCAGCCTTCTCTGGTCCATCCACTGATGGGCGACCCAGGGCGGCTACTTCTTCCCAGGATCATGGCCACCTGGCAGGAAAGTGGGCTGGTGGGGCCACGAACATGGTGGGTGGACCTTAGGGCAGAGTTAGAACAATGATGCATTCCTTGGTCATGTTTATAGGGTCATGTGACTATGACTGCAGGGAGGAGAGGCCAATGATGTCACAGTTCATCCATTTAAATTCCGCTCTCTCCCTCCTGTCATTGCTCAGTTGTTTTGTAGCCTAGTCTCAGATACCTGTGCTTATCTTGTGTCTATTAGAGCGTTTGTGTGATTTACAAGTCACCAGGAATTAGGTCCCCTATCGGCTCACGTCGGCAGCTGGAATCAGGTAAGTGTTTGAAGGGGTTTTTAACCCTTAACTTGCCACTGGTAGGGGGCGAGGGATTGAGGTGCAGATGGACCCTTTAGTGTTAGGGAATGTGTGTATTCCTGACAATATAGTGTTCCTTTAAGTTAACTACCCAGTCATGTGTCTCATCCCACCATGTTTCTGTTATGCCTGTTATGACATATTGCTTAGTGTAGTCTATTGCCTCTAGTTCCTCCATTTTGTTATTTAGGCTGATTGCCGCCAGCCTGTTGTTAATGCACATGCCCTGCAAACACAAGGACAATGTCCTTTAAAAGTGCTCTTTGTATGTGCTGCCCCTTTGTGGGTCTGGCCCACTTCTCTGGGCAGCTCCACCCCCTTTGCAGTTAGGACAGTCCATTATAGGCATCGTGAGTGATACAAGTGGCAAACCCAGGGCCGGATTAAGAGCACAGTGGGCCTGGTGCTGACAATTATGATGGGCCTAATTACGGAATCTTATCGACCAAAAACACTAAAACAGTCATACCTCCCAAGCGTCATGTATCTGATGGAGATGGTGCTGGAGGGAAACTCATAGGATGCAGCTATAAGAAAACACATACTCTATGCTAATTTCTCTCTAATTTATGCTTTCATCTTTCAAGTAAATCCATAACCCCTAACAGCAGTGTTCAGTGAAGAAGGAAGTCAATGGGCGAGGTAAAAGGGTGTGCCACTGGAGTGAATCACGTGACAAGACCTGCCAAAAGGGATGAACATGCCCAAAAAGGGGGCATGTTTGTCCAAAGAATTGGAAGGTCAGCCTGGCATGAATGCATGTCAGGCTGCCTGCCAATCCTGCAGGCTGTCCAACTAAGGGCATACAATGCAGGCAGCACCTTGAGCTTGACATAAATGCGTCTAATGATGCGCTCACTCCATTCTTTCTAAGGACTGTCCCCTAGCACTCGCTGGTCCACTTGTCTCCTTACCTTCTTACTAGCAGGCAGAACTTCCTGGTATAGTCTGAGACAGAGAAAAGGTGTCTGTAGTGAGTGTAGAAGAAAGGGGACATGCCACAGTGTTAGAGAGACCAACGTCTGCATTACCTAAACTAACTTTAATGTCAGCCAGTGCACACAAGTTTTGTTCCCATACATCCCTCTTGAGCTTCCAAACTTAAAGGGACACTATAGTCACCAGAACAACTACAGTTTATTGTATTTGTTCTGGTAAGTAGAATCATTCCATTCAGGCTTTTTGCAGTAAACACTGTCTTTTCAGAGAAAATAACTCCACTGGCCGCTCCTTAGATGGCTGCTAGAGGTGCTTCCTCGGGCAGTACTGCCTAGTGTGCAGCACTGCCATTCAGTGTCTCCACCCTCTGCATGCAGACACTGAACTTTCCTCATAGAGATGCACTGATTCAATTTATCTTTATGAGGAGATGCTGATTGGCCAGGGCTATGTTGGACTTGTGCTGGTTCTGCCCCTGATCTGCCTAGTTGACAGTCTCAGCCAATCCTATGGGGAAGTATTGTAATTTGCTCAGACCACCACTTCTGAGCCAGCAGCTGCAGAATTGAATACAAGTAATATTTTACTATATTTAGGGAGGCAAGAAGGGGCCAGGGTGGTGGTTTTAACATAATAGGGTAAGAAATACATGATTGTGTTCCTGACACTATAGTGCTCCTTTAAGCAAGAGTATGTGAAGAGTAGTTAAGGTTGCCACCTTTCTTGGAAAAAAATACCAGCCTTAATCATTTGCATAATTAATTAGTTATGCGTGTAAATCACAAGGAGTGACATCAGAGAAAATTCTGTAAAATCACCAACAAACTACTCACAGTTTGATTCTGCTGTATAGATGGATTGCTCCCAGTGTCTCACTGTCTCCCAGTGTCTCAGTCTCGCAAGTCACCCTGTGTCTCAGTGTCCCTATGTATCACAGTGTCAGTGTCCCCATCTCGCCCAGTCCCCTAGTCTCCCAGTGTCCCCTAGTCCTGCCCAGTCCCTAGTCTCCCAGTGTCTCCCCATTTCTCCCAGTGTCCCAATGTCTCAGTGTGTCCCCATGTCACTAGGATACTGGGGACACTGAGAGACATGGGGACACTGAGAGACCCGGGGACACAGAGACATGGGGACACTGGGAGACATGGGGACACTGGGACATTTAGGGAAACTGGGAGAAATGGGGACACAGACACTAGGGACACAGACACTGGAAGACATGGGGACACTGAAACATTTGGGGACACTAAGACACTAGGGACACAGACATTGGGAGACTAGGGGACACTGGCTGGGAGACAGACACTTGGGGACACTGGGAGACATGGGGACAGTTGTAGACATAGACATGTGGACACTGGGACATATAGGGACACTGGGAGACATGGGGACACCAGGCACACTGAGACACTAAGAACACAGACACTGGGAGACATGGAGACACAAACATTTGGGGACACTAAGACACTAGGGACACAGACACTGGGAGACTAGGGGACACTGGGAGATTAGGGGATACTGGGAGACTAGGGGACACTGGCTGGGAGACAGACACTTGGGGAGACATGGGGACAGTTGTGGACATAGACATGGGGACAGTGGGACACATGGGGGCACTAGGAACACTGAGAGACATGGGACACAGACACTGGGAGACTTGGGGACACTGAGACCCTAGGGACACTGGCTGGGGGACATAGTGTCTCCGTGTCCCAATGTCTCCAAATGTCCCTATGTCTCACAGCGTCCCCATGTGTCTCAGCATCCCCATGTGTCCCCTAGTGTCTCAGTGTCCTCATGTTTTCCAGTGTCCCCAAGTGTCTGTGTCCCCATGTGTCCTAGTGTCTCAGTGTCCCCTAGTGTCTGTGTTCCCATGTGTCCCCTAGTGTCTGTGTGTCCCCAAGTGTCTCAGTGTCCCCATGTTTTCCAGTGTCCCCAAGTGTCTCAGTGTTCCCAGGTCTCCCAGTGTCTGTGTCCTAGTGTCTCAGTGTCCCCTAGTGTATGTGTCATGTGTCCCCTAGTGTCTGTGTCCCCTAGTGTCTCAGTGTGTCCCCTAGTGTCTCAGTCTCCCCATATGTCCCCTAGTGTCTCAGTGTCCCCATGTGTCCCTGCTGCCTTTCCCCCCATCCCTCACTTACCTGAGCTGTAGAGTTGCTGTATGGACTCTCTGTGCTGTGTAGTTGCTCCCCCACGGATCAGTGAGTAGTAGAGAGAGGCAGGGATATTCTGTAACTTCCTATCCCTGCCTTTCTCCACACACAGTGACCCCTACTGGCCGGTGCTGGTATTGCAGAGTAATTTCCATTTATTCTGATTAAATTACCTGCATTTGTATTGCCGGTATTACTGCAATACTGGCACGACCAGGCAGCCTCAAATACCATCTGTGACATTAAAATACCAGTCAGGTGGCAAACCTAAGAGTAGTGTGTAAAAAAAAAAAAAAAAAAAAATGTTTTTATTTTTTTTTAAATGGGCCTATTCCATGGGCCTGGAGCTGCAGCTCCATCAGCCCCTATGTTAATCCGGCCCTGGGCAAACCCCACCCTGATTTTATACCTTACAAGTGCCTACCAGGGATTTATTTCTATAAAGCAAATGTTATTCAATCATAATTTTCTCCGTCAAGCCTAAAATGTCTCTTTTTTTAGATTTGCTTTTAAATCATCAAACTATATGCAAAAAATAAAAACTGTTTGTTCCAATGATAACCTGGCGTATAATAAAATTATGCAAGTTTTGTGATCTTATGCTTAATATTGAATTGATCCATATTTATGGAAAAGATCAGATAGGGACCTACATGGGTGCTAGTGGGAGACATTGCTACTGCATTTGGCACACCCTGCACCCCTGTGCACACTCCTTTGGTTTGCTCTGTGTCTTTGGGTACCTGATCTCTCCACTACCATGCCTGAGAACATGCCGTGTCACATGCTGGGCATGGAATATATGTTTCTATGTGTTTTTATAGATTTTGATTTTACCACTGCCCAGCAACTTATGTATCATTATCCTTCTCTACTGTAGAGAAATGTTACTCTAAGAAATTTATGTCACTTACAATTGAATAAATCTCCATCAAAATTCCAAAAATAAAAAAATGAATTACTTCAACCTTCTCTCCTGTTTATTGGTAGAGACCCAGCCAAGCTTTTGCAAAAAAACATGTATCTGGCATCACAAGACTTGCTCTTTTTTGTCAGGTCCATCATATGAGGTAAGCAAGGGTGGGCATGTCTTTGATGCCGTCAGACAGACAATGTATAAAAAGTGGGAGTGAGGATTAAATCACACAGGGTCCTAGGCATGCTACTGGGTTGGGGCTCCCTCCTTCATTCTTTACACAGGGATAGTAAATTCATGCAAATTACTGGTTCTGGGAATTCTCTCTAACCTCTGGGCCCTGGGATAATCCTATTCTGAAAGCAGGTCAAACCAAATGACAGGCTGCCCTATAGAACAGCCAATAAGAGCTGCCCATACACAGAGCATTCTGTTATAGAATGTCCTAACTCCACCAGTGAGGTTAAATAGGTGCTTGTGGTGTACGTTCCCTCAGTCCTTGAAACAAGGAATGATAATGCCTAGCTGTCATGAGATCGGAAGAAATTAGGGAAAATAATGAGTCACACAGGGAGACTGTGTGGCATGGTAGGCATGTATCATGTACAGTAAGCAAAGCCGCAAAGTTGGTAAACCCAAACCTATATTATTAGATTCTACTGATCTTCTACGGCACCCTGCTCAAAGAACTGCCATAGACTATGAGTAATCTATCAGTTTGTGTAATAATTTATCAACAGTCAGGAACACAAATGATTTAATTGTTTAAAATATTGTACTTTTGACTTTCTGTGTTACTCAATAAAATGTGAATTGACTTGAATTCAAAGTGAATTAAAAAAAATGTAGGACTAAAATAGCTGCAATGGAAAAATTCAAGTCAGTTTAAATATTTTCACATAAAATGTAATATTCCCTTTGAATTCATTTATGTGAATTACCAGTTATCTTGATACTTTAGTGACTGCTTTCTTATTTTTGTTTTTAGGGAATTTGCTCACTTTGCCAACATGACTGAAGCACAGGACTCGTCTTTCCTTCTTGTGAAGATTCTAGAAGACTTGGACTCCAAGCAAAACTCGGTATCTTATCAAGAACTTTGCAAGTCTTTATGCTCACGCTATGATCTACCCGAACTTGCCAAGCTGCGTAGCCTCCTGTATTATACAGCTTGCCAGGATCCTAGTTTCCCTTCAAGCCTTTTCAGAGATAAGATGAGAAATGCTGCGGAGAACCAGCAGTCTAAAAAAATAATTGCAGCTGCAGATATAGTCACTATATTTAACCTAATACAGATGAATGATGGAGTTGCCAAAGAAAAACTTCCAATGCAACAGCAATCTAAGCAGAAGGAGTCAGAGTCAGATACAGATGTTTATAGTGGGACAGATATGGCTCCACACAAGGAAACACAGAAGAGAGATACTGGAAGGACTTATTCCATAACTAGGTCCTCCAGCTGCCACAAAGAAGAGTGCGAAGGTCGGCATACTTTTCTCCCTGAACCAAACTTTCTTCTTGGAGTTAAACAGGAAGGAACTGTCCGAGCTGGTTCGTTAGACAGATTGCAAGCACTAGATTCGTATCCTATGGTAGCACCTCAGTCTTGTGAAATGCAAAGTACTTATTTCCCCAGTCAGCCAATGTCTGAGACAGAATCATTGCCACCCACTCCTAACGAAGTACCATTTCGCCTTTCAGCTTCCACAGGGCAGAGGAGGAACGTTTTCAAAGATGATTTTCACAGTGTTCTGAGAGTTTCCCCAGATGTGACCCTGAAAAAGAATGAAGGTAAAATCAGCCCGAAAACAGTTTTCTTTAATCACAGTTTTGAGATGCCCTACAGCTCACATTATCTGAACACTGCTTACTCTTCTTCGGAGGACTTTAGAAGAGCAAAGCATGAAAGCTTAGATGATCTTCAGGCTTCCACATATTTTGGGCCAACCACTGGGCTTGGATCTCAAGATCAGAAAAGGTTTACCAGCAAACAGAAGCAAAACTTAACCAAACCAGTGAAAAGCTGGAGCCTGAATACTGAAGAGGTACCTGATTTTGAACGCTCATTTTTTAACAGAAAGGAGGAAAACCTATGTTATCCGAGCACTGGATTAGTACAGACTGCAAACTTTGTATCAGTCCCTGAGAGGCACCATTCTTATTTACCTGATATGGCAATAAAGTCTAATGGTAATAAATTTTGTGAGCCTCAAGACGTAGAGAAGCAAGAGGCGATGAGGAGATTCAGAGACAAGAACACAAAAATTGCTTCCTGCCAATTCAGCATTGAAAAAACAGAAAGTGTTGGCACTCAAACTGAGCAAAAAGAGACGAAAAAGGGAAAAGAGTCAAATACTCCTTCTGGATGCAGCCGTTTTGTAGAAGGAAGGGCTCGCAATCAGTCTGAGGCAGACTCTGAAATCATTAGTGACGATATAAGTGATATATTTCGTTTCTTAGATGACATGAGCCTTTGTGGTTCCTCCGGAATCCCTCAATCATCTTGCTACAACAGCAGTGGTTCTTTGGTGCAAACTCCCCGAGCAGATCTTGAAAGCTCTCCAGAGCATGGAGCAAATAGAACAATTAGCAAACCTACCAAAGGCCCACGGACAGAGACTGGAGAGGAAGAGGAGCTTAAAAGCAGCGTTCGGAAATTAGTTCGGAGAATAGGAGAAATTGAGCGGAAACTGGAATCACTGTCTGGTGTACGTGAAGAAGTGTCTCAGGTGTTGGCTAAACTGAATAAGCTTGATGAGAGAATACAGTCACCCCCAGAGAAAGGGAAGTTGGAAATTGAAGGACAGGCTCATAGCAGCGATGCTGGTTCCAGCGCAAGAGTATCCCCCAATCCGTTTCCTGACCAAAACACATCACACGGTGGTAATGTGGATAGTAAGCCAGAGTGCTGTTGTTCTGATGTAAATAATAGTATCAGTGAAAGCCTTCGAGTCAAAGCATTGAAGAAGAATCTTTTTACTCAGAGATCAGTGCGTTCATTGACAGAGGATATAACAATAAATGACTCTAAAATTAGTAATTCACCCCATGAAGGTAGGCCATGGGGATTCTCCAAGCAGGCTAGTATAACTGAAGAAGAAAAAAAAGATAAAGGAGGATCAAACTGCAGAGATTGGCACCGCAAGTCTAAAGAGGTAATTATGAAAATAAAATCAATGTTTAAATATACATTGAGAAATGGAACTCAGAACAGATACACAGGTGCAGACAAGGCCATGCTTAGCAGAATCACTATCACCACATTTACACATATGAAGGGAAAACTTACTACATTTCTGATTTAATTCTCTTTATGAACAAATAATGTAACCCACCTACAATATACTGAAAAGTAGATGATCGCATTTGTCTATAAAGGCAGTGTCATAGTACTATAAGTAACTACTTAGCTACAACTGCTACACTAAAGCACATAAATACTATGAGAGACACATTTACAGTCAGACAAATTCATCTTAAAAAAACACAGGCTCATACTGGCTGACAGACCGTGACACAAAGACATACTCACACAAAGTGACAGACAGGCTCACACAGACTGAGACTCTCTCAAATACTGAGACAGACGCAGGGTATCAAATCCGCCTGCACATTTAAAGGAATACCCCGGCCACCATAACAACCTAATCAAAATAAACTTATTATGGTGCCAGGACGACAACGGGTGCTTTCTTATCTTATTCTCAAACTGTTTATCAATAGCTCCCCATTCATTAAAAAGGTACCCTTTTTTTTTTTATGAATGAGGAACTACTGATTAGTTTAGAGCAGAGGTAGTCAACCTTTTAATACCTACCGCCCACGTTTGAAGGATGAGTAAAGAGACCACATGGAGGGAAGGGGGGGAGGATGAGTAAAGAGACCACAGAGAGGGAAGGGGGGGGGAAATGAGTAAAAGACCATAGGGAAAGAAGGGGAGTAAAGAGACCACAGGGAGGGAAGGTTGGGAGGGGAGTAAAGAGACCACATGGAGGGAAGGGGAGGGGAGGGACCAAAGAGACCACAGGAAGGGAAAAGGGAGGGGGTAAAAGAGACCACAGGGGAGGGGAGGGAGGGAGAGGGAGTAAAGAGACCACAGTGAGGGAAGGGGAGAGTAAAGAGAGCATAGGGAGGGGGGGAGGGAGTAAAGAGACCACAGGGAGGAGGGGTGAGTAAAGATACCACAGAGAGGGGAGTAAGGAGAACACTGGGAGGGGGGTGAGAAGAGACTGCTGGGGGGGTAGAGGAGAGACCACTAAGGGGCAGGGGAGAGCTCTAAGGGACGGAAGGGAGAGCTCTATAGGACAGGGGGCGGGACAGGGAGCTCTTTCACACTACGCGCACACACACACAATGCATCCCTATACATACACAGAAACACACAATGCATACCTACACACACATACAAACACACTCTGCTTCTCTTACATACACACAGAGACACAATGTATACCTACACACACATGCAAACACACACTGCTTCTCTTACATACACACAGAAACACAATGCATCTTACACTCAATGCACCCCTTACAGACACACACACTGCGTCACTTACATACACAGAAACACACCTTGCATCCCTTATGCATACAAACACAGATTCACACAATGCATCATTACATACAACCAGAAACACACAATACATCCCTTATACACAAACACACACTGCTTTCTACACCTTACACAAAAACACACTGTTTCCATTAAACACAAACATACTGCATCACCTACACAAACACAAACACTACATTCCAGAAGCACACACATTAGATCCTCTACAATAACACATAACACATCCCCTACACACTCTACTCCCTGTGAGCGAACTCATGGGTGGAACATGTAGGTGGACTTATGTGTGGGCCTTATAGGCATACTCACCGTCAGGCCCTGGGGCCCAGACCTTGAGCTATGTAAGGGGCCCCAAAAAAATGGAGCTGCTTCCTGTTCTCCCAGAACATTGATTTTTGTGACCACAGTTACAAACCGCCTCCAGAGATCCTGTTCTACACCAGACCAGTGGAGCCAGACTGCAGCTAGAGCCCATCACCATCCTCATCTGGTTGTAAGTAGGCAATCTAGCATATTATTAGTGACACTAATTTCTAATTTACCTTACATTAAAGGGACACTAATAAAGTGGTTCTGGTGTCTATAGCCTGTCCCTGCAGGATTTTTAATGTAAAAACACACACTGTGTGCAGCACTGGTGTTAGTTCCTATGGCAGAGCATATGGGTGGGGCATGGTGATGTCACCTGGGGGGGGGCAACTTTTTTTGCCTAGGGCGGCAAAAATCCTTGCACCGGCCCTGAGTGTGTGTGTATGAGGGGTGTAGTATTTGTGAGGGGGCAGTCTGTGTGTGTGAGGAGGGCAGTGTATGTGAGTGTGTGTGAGGGGGTAGTGTGTGTTTGTGTGTGAAGGGTGCATAGGGTCCATGCTTTGTGTAGGTTGGTGAGATGGGAAAATCTTAATATCCCCCCTCCCTTATTCTTACCTTTTACCAGGGAGGGGGGACATAATGCTGCAAGCCCTCGTGGTCCAGTGGTGGCATGTTCACTTTAGGTCGCAGCTCCTCTGGCTGCAGGCCTGACTCTCCTGTCCTCCTTCGAGCACAGCATTGTATGGCAACACTTCGACCAGCCCGCTCGCGGGAGGAACACAGAGCCTCCCAGGACCTTCCCTCCCTCTGCTCATACTAAGTGCCAGCGGGACGGTGAGGGAGATGTTTGATCTCCTCAGCAGCCTGAGAGGGCTTACAGCAAGGCTGGCTCTGCATGAAATGATCTCCCCTGCCAGCCTCGGCCCACAGCCATTGAGGCCCACTGGGAATTTTCTGCAGAACCCACCACTGCCCACCTGAAATCCCAAACTGCCCACTAGTGGGCGGTAGGGACCAGGTTGACTACACCTGGTTTAGAGAGTAAACTGTATAAGGAATTCAGTTATGCTAGATACAAACTGATGAGTCAAATACATAGGTTGCAGCAGCAGAACATCATACCACCCAATTGTCCCAGTTTAGGAGTAACAGTCCCTATTTTGAACCAAAATCCATCTGTCTCTCTTTTTATCCTAATGTCCCTCTTTTCTAAGAGCTCCACATTGTTGGTGTCTAAGTGTACAATAGAGCAATAATGCTCATAGTCTTGTGTATTTAAACTACCATAAATGTATTTAGAAATCAGCCTGTGAATAAGGTACATTGTTCTTGTTCTAAATTACATTTTAGTTGTATAAATTATTATTAGTGTCACCTAAATTTCTCAGAACAGCCGCACCTCTGGCTATACCCCAATTTACACCCCTAAAATAAAAGTGTCACATTTGTGAAGTTGAAATGTTGGGGGGTATGCAACATTTTTGCCAAATACACAGCTTTGAATGTCACTGTAAGCATGATTTACACTAAAAAAAAAAACCTCTTCTTCACATTGTCTCCAACTTTACATTATTTTAAACCCCTTTTTGTTATACTACCTTAAAGGACCACTATAGTGACAGGAAAACATACTCGTTTTCCTGGCACTATAGTGCCCTGAGGGTGCCCCCACCCTCAGTGTCCCCCTCCCGCCCGGCTCTGGAAGGGGGAAAGGGGTAAAAACTTACCTTTTTCCAGCGCTGGGCGGGGAGCTCTCCTCCTCCGATCCTCCTCCGTTCCTCCCATTCGGCTGAATGCGCACGCGCGGCAAGAGCTGCGCGCGCATTCAGCCGGTTGCATAGGAAAGCATTTGCAATGCTTTCCTATGGACGCTTGCGTGCTCTCACTGTGATTTTCACAGTGAGAATCATGCAAGCGCCTCTAGCGGCTGTCAATGAGACAGCCGCTAGAGGAATTGGGGGAAGGCTTAACCCATTCATAAACATAGCAGTTTCTCTGAAACTGCTATGTTTATAAAAGAATGGATTAAGCCTAGCTGGACCTGGCACCCAGACCACTTCATTAAGCTGAAGTGGTCTGGGTGCCTAGAGTGGTCCTTTAAAGTAGAACATATCCGCTTTACCATCTTCCTAATCACACACCTATTTCTCATCTCTTTGCTTATACTTCATAAATTACTTTTCAAGAGAATATTCTGTCTGCAGGGTTATAGACGGATCAATGGTCCATGTGGGCCAGTACAAAAAAAGCTGACTACAACTCAACGTTTTGAGATAGTTTTGACTTGTCACGCGATTCACACATAAATTCACACAACTAATATGTTTTGCAGGATTTAAGGAACATTTTATCAGCAACTGTACAGTTACATTCTGAAAGTATATATGTCTACAGAAAAGCATCAATAGCCATTAACATTTACAGGAACAACGTTATTTAATATAAAGCCTATGAACCTCTATAAAATATGCTTTTAAAAATTCACTGAAGAGATTCTCATGAAAAAGGATCACGGGTATATGAACTAATAAGTTATTTATGGATGAAATTGTATTGCCTAGTGCTACCATCATAGCTCTATAATGATGTTTATGGTTGTAAAATGCCGTTGCATGTATTTTTGTTTCATTAATAACATGATGCCTGGGGGACTATTAAGGTATATTACACACAGTTAAATAGTGTTAATGGCACAAATTGGATAATGATTAAAACTCCATCCCTAAGGGCGTTCACCCACAACAGATATTAAATTACTCCCACTCAGATGACCATTAACCCTTCTGGAGCATCCCTTACTGCATCTGTACCAAATTATTGCTTTATAATTGCTAATGGAGTTCAGGGATGTGTTAACAGCTTCACTGCCAAATGAATATTTTTTTTTTCAATCATGACATATTTTAACTACAGTATAATACAGTGTGGATAGCTACATGGGATAATGCCCAGAAAACCATCATTGGGTAGAATTATCAAGGCAAACTTGGGAGCAAAGAGTTAAGTAAAGCGCAATCAGTATAGAAACCAATACTGTACTTTGTCTTCCTACATTTTGCACTTTGTATCTGTTTTGCTTGATAGATTCTCCCTTCCCCATATGTATAAAAGACTGTTAAAGGATATGTAAAATATTTAGGGGTAAATAAATGGATATAGACTATTCTGCATTTGTTTTACAACCCATCCAATAGGCTCCAAATTAATAGGGCTAAAGTAAAACAATACTCATACAGTTATCATGGACATTTGCAGTGATGACTTGGTCCAAAACACCCAGTTTTTGTTGCAAAAAAAAAATAAATCTATTGTATTGTACGTGCTACTGATGAATATGTGTTGGAAAAAACAGGATATGGGTTTGAATGGGCAGGGCCCCACCATCTTTAAATTTCACCAGCCACCACATAATATTTGTAAGGTGTATGCTTGCAGGTGTAGGAATACATATTCCCAGATTGCCAATAGAATGAAAAAAATTATGTCTGTATTTTGACATTAAAGGCACACTATAGTCACCAGAACACCTACAGCCTAATGTAGTAAACATTGTGTCCTGGCACAAAGTAACAAAATAACGCAGCAAACCTGCAAGAAATATACCGTATATACTCGAGTATAAGTCGACCCGAATATAAGTCGAGACCCCTAATTTTACCCCAAAAAACTGGGAAAACTTATTGACTCGAGCATAAGACTAGGGTGGGAAATGCAGCAGCTACTGGTAAATTTCTAAATAAAATTATATCCCCAAAAAATTAAATTAATTGAATATTTATTTTGTGTATATAATTAATGCAGTGTGTGTGTGTATATAATGCAGAGTGTGTGTATGTATGAATGCAGTGTGTGTAGTGTGTGTGTATATAATGCAGAGTGTGTGTGTGTATGAATACATTGTGTGTAGTGTGTGTGTATATAATGCAGTGTGTGTAGTGTGTGTGTGTGTATGAATGTAGTGTGTGTGGATGTATGAATGCAGTGTGTGTGTGTATGAGTGCAGTGTGTGTATATGATACAGAGTGTGTTTGTGTATGTGATGCAGAGTGTGTAACCTTGGTGGGGGGTTGGCATTTTTATTATTTTTTTAATTATTATTATTATTTTAATATTAAATTTATTTTTAATATTATTAATATTTTTATTTTAATATTATTAATTTTTTTATTTTATTATTATTAGTTAAATTTTTATTTATATTTTTTGTCACCCCTCCCTGTTTGATACATGGCCAGGGAGGGGGGCTCTCATTCCTGGTGGTCCAGTGGCATTGGCTGTGCAGGAGGGGGGCTGGCAGCAAGCTGTAACTTACCTTTCCTGCAGCTCCTGTTAGCTCCCTTCTCCTGCGTTCCATTCAGCTCCACTGTAAGTCTCGCAGTCTGAGTGCCACACGGAGCGTTGCCACGGTAACCCATGGCAACGCTGTGACGCCACGGGTCTCGCAAGACTTACAGTGGAGCTGACCGGAACGCAGGAGAAGGGAGCTGACAGTAGCTGCAGGAAAGGTAAGTTACAGCTCGCTGCCAGCCCCCAACAGAACTGCTGGGCTTGTAATGAGCCCAGCGGTCCTGGTCTGTATTATGGCAATGTAAGTTGCCATAATACAGACATTGACTCGAATATAAGACGAGTGGGGGGTTTTCAGCACAAAAAATGTGCCGAAAAACTCATCTTATACTCGAGTATATATACGGTATATCATAAAAGTAAATGGTGCACTCAAGGTCTTCTAAGGTAAAGGTGGATTTGATGTTTAAAGAAGAAAAATTACATAAATGTGGATGATCAATGTTTCGACCCTATGGATCTTTTTAAAAATCTTGAAAAAGGCCCGTAGGGTCGAAACATCAATCGTCCACATTTATGTAATTTTGCTTGTTTATACATTAAACCCACCTTTAACTTAGAAGACCTTGAGTGCACTCTTTATTTTTATTTTATATATATATATATACGTATGTAATACACAAGATCCAGCGCACTCACTCATCCACTAAACAGCAAGTTTTTAAAGCTCACAGATTTATTTATTTTTAGTTTTTTTTTTTTTTAAACACCTAATCTAGGCAAAAATAATGGGGGTTTAGTTACATTATATGATCATACATTGCATAAACCTGCCAAAATGTAAATGTACCCCATCTTTGGCAGGTCCTACTCTAACAGCCTAATATCTGCTGTTAAGATTAACCCACTTATTTGGGGAAAAAATCCATCTTGGGCTCTCTGCAGTACAAGGCTAAATATGGCCCTGTAATGAGGCACCTGTGACATTGCCAACATCTACACCTTCCCAGCAGAATGGAGACTGCCAATCTATTAATGGGAACCCCAAACCTTCCCAGAGTACTCAACCAATGAGTTGTTATCACGGGAGATTTGACCTGTTAATTTTCTGCTGTTGATGGCTTTTAAATGTAATAACATTCCAATATTATAGGTGTCAAATAAGGCAGTGATATATCAGGGTATTACAAAGGTTGATATGAAATAAATAGGAGCTAATCAAAAAGTCTGGGGGCTAGTCGGTTAGCTCCAACAAAAACCCACTATTATTCTCCTAGTTGTGACAATAACCCACTAGTAACAGAAAATGTAGGGAAAATGGACTAAAAGTCCTGATTAGGAGAGTGACACATAGAGGAAGCCCTACCTTTATTAATCCTAAGGGGAAACAAAAATAGTAACCAAATGGGGAAGGGAGAGGCAAAGGAGTATATGTGATATATATGCACAACCATGCACATAGACACATATACACAGAAGAAAAGAATTTGCTGGATGAGCTAAGGTACACAAAGCTTAAAAGGATCTAAGGTTAGATATTCCAGTTTACCTACAAAGCTCAGGTATATGCAGGGATAAGGGAAAAGGAAGGGAGTATAAATGAGGGGGTTGGACCCCAAAATAAGCCACCCACAGCAGGGTATTATCCAATGTGCTTGTCTCTGCCTTCACTTAACAAGTGATATCTTATAACTGTACATTGAACATACTGGGAGACCGGAGCTAGCCTAGAACAGTAAGAAGATTATATGTCTACTCTATAAATGGAAAACAGGACTTCTATTCAAGAACAGCTTTGTCTTGCTGTGTCAAAGGAATACTTTATTGCATCTAAACGAAAGATGCTCTATTTAATTTTTTTGTTTTTCTTTTCTGAAAAATCTTTTTAGCTTTAACTCATTAATGATATTCTTACTTGAAATGTTTTTTTTTTAAAGTGCGTGATTCACTGAAGGCTGCAAATGTAGGTATTTTTTCCTCTTCGTTTTAGTTTAGAGTTGTCATTAATTTTGATAAATGGCTGTGTATCTACCAAAGAAAAAACACGCTGAATCATAACACAAACGACCAGCCAAAGTTAGCTCAGAAGCTTTCTGACCAATTCTCATTACTGAGAAACGAACAAAAATAAATCAGTCTTTCAAAGGAGCTTTGTAGCCTTCATGTGATGTTTCAGAGTGCATAGCATGACAATATTGGATTTTGCGGTCAGGGCCAGATTAAGAGCCCAGTGGGTCTGGAGCTGACAATTATGAAGGGCCTAACTACAGAATCTTATCGACCAAAAACACTAAAACAATCATACCTCCCAAGCGTCGTGTATCTGATGGAGATGGTGTTGGAGGGAAAGGATGCAGCTATACAAAATAACATACTCTATGCTAATCTCTCTCTAATTTATGCTTTCATCTTTCAAGTAAATCCATACCTCCCCAACAGTAGTGTCCTGTGAAGCAGGAAGTCAATGGGCAGGGTAAAAGGCTGTGCCACTGACGCAAATCACGTGACCAGACCTGCCAAAAGGGGTGAACATGCCCAAAAAGGGGGCATGTTTGTACAAAGAATTGGAAGGCCAGCCTGGCATGAATGCATGTCAGGCTGCCTGCCAATCATGCAGGCTGTCCAACTAAGGGCATACAATGCAGGCAGCACCCTGAGCTTGGCAGAAATGCATCAAATGATGCTCCTACTCCACGCTTTCTAAGGACTGTCCTCTAGCACTCACATGTCCACTTACTTTCTTACTAGCAGGCAGAAGTTCCTGGTATATAGTCTGGAACAGAGAAAAGGTGGATGTAGTGAGTGTAGAAGAAAGGGGACATGCCACAGTGTTAGAGAGACCAAAGTCTGCATTACCTAAACTAATTTTATTGTCAGCCAGTCCACACAGGTTTTGTTGCCATACATCCCTCTTAAGCTTCCAAACTTAAGGGGACACTATAGTCACCAAAACAACTATAGCTTATTGTATTTGTTCTGGTAAGTAGAATCATTCCCTTCAGGCTTTTTGCATTATACACTATCTTTTCAGAGAAAATAACTTCACTAGCCACTCCTTAGATGGCTGCTAGAGGTGCTTCCTGGGGCAGTACTGCCTAGTGTGCAGCACTGCCATTCAGTGTCTCCACCCTCTGCATGCAGACACTGAACTTTCCTCATAGATATGCATTGATTCAATTGATCTTTATGAGGAGATGCTGATTGGCAAGGGCTATGTTTGACTTGTGCTTGCTCTGCCCCTGATCTGCCTAGTTGACAGTCTCAGCCAATCTTATGGGGAAGCATTGTAATTTGCTCAGATCACCACTTCTGATGATGTCAGTGCAGAGGCAGAGCCAGCATCTGCAGACTTGAATACAAGTAAGATTTTACTATATTTGGGGAGCAAAGATGGGGTCAGAGGGGCTAGATGGTGTTTTTTTACATAATAGGGTCAGAAATACATGATTGTGTTCCTGACCCTGTAGTGTTCCTTTAAGCAAGAGTATGTGAAGAGTAGTTAGGATTGCCACCTTTTTTCTGGGAAAAAAATACCAGCCATTTGTATAATTAATTAGTAATGCATGACATCACATGATGTAAATCACAAGGAGTGACAAGAGAACATTCTGTAAAATCACCAACAAACTAATCACAGTTTGATTCTGCTGTATAAATGAATTGCTCCCTGTCTCCCAGTGTCTCAGTGTCCCTATGTATCACAGTGTCTGTGTCCCCATTTCACCCAGTCCCATAGTCTCCCAGTGTTCCCATGTCTCAGTGTGTCCCCATGTCTCAGTGTGTCCCCATGTCACTAGGATACTAGGGGACACAGTGAGACATGGGGACACTGGGAGACATGGGGGCACTTGTGAATACAGACATGGGGACACTGGGAGACATGGGGACACAGACATTTGGGGACACTGGGAGAAATGGGGACACTGAGACACTAGGGACACAGAGACATGGGGACACAGACACTGGGAGATATGGGGACCCAAACATTTGGGGACACTAAGACACTAGGGACATTGAGAGACATAAGAACACAGACACTAGGAGACTAGGGGACACTGGGAGACATGAGGACACTGGCTGGGAGACATGGGGACACTGGGTGACATGGGACTCTGAGTCACTAGGGACACAGAGACATGGGGACACAGACACTGGGAGACAAGGGGAAACTGAGAGCCATGTGGACACTGGTTGGGGCACATCGGGACACTGGGAGACATGTCCCTAGTATCTCCATGTCCCAATGTCTCAGTGTCTCCCAATGTCCCTATGTCTCACAGCGTCCCCCTGTGTCTCAGCGTCCCCATGTCTCAGAGTGTCCCCATTTTTTCCAGTGTCCACAAGTGTCTCAGTGTGCCCTAGTGTCTGTGTTCCCACGTGTCCCCTAGTGTCTCAGTGTCCCCATGTCTCCCTGCTGCCTTTCCCCCATCCCTTACTTACCCGAGCTGCTGTCTTGACTCTCTGTGCTGTGTAGCTGCGCCCCACAGATCAGTGAGTAGTAGAGAGAGGCAGGGATATGCTGTAACTTCCTATCCCTGCCTTTCTCCACACACAGTGACCCCTACTGGCCGGTGCTGGTATTGCAGAGTAATCTCCATTTATACTGAGAAAAATACCTTGTATTGACGGTATTACTGCAAAACGTGCACAGCCAAGCAGCCTCAAATACCGACTGTGCCAGTAAAATACCAGTCAGGTGGCAAACCTAAGAGTAGTGTGTAAAAAAAAATGGGCCATTCCATGGGCCTGGGCCTGGGCCTGGAGCTGCAGCTCCATCAGCCCCTATGTTAATCCGGCCCTGTTTGCGGTTACTAGGCTTTAGGTAACCAGACAGACAGAAAATTTCATGATTGTCCTAGGCAGTAGAAATTACTTTAGGTACGAGAGATTAAGATGTGTACATTAAAAATATTTACCTGTAAAAAGAAGGACATTCAAACACATTTTTTGAATGATAGTACGGGTTGCTCTGCTAAACATAATTACAATCGTATCTTGTTATGTATAAGTGATATAATTATACAATCTACTCCATAAAATGGGCCCTAACATATTGCTCATATCTTGCAAAAAGGAGGGAGGCTAGGAGAGCACTAGACCAGGAAATGATGTTGGCTCTTCCTCCTACTGTTCCTGTTGCAGAAGTAAAGTTCTGCATCAGGAATATGGGTGACTGGTTCCCAACTTGGATCCAGACCTGTCCCTTGTCTGCCCCTTCTTCTCTGTCATCAAGGATCCAAACCATCTACCAGGCAAAAATGTATCCTTCTGTCTTCTCAGCTAGGACTGAATCCCTCTGGCCACGAATCATTTATGCTGCCTGCTCCCATTACCATGTTTATTAAGATTCATTTTGGCTTTGGCACATAGATCTTTTGCCTACAGGTCTTATCAATCTGTAGCTGAGCCCAAATACCTGGGAGAAGTGAAGCCAGAAGACAGGACAGGCCCTTCTACTCTGCCACTAGGCTTCTGGAAACAATGTGAAAAAAGGAGTTGGCTTGATTGTTCATTTTTTAAATGGGCCTACCTTTTAACAACTCTACATTAAACTTATTGTTAGTGATTCAAAACAGTGCTTAAAGTTTAAACATAATAAAACATTGAGACAGCAGTAAAAGACAATAGAATATTTGATTGTCATACAGGGGATCGTCTTTAGGTGACAATCATGTCAAATCGAAATCCCAGGCCATTCTTCATGAATTTCATAAAAATATACAAATATATGCAAATCAATGTATAAATATACATAACCAGGCTTTTACCATCTACTGACCCAAAGCTTCTAGATCTGGGGGGAAAGATATTGAGTATCCTCAGCGGTAAACTCTGGGACTAACATGCCTACCTCTCAATATTGGTATTACGAAGTCCTGCAAATTTGTTATGACATTAATATAAATGGTTACATTTTTAATTAATGCTGACCAGACATTTATAAGCAGAAGCACTAGTATTAGCCATCCCTTCATCTTTCCAGAAGACCGGACATCAGGCATTAGACAGATTGGATTTGTCTGCCTCACTGCTGCCGGTGTTCCACACAGGGCCGGATTAACATAGGGGCTGATGGAGCTGCAGCTCCAGGCCCAGGCCCAGGCCCATGGAATAGGCCCATTGATTTAAAAATAAAAAATAAAAAATAAATTTTTTTTTTTTTTTTTTTTAACACACTACTCTTAGGGATTCCACCTGGCTTTTATTTTATTGGCACAGCCAGTATTTGAGGCTGCCTGGCTGGTGCCAATATTGCAGTGATACTGGCAATACAAATGCTGGTATTTTTCTCAGTATAAACAAGAGATTACTATGCAATACCAGCACTGGCCAGTAGGGGTCACTGTGTGTGTGGAGAGAGGCAGGGATAGGAAGTTCCAGCATATACCTCCCTGCCTATCTATACTCACTGATCTGTAGGGGTGCAGCTACAGAGAGTCCAGACAGCAACTCCCACCCTGCAGAGACAGCCTACAGCTCAGGGAAGTAAGGGGAGGAGGAAAGGCTGCAAGGAGAGATACACTGAGACACTAAGGGGCACTGGGAGACATTATGACACAGACACATGGGGACACAGTGTCCCCATGTTTCCCAGCCAGTGTCCCTGGTGTCTCGGTGCCCCCTAGTCTCCCAGAGCCCCGTAGTCTCCCAGTGCCCCCAGTCTGCCAGTGTCTCACTGTCCCCATGTCTCCTAGTGTCTCCATGTCTCTCAGTGCCTCAAGTGTCACAATGTCCCCATGTCTCCAAGCTAGTGTCCCTAGTGTCTGTGGCCCTGGTGTCTCAGTGTCCCCATATCTCCCAGTGCCCCCATGTCTCAATGTCCCCATGTCCCTCAACCAGTGTCTCTAGTGTCTGTGTCCCTGGTGTCTGTGTCCCCATGTCTTCAAGTGTCCCCTATTTTCCCATTTTCCCCATGTGTCCCAGCCAGAGTCCCCTAGTCTCCCAGTGTCACTGGTGTCTCCGTGTCCCTAGGTCTCCCCGTGTCCCCAGGTCTCCCCGTCTTCCTAGTGTCCTAGTGACATGGGGACCCTGGGATACATGGGGAGACATGGGGCATTGAGACACTGTGATACATAGGATCACTGGGAGACCTGGGGACACGACACTGGGAGACATGGGGCACTGAGACACTGATACATAGGAACACTGAGACCTGGAGTAATCGACACATGGGGGCACTGAGTCGTGAGGGCACTGGGAGACATGGGGGCACTGGGAGGAATCCATCTATACAGCAGAATCAAACTAAGTAGTTTTTTTTGGTGATTTTACAGCATTTTCTCTTATGTCACTCCTTGTGATTTACATCATGTGATGTCACCCATACATATTTAATTATGCAAATAGTTTTTACAAGAAAGGTGGCAACCCTAACTACTTTTCACATACTCTTACTTAAGTATGGAATCTTAAGAGGGATGTATGGGAACAAAACTTGTGTGGACTGGCTGACAATGAATATAGTTAAAGGGACACTATAGTCACCAGAACAACTACAGCTTATTGAATTTGTTCTGGTGAGTAGAATCATTACCGTCAGGCTTTTTGCTTGAAAAAGTCCTCAGTAGCAGGACGAAACGCGTTGACGAGGTGCACAGGGGTTTTTGTTATATATCCCCTGTAGACGGACCTGGAAGAACACATAGCTCTATCTACGTGCAGCTGTTTCCTTGCGGTTTTATTTTCGGACAGCCCACCTGAGTGCACGAGGAGGACGCTGTCAGCTTTGAAGATAAAAGACAGTTTTGTTGGGATACCAAGCAGCCGTGAGGTTTCTTCATTCCGGTCCATAGGAATAAGTACCACTGCTATATATACTTTTCAACATTGTGAGAGTTCTTATTTAGGGGGGGTTTTGTTTGTTATACCGGGCAATAAATGTTACAGAGTTACACTATATCTGTTTTCTCCGTTTTTGCCTAGGAATTTTCAAGCATCTATTTGAGTCTCCATTTCATCTAATCAGACATTGGACCCTGCCCCCCCTCTCTATTTTGATTCTAAAAGACTTTTTGGACCTTTTAAAGACTTCTTTTATATTTCCATATTTATATACATATTTTTATTTGCATCTTTTTTTCTTTCTTTACAGTTTTTATATGTGAAGTCTAGATGCATATTGCAATACTATTTTAACATATTTGCACCCTTGTTATCATTTTAAGGGGAGTATTTACTAAGCGCTGACAACATCTTTACTACCCTGTTATAGGAATTGGGAAATTCTTTTCTTTGTTTAGCAGCTGTTATTCACAGGGTACTTTAAGTACCATTTATCATTATTTTTAGTTTTGATTTTGTATGCGCTCTCTTAATTATTCTATTTATTGTGTTTGAATCATGCTGGCTCTGACTCTGATCTGCCTCCTTGTCAGTCTCAGCCAATCCTATGGGGAAGCACTGTGATTGGATCAGGCCACCACTTCTAATGATGTCAGCAGACTGCTTGTTTTTATGAGTCTAATAGCATGCAGAGTTACAGCTTCAGGCTTGAATATAGTAAGATTTTGTTATATTTATGGAGGCATGAGTGGCCCAGGGGGGGCTAGATGGTGGTGTTAACACTGTAGGGTCATGAATTCATGTTTGTGTTACTGACCCTATAGTGATCCTTTAAGGTAATGCTGACTTTGGTCTCTCTAACACTGTGGCATGTTCCCTTTCTTCTACACTCACTACATACAGCTTTTCTCTGTCCCAGACCATATACCAGGAGCTTATGCCTGCTAGTAAGAAGGTAAGGAGACAAGTGGACCAGCGAGTGCTAGGGGACAGTCCTTAGAAAGCGTTGAGCGAGCGCATCATTAGATGCATTTATGCCATGCTCAGGGTGCTGTCTGCATAGTATGCGCTTAGTTGGCCAGCTGCATGATTGGCAGGCAGCCTGACATGCATTCATGCCAGGCTGGCCTTCTAATTCTTTGGGCAGACATGTCCACTTTTTGAGCATGTTCGCCCCTTTTGGCAGGTTACGTGATTTGTGTCAGTGGCACACCCTTTTATCATGCCCATTGACTTGACTGGACATTGCTGTTAGGGGTTATGGATTTACTTGAAAGCAGAAAACATAAATTAGAGGGAGATTAGCCTAGGGTATGTGTTTTCTTATAGCTGCTGTTTTCCTTCTCTCCAGCACCATCTCCATCAGATACATGACGCTTGGGAGTGTTTTACTGTTTTTGGTTGATATGATTCTCTAATTAGGCCCGTCATAATTGTCAGCACCAGGCCCACTGGGCTCTTAATCTGGCCCTGGTTCCACAATAGGCTTGCTGAGATTCTTGCTAATATCTGAGTATATGTAAGAATGGGATATATTTGTAGCATTTACTATGGAATTTCGTATTCACTCTTCTTGGTACCTGATCTGTCTTACGTAAACTGTATAAAAACCATGAAGAAAGTAATTATTTTTAGTTAAGAGCACTTTTACTATACGCCCAGCTGCAGTTGTCAGTAGTTGGCTTACAGTTTTATGACAATGTTAAAGTAATTTCACAAATTATATTACACCCAATAACATGACCATGCAATTATGGTGTTTTTTTAATGTTCTCACTTCTTATAGGTGGAACGCCAGCAAGACCTTCCCCATATGCATAGGATGGCCAAACACAAGGATACTTACATGGTGGAGCAGGTTTTTAGCCCACATCCATACCCAGCTTCCCTGAAGTCCCACATGAAGAGTAATCCAATCTATACAGACATGCGTCTCACAGAAATGGCAGAGCTAAAACGCACCCAGCCTTCGTGGACCATAGAAGAATATGCACATAACTCAGGAGAGAAAGGAAGGCTGACTGCTCTAGACCTGCAAGTAAGTGGCAATTGAAATATACAGTCGTTCTGTATATTTACCCATTTCTCGCTCATGTTGAGATGTGATGTAAAACCGCATTAATCTCATGTATGATGTCTGTGATACATGACCTTGTCGCATTATCACCCACACACTAAAGCAGTCATTTACCAATCTCACATACAGTGTGTGCATAACTTTACCATCATACATAAATCTTACATGCACCAGTCATCCTGACACACTTACATATGTAAACAGATCAGTCACTGTCACCAAAAAGACACAATTTATTCTAGAACAATAATTTGGACTTGAGCACATTTAGTTGTCTTTTTTTTTCATTTTTTTAATATTATGGTGACAGCAGATCAATCTAAAAAGCATTTGTTTTTTAAATTAGGTCTATAAGATATGTGGTTCTGTATAATGTTACACTATAGCAGTCAGTATACATTTTTCTACCCCACTGGTAGGTAAAGAGTCATGACAGGGGCACATTCATCACATTTATCAAGAATACTGTACAATAGAAAATAAGCAGAGCTATTGAGAAAGGACAAATATTGATTAACTAAACATCTGGTTGCACTATGATTCCAATGATTATCTGGTAATACAGATAGAACAGTCCTCTTACAATATGTAACAAAATGCTGTTAAAGCTCCTAATTCAGTTCTTTATATTGTATATACCATAGGAAAAAACATCTCCACCTGCATGTTGCCTTACAGCTTGCACAAGGCTCTCTTTATTTAACCGTTTACCGTAAATGTTGCTTTATCAGACAACTCACTTTATATTTAAAACAACTTTGTCCAGCAATGTTACCCTATGGAAATGTAAGTGTACACACGCATTCCATGCAGTATCCAAAAAAGATCTTTGTGATCCAAACAGAAGCCAGCTATCATTCCCTTTTCATTTACAACCCCTATGTACACACTTTAATAAACATCTACCACCCATTCTTTCAACCCCATTACCTAGAAAATGAGGCCTAACCTATAGAATTGCAGCTGTTATTTATCATGAAATTAGACAGTCATTAACTTTTAGCCAACGATGACCTAGGAGTAGAGATGGTGTGTGTGTGTATGGGAGATGTTTTAGTGAAACACCCGATAGAAATGATCTTCCATGATTAAGATTACCTCCTAAACTCAGAAAATTACAAGAAAGTGGGGACTTACATGTATCTACGTTATCCTATGTATACCAGAAGGATGAACACTGAAATGCTTTCTGCACCACACGATGCAAAGACCTAAAGAATAGTTATTTAAAATTTCACTACCAAAGTACCTTTGAAAATGGTATCCTATAGGTCCCCACTTTCAGCCCGTAAAGGAACACTATAGCGCTATATTATGCCCCATCCCTAACTGTAGGTCCATCTCTTCCCCCTACCTCCATGTGAATGAAAGGGTTCAAAACCATTTAACATTCACCTTAATTCCATTGCCAAGGTCCTTCAATGCTGGTTCAATCTCCTCCTCCAGCGGTCTACAGACATCTATTTTAAGGGTTTAGTCAATAAAATGTGAATAGGACAAGAACAATTTGATAATTTAGGTCAGAATTAAAAATTTGAAGAAAAAAAAACAAACAAAAAAAACTTACAGCTTCCAGGCTAAGTGTCTCAGTTATATCAAACACCCACATTAAATCATACACACCCAGTCACCCACACAAAGTCACAGGCGTATCCTGAAGAAAGGGTGCTTGTGTGCTGTACATTTGAAAGCAGATAAATTAATTAAACTTGTTTTATTCATGTGTTTTGACATCTGCTTTTCAGAGGAATAAAGTCATGTCATTTTAAATTAATATAAGGTTGAAATAGCTGTTTTTGACATGATATTTTGTTCCTATTTAACAAGCTACCAATCTAAAATGTCTCCTATCAGAGTGCATTACAAATCGCAGGAGTAATAGCTCTTACAAATATAGATGTCTATTTTTTCTATTACAATGTCTGCATGACTCACATATTTTACCATTACTTAGTAGAAAAAAAAAACAAAAAAAGACAATATAATTTGTCCAAGTAAATATCACCTGGCAAAATAATAGTTTGTGACACTCCAAACAACATAACTACTTATGTTCTTACATAGACTTCACTCCAAGCCTTTGTTCTATTCATTAGTCCGGCAGCAAGGATTTTGGGGATATGCTCAACAATTGTTTTGATGTATAGCAAATAAGGGACAATTGAGGGTGCCTATATTCTATTATTATGAAACTAAAATGTAATATAGGGGAGCGTAACAGACCCTGGGAGTGTCACTTTAAATGATTTAATAAGATTGACCCCAGGAGCTCAGTAGAATATTTTTACAATGAGATTAAAATGAATAAAATATGTTTTCACTTAAAAAGCAATATTATGGAGGAAAAGAGTTATTATTTCACGAAAAAGTCCGCTTTCACTGTTCATTCTAATGTATAGATTGGTAGCTTTTTTTTTTTTTCAATTTGACAATTTTTATTGTTGATAAGAACAGGGGAGGGGGGGTACAGAAGAGAAGAAGGAGGGGGGGGGGGTTTCCGTGTTACAGTATATGTCACTCGGTACAAGGCGACATAGCGTAGTAGCATAGTAGCTTGGTAAAACAGTAATGGTTTGGACAGTGGTATTAATAATATTGTTGTTAAGAAAAATAAGCCGCACAAAATTGCTTAGTGTAATTCTAGTCAATGCGCCCACACATGGGCTGGGGAGATCTGTGTAATTTGGAGTATATTTCCCCATGCGTAGCCTAATCCGATGCTCTTTCGCTTTGCGAACACAGTGGGTCAATACAATGCATACATGTTGCTATGGTACAGGAATGAGTCGCCTTACTCAGGGTTTGCCAATCTCCACGCGTCCCACACATCCCATGCTGTCGTCCCTGTACGGGTGGGTGGGCATATATTCGTGAAGCAACGCTCATAGAGTCTCTGCTCAGCTATTTCTGAGAGTACGTTTTGTATCTTAGGAGTGGTTGGAGATTTCCAGGCCCGCGCTATAAGGCGTTGAGCCGTTAGTGTTGTGTGGAAAATTAGTTTTTGGAGGTACTTAGGAGTGTGGGGGGGAGTGTGCAGTAGCAGGTACGTGAGCGGGTCTAGGGGCAGAGTAAGTTTCGTGAGGTCTTGTAGGAAGGAGTGCACTGCTTCCCAAAAGGGTTTTATCAGTGAGCACGTCCACCAGATGTGTAAAACTGATCCGGTGTGTTCCCGACATCTCCAGCAGGTGGATGAAGCGGCGGGGTACATTTTAGAAAGCCGCTCCGGGACCATGTACCATCTATAAATCATTTTTTTGTTCTGCTCCAGTAACGGTGCTGATTTAAGGAGGGTTTTGGGTGCGGTAGATAAAGTGTTCCACTCTTTGTGAGTGAGCTCAATGGTCAGATCTTCTGCCCATTGTCTAGCTGGCGTGGCCTCTGAGAGAGGTGTGAAGTCTAATAGCAATTGGTAACACGTGGAGATTGGCTTACATAGTGGGGGTAGTTTTTTATTTATACACATTTTTTCCCATATTGTAAGTTGGTCGGTGGCGGTTTGGCTGGGCGGTACTTGTGTAGCTTGTTTGTGCAGGAAAGAATGAAGTTGTCTGTAGGAAAAATGAGATGTCAGGGGGACACCGTGGAGTGAGTGTAGGGTGTGAAAGTCTAGGAGCTTTGAGTTAGCGTGGAATTGGCCTAAGTGTTGGAGCCCCTTCTCCTGCCACGGTTTAGCGTAGAAGGTGGGAATGCAGTATGTGAGAGCCGCTGTCGGTGTGGCTGGGGACAGAGGGCCGCTGGAGGTCAGTTTATGTCTGTGTGCGTCCCAAACTCGTATGAGTAGGGCGAGTTGGGGAGGGATATCTTTTAGGGGGGGGCGAAGCTGTTGCGGGAGCCATAGTATGTGGGTGATGTCATACGGAGTCATCATGAGCTTCTCAAGCCTGACCCATTGCGGGGGGCTTTGGTCAACAAAATGGGGGATGGCTGCTGCTAATATGGATGCGTGGTAATAGGTACGCACGTCCGGGACTGCTAAGCCTCCTGCTCTAGCTGGAGCTCGTAGGAGCTTCATTGAGATGCGGGGTTTACCCTTGTTCCAGATGAAGTTGGTGATATCGCTCTGTATCGCTTTAAAATAGGATTGTGGCATTGGTAATGGGAGGTTCCTAAAAATGTATTGTAACCTGGGGAGTATGGACATCTTAATCGCCACTATTCTCTCAGTCCAAGTCAGGAAGAGGGATCCCCATTTTGTCAGGGATTGTTTACACTCTGTCCAGACCCTGATATAGTTGGTTGCGCTTAGGTCAGCGCGGCGTCTGGAGAACATAACACCTAGGTATTTGATGTTATCCCGCCTCCATTCGAAAGGGTATGTCATGCGTAGTGTTTCCGTCACTTGGGGGGGTAGGCCAATTCCCAGGGCTTGGGTTTTTGTGGTGTTCAGTGCGTAGTAGGAGCATAGGCCATATTCCTTGATGATGTGCATAATTACAGGGATCGTGGTCATGGGATCGGTGACATAAAGGAGGATATCATCCGCGAAGGCGCTAACTTTGTAATCTGTCCCCTTAATTTGGATCCCTTTGACGTCAGGATGGTTTCGAATGGTTTGCAGGAGGGGTTCTAACGCCAACACGTACAGCAGGGGGGATAGGGGGCACCCCTGCCTCGTTCCATTGGACAACTGAAACGGGTCAGACATAAAGCCTGCCTGTAGTACCTGGGCTGTCGGACCCGCATACAGAGCAAAAATTTGTGACTCAAACTGGGGGGGGAACCCATAGGCTCTCAAGGCTTGTTGTAGGAAGGGCCAGCTTAGGCGGTCAAAAGCTTTTTCGGCGTCAAGTGCTAGTAATAGACCGCCTCCTCTGGTCCCCCTGAGGTAATCCAGAATCAGCGACAGTTTCCTGGTATTATCTGTTCCCTGTCTTCCTTGTATGAACCCTGTCTGGTCATCCCCAATAAGGGATGGCAGGACCCTATTTAGTCTATTCGTTAGGATCTTCGCATAGATCTTTGCATCTGAGTTTAGAAGCGATATAGGGCGGTAATTTTTACAGGTGTCCGGGGGTTTGTCGGGTTTCGGGATGGTTACTATGGTAGCCCGGAGCATCTCTGGTGGGAGCGCGCCCGTGGCAGTCGCCCTACGGTACACTTTTAGCAGGTGGGGACCCAGGACGTGCGCAAATTTTTTGTAGTAGGCGTTTGGGAGCCCATCTGCTCCTGGTGACTTCCCTTGTGGCAATTTGGCGATCGTTTCAAGCACCTCTGTGAGCTCAATGGGCCTGATTAGTGCTTCTGCCTGTACGCTCGTTAGTTGGGGGAGTTTGGCTTGGGATAAAAATTGGGTTATGTCGTCTAAGCTAGCATTGTGAGTGCTGCCCTCCTCCTTTAGGTTGTAAAGTTTAGAGTAGAAATGAGCGAATTCCTGGCTAATATCTATGGGGGTAACCTTCTTTAGTCCGTCGCCTCCCACCACGTGGGCTATCTTGGAGCTAGAGCATTGATTTCGTAGCCTGGCGGCTAAGTATTTAGTGGCTTTCCCACTATTGTGGTATACATTGGCTCTCAGTTTGTGGAGCATGCGCTTGGTTTTTTCTGTATTCAGCTCTTGCATTCGTGCGTAAAGCACTCTGAGCTGTTTCGCTAGGTCAGGGGTGGGCTTAGATTTATTCTGCCTAGAGATTATAGCTATTTGCCTAAGGCAATCAAGGAGGCCGGACGTATTCTGCTTCTTTAGGAAGGCGGCTCGTCTCAAGAAAAGCCCCCGTACTACTGCTTTATGCGCCGACCAAACCGTGTAGTCTGAGACCTCTCCTGTCGCGTTCAGCGCAAAGTATGCTTGGAGTTCTTCTCTTATGTGTTCCGCAAAGGGTGCATTGGACAACAGCGAATCATTTAGACGCCAGGACCCCCGGCCCCGAAATTGGAAAGTGTCTAGTAGGTTTAGATAGACGGGACCGTGGTCTGACCAGGATATTTCCCCTATGGTGCACTGCGTGAGTTGCGGCAGTAGTGTCCTGTGTAGGAGAAAGGTGTCTATGCGCGTGTATGTATTGTGGACTCTGGAGTGAAAAGTGTAATCCCTGTCTGTCGGGTGCATGGTCCTCCAGGCGTCGTATAAGTCGTATTGGTCAAGGAGTTTGGAGAGTGCTTTACATGATGTGTCCAGTCTCCGTTTGTTTGCGCCCGTGGGGGTTGCAGTAGTGTCTAGCCCTAGCGATTGTATGCAGTTAAAGTCTCCGCAGAGTATCAGGTCCCCTAACCTATAATCTTCGATTTTGCGCAGGAGGGAAGACAGAAAGTGGCGTGGTCGGTCGTTGGGCAGGTACGCTGATTGGTAGCTTTTTAAATGATGTTCCATTGCTTGTTTTGCATTTATTGCTGTTTCCTAAATTATTGTAGAATTCTTGAAATAATGGTGGCATTCCAGGATATGCTGGAATGGACAGGGTATCTATGTAATATTGGGAGCAGAATGGATAAAGTCTAAATCGCAAAATTGTATTATTAAAAAATTACAGATTTCCAGTTTGTCAATCAATATTTAATGCAATATTTTATTATATACATGACCAAGTCAATGATGGTGTAGTAGGGTTAACCAAGTGTGAAGGCAAGTTGAAGATAAGGGTAAGACAACTCTCTGGTAGCGAATTGACACATTGCTGAAAAATAATAATTATAATAACAAAGTATTTAACCAGGAAAGGTACATTCAGATTACTCTTATGGCAGTCAATAAAAATCTTTCAAAGGTCTGCCATGAAAGCCAATGACAGCAGAAAGTCATCAGAATAGAGGTTAGCTCTAGTTAGGCTGTACATGAAGCATGGGGTAAAATTAGAGTTACATACATTATATCCTAAAGCAATATAGATATAGAGATATATAATAAACATATAATAACTATAGACATATAATAAATAAAGTTCCTTGGTTGATTAAACAGTTTTTGGAAATTGCTTAGGCTAAAGGATAACAGTAGAAACAGTGTTATCTTAACAATTAACCAGGACTACACCGAGGAAGCAATCAGGATGCAATGTCTTACAGGTGGTGTGTGTATCTGATTGCAGACAGGTGGGGCAGGAACCAACTGGCCAGGTAGAATTCAGAAGTGTACAAAGACAATGGCGTTATCCAGCAGCTGATTCAGCTCACTGGTAATCTTAAACTGCTGTGGTCTACTATACCTCTCCTTACAGACTCAAGAATCCCTGAACCCCAATAATCTTGAGTTTTGGATGGAAGACATTTACACTCCAGGTTATGACTCCCTACTGAAGAGAAAGGAGGCCGAGTTCCGTCGAGCCAAGGTCTGCAAGATGGCAGCGCTTATCACTGCGGCTGCTTGCACGGTGATTCTGGTGATTGTTGTTCCCATCTGTACCATGAAGTCCTAATCTCCTGCAAAGGACATAAACTGTTCAAATCACGTTACCCGTGCATTATGCTCGTGGTGATGACTCACATGTCGAAAGAGCTGCATTGATCTTAGACATATACAAGCCATTACAAACCTTAAAAGAGCTATTGTAAAAATGCAATCCTACTGTACAATACGCCAGGCAACAATAAACACAGAAGGGGTATATTTACCAAGGACATAAATACTGCTAAAAACCAGTGCTTGATATTTTGTGTCACCTGTTTATTCTCAAAATGCCTATCTGGTAGGTTTTCTATTTGCCAAAAATCTTGACTGCTCTAAAAAGTAGGTAATGTCTGTTGAAAATGAATAAATAGATTAACATAACATAAAAATATCCATTCTGTTCTGGGAGCAGAGCAGTTTAGATGTTTGTTACGTTGCTATGATGGTTACATTTTCAGTTTTAGCTGCAGTAATGTATCAGAAGTGAAATTGCAGACCTTGAGTTTCCTTATCTGGCTGTGAATTCTCCTGTGTCCTGGACCCTGTCACTCTCCATCCCTCTATACAATATTGTGACCTACATTTTAGTGAATATTCAATATCTATATACAGATACTATATTTTTTATATGTTTGCTGCTTTCGTAGTTGCTTAATTTCGGTGGGGTGGCTATAGAGTCCCCTGCCACTGTCCTATTTCATATTTAATAGTTTTTTTAATGTTTGAGAGACACAGCAGCCTGTCCCCGAGACAGTTGTTAGCCAACTATAATTTGCACAAAAAAAAGAAAAGAAAAAAAAAGAAGCTTTTCAGGGGAGTTGTTCAGCAACATTTAGCACACTTGTGAGAGTATGAGTCAGGCGTGAAGGTCTACAAAATGCCAAAACCACAGAATATTCAATTAAAATACACCATAGACTGTGATTTTTTTTCTTTCTGATGACAAAGCATTAAAACAAACAGCAATGAGCAACGATAATAGACAGTGTCAGCTGACCATACAGGCTATCACAGCCACCCATTCCTAGTATGAATTGGTTTGGCTAAGGAAAAGTACACATGGAACCAGGAGACTCCAAGAACTATAACCATTTCAGTTAGAAGTGTCCCTTTAAGTAATGTCAGGAAAGTTTTTGCAGGAAAATTCTCAGTTTAAAATTAATTTTCCTATTACTATTTTTGTAAAAAAATAAAAATAAAAAAAGAGTTTCATGCCACTCAGTTATTGCAAAAAGGTTGGAATATGGGAACTTATTCATGGATTTTATTATTCATGAGTATAGATAACTTTTACGGTTTCACCCATTTATTTATTTCAACAAAAATAACAGATGCACTTGCCAAATATATTTAGAACCAAAACAGAAATTATTCAGAGTTATCAAATTATTTTAGTTATTGTTGTAGCAATAGAGACAAGCAGATGTATTGACTAAACTCTGACTTCTAGTGAACTGAAGTCTGAATTGCAAAATTTAGCCAAGCTGTGACTGCAGACTTAGATAGGGTTTCAAAATCAGCTATTGCACCATACATTTTACAATTTTGATTTCAGTTACTACAGTTCACTATACTGAATAACGCCCAGCATTTCTATTTTTAGCTTTGTGAAGACCGGATTTTCATAACAAATTTAGTAGATTGGAACAAGTTTTCCCAGGTCCAGAAATACAAAAATAGATCAGTGGTTCCCAAACTTTTTAGGTTCAAGGTGCCCTTAATATTTCAATATTTTTCCAAGGCACCCCAAATCAAACCAATTTTCTAGGTTGTATATATGTACAGCGCTGCGGCATATACTGGGCCCCTAATCTTGGGAGTGGGACTGGTAGCTTATTTAAAGAAACAATTCAGGCACAATAACCACTACTTACGTTGTAGTGGTTATGGTGCCAGTAGTGCTGTAGTGCCCTTCCAGGGTAAGTAGTCAAACTGTTTAAGAACAGTTTGACAACTTACCTGGGGCTGCCAGGATAGGGGCTGTAATATGTGTATGTACAGGGGAGCATTGTGTTTGTGAAGGATTTAGTTTGTGTGTGTGGGAGGGGTGCAGTGTGTGTATTTGGGGCAGTTTGTGCATGAGGTGTGCAGTGTGTGTGTGTGAGGGGTACAGTGTGTGTGGGGGAGGTTCAGTGTGTGTGAGGGGTACATTGTGTATCTATGGAGGGGCAATGTGTGTGTATGGGGGGTAGTGTGTGTGTGTATGGGGTGCAGTGTGTGTGTGTATGGGGGAGCTATTTTCTGGTGTGGAGTCTGTGGGGGTAGAAGGGCAAATTAATAAATATACACTTTATTTAAAAAAAAATTAAATTAAAAATAAAAATGATGTCCCCCCCCCTCCCTGTTTATATTTGCCTAGGAGGGGGGGCATTTCCTGCAATCCCTGGTGGACCTGGTGGTGACAGTGAACTCTAGCAGCCTCAGGAGCTGCTAGAGCTCACTCTCGCGAGATTCGGAGTGATGCCGTGATAACCACGCCAACGCTCCGAGCTAACAAGAGGAGAGCCCGGCGGAGCTGCAGGTTAGAGCACCCCCGAGTCCTCTCTCCCTCCCTCCCTGTCGGCTGCCAGCAAAGTGCTAGCGGGCCGGAGAGGGAGATCTCTGGGGAGAGCACAGTTCCCGCTAATATGATCATAGCACCATGAAAATAGCTTGCGGCACACAGTTTGGGAACCTCTGATCTAGATGTTAAAATCTCAGTACCCTCCAAAGTTGATCTTATTACTTACAGTTAAAGGGAAACTGTAATGCTAGGAATACAAAGTTGTCTATAGTGTCCCTCTTGCTTGCAGCCCTCTCCCCTCCACCTAGTAATGAAAGGGTTAAAAACCCTTTTGTCACTTACCTGAATCCAGCGCCAATCTCACTTGGTGCTGGGTCAGGCTCCACCTCCGCTTCTCCCCTGCCGACGTCAGCAGGCGGAGGCAACCTAATGCATATGGACGGCGAGCCTAAAGTCGTCTAACCACCCTGAAGCGCCTCTTGTGGTTGTCTGGTAGACAGCCACTAGAGGTAGAGTTAACCCTGCAAGTTAATTATTGCAGTTTCTCAATAACTGTAATAATTACAATTCCAGGGTTAAAAAGACAGGGTAAGTGCACCAAGACCACGTCAATGAGCTGAAGTGCCCTGGGTGCCTATAGTGTCCCTTTAACATAGCTACCTACGCCTATTTATTTCAGCAAGGGTCTTTTAGTTTGTTGTTTTATTATATTGTCTGTAAACGGTATAACAAACTGCCACAATTATTTTTACCAAACACGCCTGATAAACTTTGTACTGTACCTTGCTAAATATACCCCAAAATGTACCCTAGAACTAGTCAGTGTAAAATACCATCTTCTTCTTGCTCTCTGGACTGGATATTACATATTGGTAGGAATTTTAATCTCAGAATTCTTTGGTACAGCCACTACATACTGAATCCAATTCCAAGTTAGAGAAATTATAGCATTAGTACATAAGCATTATTTGTAAAGCTTAGCATTTCAGCAATCAGGAATGTAACAAGTAAAGGACAGAAATCATGAACTGCCAAAGAGATGAAGGAGCATCTTCTAAACAGCAATACAGCAACATCATCTCGTCTTTTGTGCCTTTCTGCAATACATTTCCAGCAACTGGGCTCTTTTGCATCATGTGTACCAAGGAATGTTAACCTTGATTGGGTTTACTTAACAATACGCTAAGTGTGCAGCTAATAATGTCTTTACTTGCTCTAACCTGTTTGATATTGGAAATTGAAAGTATGGATTTAGGAACAACTGGTTTATAACAAAGTGAAAAATTTATTTGATTAATAACAAACCAAACATTTTGGATGGATGCTAAGATTTCGCAATGTCCAACTTGCATGAACTCTTTAATATGTATGATATAAATATATCTGATGAATTTGGGACAATGACTTTAAAGTGAATAACCCACTAAGGGCCAATAACGGTGTATGCCATAATAGTTTAATCCTTATGGATGTGGTATGTTCTGCCCATTTAGCATTAGATGGTCAGTAAAGGTCTGTTTTGATAAATTAGTAGGACATGCCACGATGGAATACAGATTTTAGGAGTTCATTTTCATGATTATATTTATTGCTCGTGGTCCCTAATAAGTTAAAAGTCAGAGATATTATAGGGCTAGTTATTAGGGTCAAGTGTTATCGAATTTCTCAAGATACGGTTCTATAAATTTGCATGTGAGTGTTGCTTTATATTGAGACAAAGGACAATTTATAAGGAAAGCACTCAGCCACTCACATTGTAGTACAGAGTCTTAGACACATAGTTTCATGTAACAGAACAAGTCAACTATTTTCTTAAACTGGATGCTCTAGACCAGCGATTCTCAAGCCAGTCCTAAAGGAGAACTTACAGGCCAGGTTTTATTGATATTACAATTCTGGATTTGATCAATATCCTCATAATATATAATGGTACAATCCCTAAATCCTGGTGTTTTGGCAATTTTCCAGGTTTGATTTAAGAATCGCAGCTCTAAAGCAAAATTCTCACATTTTATTTATAAGCAATTTACCACTATTAACAGATTTGTTCACCCCAATGAATCGACCTTTCATCCAACCAGTACCTCCAATATTATTATTTTTTTTATCAGATACCATTAAAGTCTATACTTAAATTGGTATGGGGGAAAAAAAAACCAATAGTGGATAAAACATTATCATAAGCAAATCGTTCACATAAAGTTGGGAGAAATCTTGGCTTCTTATATAATGTGAATGTATATGAATATGCATTGTATTCTATATTATTATTAATAGCATGTATTCTAGATATATACATATATATAAATATATACAGATATATTAAATCGAAATTGTATACCCTTTAACCAGGTTTCACTGGTGTAGGCTTATCTCTTGCAAGAGCCCCATGTCATATATGGTCTTTAGTTTCTTGATAAGTTTACAAAGCTTAATCCCAAATTTGAGTGAGTTTGGGTAAATCCAGACAGAAGCTGTTTAAGAACATCAATGTGTTGAACCTGGACTGTTTATGGAACCTCTTTATAACAGATTAATCTATGTAATATTTCATAACAAAATGAATGTATAGAAAAAAGAACATATTATTTAATAAATACATTTGAAATGGATCATGCATTATTTACTGTATTGTTCATTGTATTTTTCACAGGACATAGTATACAATGTCAAGACAACTGTAAATTATTGAAATATTTCTGTTGCTTTTATTTTATAATTTTTTTCCCCCTTCCAGTTTATTTTCTATCCCATGCACAAGGAAGAGGAGTTCCTGTGTTTTTGAAACTGCAGTTTCAAATATGAGGTTACAGGATTATGTTTTCAAAAAACATGATTTATTTATATACGTATTTATGTGCGAGAAACCTCAAATCAATGTCATCAGTAGTTAGGCATTAAAAATGTTCCACGCAAAGTCTATAAGATTTTGTGCCATATTCCTTTATAAAGCTATTCTCCTGCTAATCTGAGATCAGTGTACTGTTAAACAACTCCTTCAGCCTTTTACTATTATTACTTAGTATTATTTTATGACTGTTTGTTTGTGAGCAATAAATGTGATAAGCAGGTTTTCCCCCTTAATGGGTTTGGAAATACAATCAACCTGTGTGTTTTCAGATCCTTATCCCCATCCCGTGTTATGATGTAGATGTGGATTATTTAATTAATGTGAAGGTACTCTGCATTTCCTAATACCTAAAAAGGAGCCCCAGATCCATACTGAATATATTTGCAATATTTCTCTCTCATTTGGTGAATGACTTTAGAGAAAGCCAATTGGCTGGACTACCAGAAATTGCCTCTTCGACTTTGGGTTCCATTTAAATACATCAATATGTTCCAGACCGAAGTGGGATTTTACGGAAAGGAATAAAATGTCACAATCCAGGCAATTTTACCCATCTGAAATTAAGGATGTTGTTTGTTGTAAGAAACTGCACACACTGCACAAAGATATATTACTCAATCTCCAGCAGTAGTCTGCTCAGCAAATTCAACTTCTAATCACTTGGTAAGATTACTTTAGATTTGGAATTTAGTATGAGAAAACATTAGGATAAAGTCGCATTTAGAAGAATCGGAGAAACAGCATTTTAATAACAACGATTCAAACATTATATAAAACTGAAAATTTTACATAGAACAGCTGGGATTAAGAGAGTATTAATATAATGTAGAAAAGCTTTTATTTCTTGAAAGGAATACACTTTTCTGCTGTTATTTTACTGCCTATAGCATCAGGGTTTGCTTGGTTTATGTGTTATAGTGTGTTATAGTGCAAGGAATGAATTTATAAAATATGTTATATTAGTCTCTTACTTGCATTATACAAGGAACAACCTGTTTGGCAAACAGAGCCATAAATGCACATAATGATTAAACATCGTACAACCATAACGGAATGTTTAGTGTGCATCTGCTATTCACAAAATGTGCTCACGACTACGCCCATATCTGGTAAATGCACAATTTTATCTTAAAGGGTTACTCCAACCAAAAACTGTGTTTTAATAAAACACAGTTTTTGGTTGGAGTAAACCTTTAAGGTAACCCTTTTTTGGATGGAGCAACCCATGCTGGCATGATCCCTTCTGTAAAAAAAAAAAAAAAAAATGACAATCCCACACTGAGGCCAGGTTCTCCCTGCAGTCTGATCCTCCTCAGAGGACATCACTTCCCTTCACTGCAGTGGGAAGGTAGGCTAAGTGAACAAATCGGGCAGCAAAGGAGGGGGGCATGCTACCATTGGATGTCTGTTGCCAGCATGCTATGCGTGCTGACAGACCCCATTTATGGAGAGAATTAACATTAGCCAGCCCGGAACTCTTCCTTAGAGCTGGCTAATGGCGCTGCTGGAGGTTACATCTCCGACAGCAATGTGCTATATCTGCGTACAGCGTTTAAAAACACAAAAGTGGTCATGGCTTTGGAATAACCATTTCAGTTTGCATTGATGTGAAACTTAACATTACCAGCTGCAGCCACTACTTTTGTGTCAGATTTTTTTTTTTTTTTAAATATGCATCTAATTATAAAAGAAAACCAGAGTGAGGAAGACAGACAGATCTATAAGATTAGGCAAAAAGAGGCTAAGCAAGTTATAAGAGCCTCCAAAACACACACAGAAGAGAGCATAGCACAGTCAGTAGAAAAGGGGGATAAAACATTTTATAGATACATAAATGAGAAAAGGAAAGTAAAACAAGGATTAGTTAGATTAAAAACAAAAGAAGGAAGGTATGTAGACGAGGATAAATGTCAAGCTGAGGGACTTCAGTTAAGAAAAAGGAAAAATTAGTCATTTGCTACATGTGAGTTTAGAGAGGAAGAGGTTCTATTTCAACTGTCAAAAGTAAAGACAAATAAGTCGATGGGGTGATGGGATACACCCAAAGTTATTAAAAGTACTTAGTGGTGAACTAGCGAAACCATTAACAGATTTATTTAACCAATCATTGTTAACCGGAGTAGTCCCGGAAGATTGGAAGTTACCGAATGTTGTGCCTATTCACAAGAAAGGTAGTAGGGAGGAGTCAGGCAACTACAGGCCAGTAAGCCTTACTTCAGCAGTGGGGAAAGGAATGTAAACCATATTAAAGGAAAGGATTGTTAAACATCTAAAATCACATGGATTTCAAGAGACAACATGGGTTTACTTCAGGGAGATCATGCCAAACAAATCTTATTGATTTTTTTGATTGGGTAACTAAAATAATAGATCAGGGTGGTGCAGTAGACATTGCAGATTATTGATAAGCCTTCTAAGTGGAACAGTGTCAAAAGTCTTACTAAAATCTAGGTAAGCAATCTTTAAAGGACCACTATAGTGCCAGGAAAACAAACTAATTTTCCTGGCACTATAGGGTCATTAGGTCCCCCCCACCCTCAGGGACCCCCTCCCGCTGGGCTCAAGCCACTTACCTTTCTCCAGCGCCGGGCTGCCTCTGCGCTGGTGACCTCTCCTCCCGCTGCCGACGTCAGCTCCGAATGCGCATGCACGGCAAGAGCCGCGCGCACATTCAAACCGCCCATAGGAAAGCATTACTCAATGCTTTCCTATGAACGTCCATCGTCTTCTCACTGTGATTTCCAAAGTGAGGATCGCGAAAGTGTTACGGGCAAATGCAAATATTACAAGTTTTAGAATGAAATGTTGTATTTCTTAAACTGTGTACTTTGTCTTTAAGAGATATTGCAAACTGACAAGGTGTTAGAAATGGAACATATTGTTTTTCATAACTGTTTCTTTAAGCAATAACCTCAGTGCATAATATGTTTGCACCATTTTGTCCCAGACGAATTACAATAACAATAATGCATAAACAAGCTTCAAGGCTATGCTACGACTCTTGCAGTACACAATATACTGTGGTAACCCCAAGTTAATGGAACTTCCCCAAATCCGGGAATCTCCCACGACTGTACACTTACGACTTAGTATAAACAACAGATAACCTATTCAGACTTTAAGATGCCATCTTGAACTAAGTCAGGAAAATTTCCATGACGTATACACCCTTTAGTTATGGCCTTGTATGTTTGCCAAATTAAGGGAGGACCTAAATTGAATAAAGTAAAAGAAGTGTTACTTTTTCATATTTGAACTACAGTAATCTAAAATGGAGATAGGAGACTTATGCCAGGGTTAACTTCAGGTACTTTATTAGTGTTTTTAGACATATTATGAAACTTGAATGAAAACAGACTTTAGGCAATATGCCACCAAACAGGATACTTGCCACAGAACAGGTTACTTGCAAATAATAATGAATGCCTGTAATTTCCAGGTAACAGTGGAAGAACTACTCCTAACAATAACCTGCTCCATCCTTACTTATACTTCAAACCAGCCTACCTTTGTAACCAGCCTACCTGGAAATTAGACATTATTATTATTTATCCTGTTTTGTGGCATATTACCTAAATTCTGTTTTGCCTCAAGTTTCATAATATGTCTAAAATCACAAAAAAAAAGTACCTGAAATCAACCCTGGCATAAATCCCCTATCTGGCCTGCACAAGATCATGACATATATAGGGACACTGAGACATTTGGGAACACTAAGACACTAGGGATACTAGGGGACACTGGGAGACATGGGGATACTGAGGCACTAGGGACACTGGCTGGGAGGCATGGGGACACAGACATTTGGGGACACTAAAGACACAGAGACATGGGAACACAGACACTGGCAGACATGGGGACACAGACACTAGGGACACTGGCTGGGAGACATGGGGACACTGAGACACTAGGGACACTGGCTGGGGGACATGTAGACACTGGGAGACATGGGGACACAGACATTTAGGGACACTGGGAGACCTGGGGACACAGAGACACTAGGGACACTGGCTGGGAGACATGGGGACACTGTGTTCCTAGTGTCTCCGCGTCCCAATGTGTATCCCAATGTCCCTATGTCTCACAGCATCCCCATGTCTCACAGTGTCCCCTAGTGTCTCAGTGTCCCCAGGTCTCCCAGTGTCCCCATGTGTCCTTTAGTGTCTCAATGTCCCCATGTCTCCCTGCTGCCTTTCCCCTCATCCCTTACTTCCCTGAGCTGTAGGCTGTCTCTGCAGGCTGGGAACTGCTGTCTAGACTCTCTGTGCTCTGTAGCTGCTCCCCCGCGGATTAGTGAGTAGAGAGAGGCAGGGAGGGATATGCTGAAACTTCCTATCCCTTCCTCTCTCCACACAGTGCTGGCTGGTTGCTGGTATTGCAGAGGAATCTCCTTTTAGACTGAGAAAAATATCTGCATTTGTAATGCCGGTATTACTGCAATACCGGCACGGCCAGGCAGCCTCAAATACCGTCTGTGCTTGTAAAATACCAGTCAGATGGCAGACCTAAGAGTAGTGTGTAAAAAAAAAAAAAGTGGGGGGGTTTGTTTTTTAAATGGGCCTATTCCATGGGCCTGGAGCTGCAGCTCCATCAGCCCCTATGTTAATCCGGCCCTGCCCTTACAGACACACACACTGCATCCCTTACATACACATAAACACACCTTGCATCCCTTACACATACAAACACAGATTCATACAATGAATCCCTTACACACACAATACATCCCTTACACACAAACACACAATACTTTCTATCCTTTACACAAAAACACACTGCATCCACTACACACACACTGCATCGCCTACACAATCTGGTATCCATATACTCTACATTCCATAAGCACACACATTAGATCCTCTATGGGTGGGCCTTATGGGCATACTCACTGTCCGGCCGTGGGGGTGCAGACCTAGAGCTGTGTAAGGGGCCCCCAAAAATGGAGCTAGTTCCCGTTCCCGTTTTTAATGTAAACACACTGTGTGCAGAACTGAAGTTGGTTCATATGACAAATCATATGGGTTGGGCATTGTGATGTTACATGGTGGGCAGCGCAAATGGGGGGGGGGGGTGTAAAATTTTTATTTTGCCTAGGGCGGCAAAAATCCTTGCACCGGCCCTGGGTCAGAGCTGTGGCAACTGACATTTAATGTGGATAAATGCAAGATAATGCATCTTCGGCATAAAAACTCAAGAGCAGAGTGTAGAATATTTGATACACTACTAACCTCAACATCTGAGGAAAGGGATTTAGGGGTAATTATTTCAGATGACTTTTTGACACACAGAGTGAGTTTGCACAGTATATTTTGCAAACCTTATGTGTGCCACGACTGTATAATACTTCATATGTTGCTCAGCTATGTCGTCTGAGTACAGCAATACCCCCGTATGTACTTTTGCCAGGTATATGTGGATGTTGAAGGGGCACATTTGAAACGCATCCATTCAGTTTTTTTCTAACTTTGAAGTTTAACGCTGTGTCCATGTTCCATTTTGGAGTAGTGTAGCTGGCTGGTTATTCAAACTTCCCCACAAACACATACTATTTATTAAAGACTACACCCCAGGGTAATTCAAAAGTTATATTTTGAACCTTACCGTGGGATCATTTTTTCGCTAGTATGTTCCAAGGGTAGTGGTAATGAGCATTTTCCAATGTATTTTTTTACTTTTTAAAACTCATTTTTAATCTTTTTGACATTTTTTTTTTTTTTTACACTTAAAATATTTTATAAACTTTTTTTACCGTTAACCCCTAACTAGCAGTAAGCAGCACTAACAGTAAATCCCGCACTTTCCCATAACTCCCACCCACCCCAACTAGCAAAATATATGATTTTAAAATATTTAAATTAATTAATGAATTAAATTGAACCCCTGAGGGTTAAAAAATAAATAAAAGTTAATCCTAAGGCGTTAAAAAAAATTAGATCACAGTATAATACTATGATCTGTATTTTGATCACTGCAGGCAGTGATCAACTGGCAGGGAAGAGGTTAATTTTTATTTGGACTGAGTAAAGGGGGGGGGGGTGGAATTTTTTTTAAATGTTATTAAAACATTTTTTTAAAAACTTTTTAAATCTTTTTCAACGTTAACGCCTAGCTAGCCTAACACCAAATCCCCCACTAACTTCCACCCACCCCAGCTAAATATATAATTTTAAAATATTCAAATTAATTAATAAAATAAATTTAACCCCTGAGGGTTAAAAAAACTAAAATAAAAAATAAGATAAAAATCAGATGACAGTAAAATGTATTCCCTGCCAATTGATCACTGTAGTCAGTGACCAATTGGCAGGGAAGGGGTTAATTTTATTAAAGCAGTGGAAAGGGGGTGTGGGATTTAGCTTTAATTATTATTATTTTACACAGGGTGAAGAGGATCAGCACTGATCCGTCTCCCTGCACTTCACACCGAACGCGAAAGAGCAGGGAGGTGGATTGTGAGTCCCTGCAGCACATGCTGTCAGAGCGATCACTGCTGCAGGGACAGCGCGATCGGGTGGGCATTAACCCCCGTAGACCGGGTGAGCATTAACCCGCGATTGCGACGGTCTGGGGTTAACTTTATTAAATGACGGAGATTTTCCGTCAAAGGTCCTTAACGCAAGGACAAGCTTGACGGAAAAATCCGGGAAAGGGTTAATTGTTTCATATCTTCAATGTTTGTGCTTCCCAAACAGGGGTATGTAGGAGAGGTGTGTCTTACAGCGTGTGTTACAGCCACTGAAAACATGATTTATGCTCTCAGCAGGAGACGGGGGTAATGAAAATAAATTAAAATATGAGTGTTAAAAGTATTAAGAGAAGAAACACTTAATTGTATAACAGGAGTCAAGTGAGATGGCTAGAAAACTGCCAACAAATATCTGTCAGGACAGGTTCATTTTAATTGTTGATATTAGCACCTGGCGCAGCAAATTAGGAGAGCCCACCGCCACACAAGAGGAGAGCCTCCTCCCATGTTTTGTACCACTTGGATAATTACTCACAGACATTTCGACACTCACACCCATGGCTAGAGTCAAGGAGGTGCAGGAATTAAATCCATGCTCGTCAATGCACAGCTCTCCTGCTCCCATTACACTGGACCCCAGGGATAACAGATTCTCTCCATATCCTCACTTTCCTGAGGCTGCAGGTAAGCTGGGAGATATATTTAATAATGTGTTAATATTAGCGTTGGTCTGTGTGTTAGTGTGAATCTGTGTATGAGTGTCAGTGTGTGAGCATGTTGCTTATTAAGTTTGGGGATGTGGCTAGTTATGTATCTGTGTGTGTAGCTAATTACTTTGTGTTTGTGTGAACGATAGCGTGGGTGGATGCTATAGCTCTGTAAATTGTACTTGCCTAGCACTCCACAAATGTTAAAGGCAACACTGGAAAAAAAAAATAAGGATGGTTAATTAAACACGCTTTTGGTATAATCTGCTCGCAATACAATACATACAGTAATTAAACTTGTATAATATATATCTTTCATCTCTATCTGTACTGGTGATAATTGGCTCCCTCTATGGAATAATAGATTGTAAAACATAAGCAAAATTAGAAAAAGAATAAAACTCTAAAACAGGAGCAGATCTTGAGGGAACAGGACATTAATAGAACTTGCATTTAGCTTTGAAAGAAAAACTTCAAAGATGAAAACAAAACAGAAATGTCCCAGATGCATAAATCATAGATGCACAGAGTTATGAATGTGAGCAAAATACCCGCATTTGTTTGGACTTTCTACTGATTACTGGTAAAAGCACTGTTCAAATAAATGGTGTCTCGCAGAAGCAAAATGAAGACATGTTTTGTGGATGATGAGAGGATTTATTTTCCATTGTCAAAGTGCTCTAACATGGCACACTGTAATCGACCTTTAAAAAGCTTAGACAGTCTTCAGTTTTTCATGTCTTCATGGTCTCCGGCACATAGGATTTCATCTATCTCAATGTCATGTTCAGTTACGGGAATGGATTCACATAGCTGCTCCTGGAATGCCAGAGCAATGGTGTGAGGTTTGCCAGCAAGCTGTCTGCTGTATCGCTCAAAAAAAGTATCATAAAATCCTTTCCCTCGTCCGAGTCGATGACCTTCCTTGTCAAATCCCAAGCCTGGTACCAGCACAAGATCCAGCCCCCCTGCAATAATAGGAATGCAAGAACGAACAGGTTGTATATTGAATGTGTTATGATAGAGTTGCAGCTTTAGAAATAAGGCACCGAAAGAAAACTACTAATTATGCTAACTTTACTAATAAAAATATGTACCAATAGAAAACAGTTTCCCCAAGAAAATAATTGTGCAAAAGTATGTGTCGTGTTAAACAAAAAGGAAACTTGTTGGGTTATCCATTTGTGCTGTTGTTTATGTATAATTCTTCATTCTATTTGATAGGATTTATTGGTACTGCTTGGAGGTTTGTATAATGTGTATGCTGCCAGTGAAACAAATAAATAATCACTGCTGGGATTGCAAAAAAAAAAAAAAAAAACTGAAAAAACAAAAACAAAACACTGTCATTACAGAACAAATCAGGAGCTCATGAATTCTATATACTGCCAGGCAGTACTATCAAACCCTGCCCAGCAGAATGAAGAATTTCGACTAGGACACAACAGACATCCAGATCACTTAATCTCAATGAAACTGTCTGGATGCCAAGTCCCTGTATTTTTAACCCTGCAGGTACGGCAATATTTACATTACGGAGGTTAAATGCCTCTAGTGGCTGTCACTCTGACAGTTAATAAAGGCCCTTCCACTGAAATAGCCAAAGAAAACCTGGCAATTTCAATCACATTGTCTAACAGACACTATTTAATTGGCACAGTGTGGCATGGTATAAAATACAAGTAAACCAGATTTTTAACCCTTGTGCGGGGAAGGTGGTGTTCCTTTAATAGTACCAACACAGTAACTGCTATCATTAGAATTCGGATCACGATTCTGTAGGTTTTGCATAACGTCTTGTGAAGGTATATGTGGGCACTGTGTAATTGCACCCAGTCCGCTTTAACTAAATAAAGTGGTCTGGGTGCAGTGGCCCTTTAGTTTTAACCTTGCATATTAAATCACGGCGGTTTAGTAGATACAAAGTTGCAGGGTTAACACTCCTCTATTGGCTATCTTCCTGACTGCGACTAGAAGCCCTTCCCCTGTGAGAACAGAATTATAATTGGTTCTCAATCAAATACTGCTCCCAGAGAGCAATTGATTGGTGCAGCATGGCAATTTGAGTGCATTCACACTAGCCTCCCAAAGTAAATTGATGATCTCAGTCAACGAGGCGAGACCAGCATGGCAAGGCTACAAAGTAAGTAAAATGATTTAGCACATAGATGTAAAAAGACAAAAATAAATAAATTGCATCCCTAGAATAAATGGAGTTAGGAGCCTGAGTTAGCATAAATTCCTGACAACTATAACATGACATTTATTTAGCTGCATAATTTATATGACTTGCTTACCAGTGAACAGGGCATCCTCCCTGCTTTCACCGTCCTCGGGCTGGCGAATGTTCCATGATGTCACTGGCAGTTGTTGGATCTCCTCCAAGGATCTAAGCCTCACCATATCCATGTGGTTACTGCGTGGTTTGTAACGTGGAATAAAACATGTTTTTCCTTGTTGAAAAATGTCACTTATGATTTCTGCAGTCTGAATTTCATCTGGCATATTCAAAAAGACAGCAATACGTTGAGCGTTTCTATAGTTGCTGTGGGAGAGTAACTAAAAGAGGATTTTATGGTTACACATGATTAACTGCAAAGTCTTCATACATTGTGTATTCAGAATGGTTTCACAGTACACTGGCAGCGTAACACATGAATCATTTTGTTCATGGCCTTAACATAAGCAATGTCACACTTCCTGCATTACATTCAATTTTTCAGAAAGTTCCTTAAACCATACTGATGTGTGATGAGATCCCTGTATGTGAAGACACACCACGGTTTTGCATCTAAAATGTTTATATTCCATATATATGTATCACATTTCACCCAACTTTTAAATGGCCAATGAAGGTGAATTTCAACCAAGAAGTGCTGCTACAGATCCAGTATTTTGGGGATTTTGTGACCTGTTGAAACACACCTACAACATTGGGAGATGGAATTCTGTTGCGGAGGAGGTGGACTGCCGGTCACAATACTGAAGACTCAGGTAGCCATAAAGGAGGGTGTCCAAGTCATCACACATCCCTACAAGCCAGTTTCAGGGCTCCCAGTGCATAGAAGCTGCTGAGATGCTCTATTATGGGCAGATATGCACTGCATTAACAAGCACGAGTAACTATAATGATACCCTTGTTCAAGAAACCCACGAAAGTGGTCCTAAATCAGACTGTGCAGTCATATCTGGGATAATTATGAGGTATGCTGCACTTAAAAGGACAACTGTAATCAAATTTTCAATTAACATTTTTAAACGTTTATTAGAGTTAAAGAAACAATATTTTTTTTAAATTATGTATATTGATTTTTTTGACATTTTGCTTTTTTATCTAGGTCAGGCTCTACTGTTGTCTGAACAGCTGTTGCTCACCCTAACTTTTCTTCTGCTGTAGTTACAATCATACAGCAGCACTTGGTAAGATAACAGAATAGTCTGATTCCACATGATTTCTTAGCCAGATAAAAAGTGAAATTTTCTCCCCCAAAAATAATATTTTAATATATATATATATATATACATACACACATAAAAAATATCATTGAAGTGTATTAAATGTAATAAACTTTTAGAAAGTAAAACCTTGATAGCAGTAGTTACTGACGTAAATGAAAAAGTAGTTCAGACAAGAACCATAGTATTTTATTTAAAGAGCCAAAAATAAACACTAACACTGTATAAATAATATTCTATACAGGCACCATGCTATATATATTGACAACTAAAGTATAAATAAAGGTGCATTTGTGTATTAAAGAGACATTCCAGAAACATTCCAGGCACCCACTCAATTTAAATGCATCTACTAAGGTTTGGCCTCCTATTCCTTCTGTATTTTAATTCACATAAAAGAAAAAAAGTTTTGCAGCTTTTCAAAAAACATCTTCCCAGCTAGAATTAGTCAGTGTACAATGAGATCAAAATGAGCTGAGTTGCTAACATGCAGGGCCGCCATCAAGGAGGTACAGCCAATACAGCTGTACAGAGTCCCGGTGTTCTATCAAATTCCCCCTTGCTGTGGAGGAGTAGCAGGAGTGCTAGCATGCATGTGCAGCACAGGATCCAGCTAATTTCCCTCACCAGAAGTGACAAGGGTAGGGAAATTTGATAGAACACCGGCCGTAAACTCCTAATGTGCGTATATATAGCGTGCCCTGGCTGTCACAGCGTTGCTGCAGGTTACCACGTCAACGCTCTGAAGCAACACACATGCAGTGTCTCGTGAGATAAGGAGAGGACCTGCCACTAACTGGATTCACCTGGGCTCTCTCTTTACTACAGAAGTGAGGAAGCTGCTAAGAGCCTGCATAGTACCATTGGAAAACCAGGGAATGTAGTGTCACCCCTCTATTGCCACAGGTAAGATGCAGTTAGGTGGTAATAACTAATTATGCATTTAGGAAGCAGGGCCTATCCGTGTGATAAAACTATACTTTTGACAACTTATAACCACCTAAGTTACTTGAGATACCCTTTACATCTGCAAGCATGAGACATTTATGAAAAATCGAGACGACCCCCTCAGGTAGGTTTTTGAGGCCTATATCAGGCTTGCAAGAAAAAACAAGATAAGCAGATGATCTCTTCACTTTCATTTACCCTAATATATGCAATATATACCCCATCAAGGGTTATCCAGACACTAGACTCAATTTTTCCTGAGGCCCTCTCAACATCTGAGTGGTTTTAAAGGGACGCTGTAGGCAGGGCCAGATTAAGAGCCCAGTGGGCCTGGTGCTGACAATTATGACGGGCCTAATTACAGAATCATATCGACCAAAAACAGTAAAACACTCCCAAGCATCATGTACCTGATGGAGATGGTGCTGGAGAGAAAGAAAACAGCAGCTATAAGAAAACACATACCCTAGGCTAATCTCTCTCTAATTTATGTTTTCATCTTTCAAGTAAATCCATAACCCCTAACAGCAGTGTCCAGTCAGGAACGAAGTCAATGGGCATGGTAAAAGGGTGTGCCACTGACACAAATCACGTAACCTGCCAAAAGGGGCGAACATGCCCAAAAAGAGGACATATCTGCTCAAAGAATTAGAAGGCCAGCCTGGCATGAATGCATGTCAGGCTGCCTGCCAATCATGCAGCTGGCCAACTAAGGGCATACTATGCAGACAGCACCCTGAGCTTCGCATAAATGCATCTAATGATGCGCTTTCTCAACGCTTTCTAAGGACTGTCCCCTAGCACTCGCTAGTCCACTTGTCTCCTTACCTTCTTACTGGCAGACAGAAGCTCCTGGTATATGGTCTGGGACAAAGAAAAGCTGTATGTAGTGAGTGTAGAAGAAAGGGAACATGCCACAGTGTTAGAGAGACCAAAGTCAGCATTACTATAGGGTCAGGAACACAAACATGACTTCATGACCCTACAGTGTTAACACCACCATCTAGCACCCCTGGGCCCCTCATGCCTCCATAAATATAGCAAAATCTTACTATACTCAAGCCTGAAGCTGTAACTCTGCATGCTGTTAGACTCATAAAAACAAGCAGTCTGCTGACATCATCAGACGTGGTGGCCTGATCCAATCACAGTGCTTCCCCACAGGATTGGCTGAGACTGACAAAGAGGCAGATCAGGGTCAGAGCCAGCATGATTCAAACACAGCCCTGGCCAATCAGCATCTCCTTCTATAGATGAATTTAATTAATGAATCTCTATGAGGAACATTCAGTGTCTGCATGCAGAGGGAGGAGACACTGAATGTTTGGATGCAATTTTGGTCGCCATGACCCAGGAAGGATCTCTAACAGTCATCTAAGGAGTGGCCAGTGAAGTTATCACTAGGATGTAATGTAAAGACTGCATTTTCTCAGCAAAAAAGCCTGACGGTAACGATTCTACTCACCAGAACAAATTCAATAAGCTGTAGTTGTTCTGGTGACTATAGTGTCCCTTTAACTATATTCATTGTCAGCCAGTCCACACAAGTTTTGTTCCCATACATCCCACTTAAGTTTCCAAACTTAAGTAAGAGTATGTGAAATGTAGTTAGGGTTGCCACCTTTCTTGGAAAAACATACCGGCCTTACTAATTTGCATAATTAAATATTTATGGGTGACATCACATGATGTAAATCACAAGGAGTGACATAAGAGAAAATGCTGTAAAATCACCAAAAAACTACTTAGTTTGATTCTGCTGTATAGATGGATTCCTCTCAGTGCCTCCATGTCTCCCAGTGCCCTCATGACTCAGTGCCTAGGAAGACGGGGAGACCTGGGGACACGGGGAGACCTAGGGACACGGAGACACCAGTGACACTGGGAGACTAGGGGACTCTGGCTGGGACACATGGAGACAATGGGAAAATAGGGGACACTTGAAGACATGGGGACACAGACACCAGGGACAAAGACACTAGAGACACTGGCTGGGGGACATGGGGACATTGAGATATGGGGGCACTGGGAGATATGGGGACACAGAGACACCAGGGCCACAGACACTAGGGACACTAGCATGGAGACATTGTGACACTTGAGGCAATGAGAGACATGGAGGCACTAGGAGACTTGGGGACAGTGAGACACTGGCAGACTGGGGGCACTGGGAGCCTTAGTGTCTCAGTGTCTGCCATAATGTCTCCCAGTGACAATATGTGTCTCAGTGTCTGCCATAATGTCTCCCAATGTCCCTTAGTGTCTCAGTGTCTGCCATAATGTCTCCCAATGTCCCTTAGTGTCCCAGTGTCGGCCATAATGTCTCCCAATGTCCCTTAGTGTCTCAGTGTCCCCATGTCTCCTTGCAGCCTTTCCCCCATCCCTCACTTCACTGAGCTGTAGGCTGCCTCTGCAGGATGGGAGTTGCTTTCTGGACTCTCCGTAGCTGCTCCCCTGCAGATCAGTGAGTATAGATAGGCAGGGAGGGATATGCTGGAACTTCCTATCCCTGCCTGTCTCCACACACTACTGGCCAGTGCTGGTATTGCATACTAATATCTTGTTTATACTGATAAAAATACCAGCATTTGTATTGCCAGTATCACTGCAATTGGAACCAGCCAGGCAGTCTCAAATATTGGCTGTTCCAATAAAATAAAAGCCAGGTGGAATCCCTAAGAGTAGTGTGTGAAAAAAAAATTGTAAAAAAATATATATATATATATTTTTTTTTAAATCAATGGGCCTATTCCACGGGCCTGGAGCTGCAGCTCCATCAGCCCCTATGTTAATCCGGCCCTGGCTGTAGGCACCCAGACCACTTCAGCTTATTGAAGTGGTCTGGATGCAGTGTCCCTTTTGCACCTAGTGCTGCAATGTTAAACATTGCAATTCCAGAGAACTGCAATGTTTATATTGCAGCACTAAGTCTGCCCTCGGTGGTTGTCTACCAGACAGCCACTTGGGGAGCTTTCGGAATCGTAACAGACTTTTGGTCCATTATTTGACGCTGGACGTCCTCACGCTCTGCATGAGGACCTCCAGCGTCAGATTTTTTCCCTTAGGAAAGCATTGATTCTTATGCGAGCGCTGCTTTATGCCGCGCATGCGCATTAGGCAGAGATCGTCATGAGGCGGAAGCGGAGCTTCAACCCTGATCGGCGCTGGAATCAGGTAATAAAATAAAGGCTTTTTAACCCTTTATTTACCAGGGAGGAGGGGGCGTGAGGGAGGGGGATGGCAGGGGGATCGGTAGTGCCAGGAATGCAGCTTTGTATTCCTGGCACTACAGTATCCCTTTAAGATGGTGGATGCCACATCTTCTACAATTACAGATCTGCCATATACCAACACTGGCTTGGCTAGACATGCTGTTTGCGGCTGTCTGGAGAAAATTAAGCCAACAACAGCAGATGCCAGAGTTAAAAGGAGAAGGAGCACAATATCCCTCTGTTATTTGACGGAATACTGATAACTATTCTGCTGTATCCTTGGTGTATTTGCACATCAAAAATAAAGAATAACATCCCCCCTCCCAAACCTTCATTATAAATTTAAAAGCAACTGTTCACCCCCACAACCTCTATGCAACCCCACAGATTTAAACACACACACATTGCATCCACACTACATACACTTTACTCACACACATTCAGCATCTATACACAAACCCACTGTTCTGTTCAGTTTACACAAACACACACTGCATCCGCTTTACTAACACACAAACATACACTGTATCCTTGTGGGTGTGGTCCCTGGACTAGGGGGTGTTCCCTGTGGACAGTCCACAGGCCTTGAACTGTGTAAGGGGCCCCAAAAATTCTGATAGCCCTGCTGACATGACTCCATGACATTTAAATGCTTTACAGATATATGGGCCAGTGACTGGCTGTGGGGCAAAGCCACATCAGCTGTCAGCTCACACTAATCTCTCATTGCCTGAGCAACACACCATAGTTTACTATCAAAGGAAAATGACTGTGAGGATGAGTTTATGTTTCAGAAAATAGCAAACTTTTTACCTCCATTTTAAAATAAAAACATTGCATGTATTGGGCCATAACCGCATATGATCTTAAAGGGGGTACTGTCACCAATGTAAGCAACCTAAGCCACTATAGCCCACTGACACTCTCAGCCAATGAATTGAAAGCAGTGCTGGAGCCGAGTGGGATACAAATAAGTGACAAACTATTAGCAAATGGTTTCAACTGCGCTTGACACTTCAGCCACTAAAGCAGGCTTTAGTAGTTATAATTCCTGGGTTCATCCAGTCTTCTACTTGAGGGGAAGCTTGAGGTTTTCATTGAGCTAAGCAAGTCTAGTACAGGACCATGGTCATTGGTTAAGAGTGCTGATGATTTAGACAATGTGTGCAACCTTGCTTCCTTGCTTCATTGAAACCAGCAGAGTCCCTGTAAGGAAAATCCAGAAGCAAGGATGCAGCTCTGGGGGTCTGGCAAGAGCCAGGTATGTTGTCAAACCATTCTAAAACAGTTTAAAGCATTAATCTGGGAAGGTACAAAGGGAATCCTGGCACCATAATTGCTACAGTGGACCATAGTTGTTATGGTGATTGGAGTGTTCCTTTAAAAAACTGCTCCAAGCATCTCAACCATTTGCTGTAGTGGTTATGATGCTACGAGTAACCTGGCCTGGTTCCACAGTAATGGTTCTGTTTAGTAATGGTTCACCTCTTACCTAGGTCCCTACCTGGTTCCGAGGACCCTTACATGCGTGGTGAAACACTTACACCTTCTGCAGAGTTGTTCTAAAAGGCTGTAATGTTTTACAGTGCAGAGCCTAAATTACAGGGCCACATCATTAAGATGAAGTGGTCTCAGTGACTATAGTCGTTGATTAATGTAGCAGTTCAGGTGTGCAAATCATGGCCCCTCAGTGCTCTGTTCACTGCCATTTAGGAGTTAACTAATTTTGTTTCTGTTTATATTGCCGTAGCCACACCTCCCTTGGCTGTGATCCACATAGCCTGCATGAAAAAAATGGTTTCATTTTTCATCAACATAGTGTGTTTTCTTTGGAAGTTCCTATCAGCTGCTCTGTTAATTGAACTTTACGCACACAGGAGGCATCTTCAGACTATAGCAGCCAAGTAACAGAGTAGGAGATAAGAAATCTACATTACAAACATTAAGCAATAGAGGATGTTTAAAAAATGGATCTCTTTTTACAGGAGGTGTGCAGGGAGGCTGTGTGCCTCAGCCAAGGGAGGCATAGCTAGGAATTATTATTATTATTTTATTATTTATATAGCGCCATCAGATTCTGTAGTGCTGTACAATGGGGATGCATAAACAAAGTGATTTAAAGGAGCACTATAGCATTAGGAATACAAACATGTTAAAAACGGCTGAGCCATTGCACCGACACCACTTTATTGAGATGAAGTGGTTTGAATGCCATTAGTGTCCCTTTAATGCCAGGGCTTGGAATTTAGAAGCCAGCTTAAAAAAGTTTAAAAAAATAAAATAAAATTCTTAAAGGGACACTATAATCATCAGAACCACTACAGCTTAAAGGGACACTATAGTCACCCAGACCACTTCAGCTCAATACTCTGCCACCAATACCTTTATTAAATGAACACTAGAAGGTCAGGGACACTATTTCTTGACCCTGTAGTGTTAAAACCAGCATCAAGCCCCTCTGCCCCTAAATATATAAAATCTTTGCTTTATTCCAGTATGTTGCTGGCTCTGCCCCTAATCTGTCTGCTTGGCCTACATCATCTGAGCCACATAGGAAAGCTTTGGATTGGCTGAAAATGTCAAGAAGGCAGATCAGGGGCAGAGACAGCACAAATCAAATGCAGTCATGGGTAATCAACATATCCACTATGAGGAAAATTCAGTGTATCCATGCAGAGGGTGGGGACACTGAATAGCAGTGCTGCACACTGCACATCACTGCACTTGGTTTGGCTTAATGTCACCATCCACCCGGAACGACCCAATCGGATTGGATTTACACCAAACAACTGTCATAATAAAGCTAGGCATAATGCTTGCGTTAGATAGTGCCACGTAAACCACAACAAGCATTTATTATAATAAAAATTAAAAAAAACTTTTTTTTTATTATAGAAAACAACAAAAATGTAAAATGGCCACAGGAGCAGATAGGTTATGCTGGAGTGCACTAGTGATGCTGAATATCTACTAAGGAGAAACAAAATGTAGATGTTTCAGGCAGACAGTTCTTTATTAATACACAAATTGTATACAGATAAAAGGCAGCTTGGCTGAAAAGTCTGCATTTTGCATTGCTTCTCCTTGAAACATTTCGGGTTTCCTTACTACCCCAGTATAAGCTATTTGTGCCTGTAACTATTTCTTATGTTGAAAATAACTTTTTATTTGTAACATGTGAAGGTTCCATTAAACTGGCTGGGCTCCAACCTGGGGGCAGTGCTGATAACATACAATGAATACATTGTAATTAGCTAGAATCCATATTGGATTTGGAGACTAATCAAGCCCTAACATGCAGTCATCCCTCATAAACGTGAGATCAGAATACATGAATGGCGTCGCCTGCCCACATCTAAAATGGAGTCACACGCCTCTCGGCCCTCAGTTGCAATGGGCGCATTACACGTCAGAACTATCACTAACTCGCCGTTAAGTATCATCTAATCGAACACAAACCTTCAGGGTCACAGCCTTGGATTGCTGCGCCTTGTTTACATCGCTTAAGGCAGCGAGTCGCTGTTTCAATTGAACCCGAAGCGCCTGTTTGGCCGCTTTCAGAGACGCCATCTCTGCCCGGCTAGTACGTGATGACGTTTTACCAGGCAGCGTTCCACTCACTGTACGTAATCCGTGTCACGCACAGTCCAATACCCAGCTAGTGGGATGGCTGGGAAATGTACAGTGTGACCTTTGGCACTGTTTATGGTGTGAGCTCTACTGTCCTGGATCATGGGAATAGGAGTTCACAATAGCTATACTTACTGATCAAAGCTACATTGCAAAGAACTGAAAACAACAAACATTCTAGAAGGTTTAATTAACACTGTAATGTTATCCTACCTGAATGTGTATTCACACAGGTATATAATATATACATAGTAGCTGCATATAAGAGTTAGTGATAGTTTTAATAGCCAGCTTACACTACGTTTAATTTACATACCTCTCAATAGTTATTTGGTGTCTCTCGTTTCTGTCCCAATTTTTAAATCCCAATGTTTTTGATGGACAAGTGGCTGCCCATAAATGATTATTCACTATCTTTGGAATTTTATCTAGTTTAAAAAAAAAGGAAAAGATGAGATTTACTTATCTGAAGCTGTGTCTTTTGGGCCGCCTCCCACTGCATCCATTGGATCCATCTCAGCTCTCTGTAATCTGCCAGGAGCCCACACCAATGCTGTACTCTCGTGCATGTGGGAGAGTGCAACATTGAGGTCTATGGAGGATCCAGTGAGACCGCGGGAGCCTCCATAGATATTACCTAGTGATGAGCGCAACAATGTCTTATTGCAGTTGCTAGCGGGGATGAATCTTGACAAAAGTAGCTCTGCTTTTTGTCCTGTTTTTGGTCCCTACTTTGCCTTATTTATTTTAGGAGGAATAGTTTGAAAAAGAAGAACATAGTAGGAGTAAGGAAGAGAAGAGGGACGGATTGAAGTAAGGGTGGCAGAGCTGCTTTAAATTCCCTAGAAAATTCCTTTGCTCACAGATTGATCTCGTAAGTCTTGGTGAGGTTTTGTTTTTTTAAAGCAAATATTAATTCAAAGGAGGATGGTAAACAATGCTGTTTGCTTGCTTTAATTCAAACACTGTAATACTTACTATGGCATCAAATAAATGTTTCACAGCTACTTAGCAGTCCTGTGAAGCATCCTGGTTCATTGTGGTAATGAATGTGATATGGCATCACAGCTTCTTGCCACTCTTACTGACTGTGCTGTGAAGAATTGAGAGGGTGCTGTGAAAGCTCTCTCTGCCAGAGGACACTCTAGACATGGAAGCAAGCAACTTTTCCTTCTAGCAAAATTAGGCAAAATGGAGGCAGCATTGTAAAACTAATATTCCACTTAAAGGAACACTATAGCGTTCAGAATACAAACATGTATTTCTGACACTATGCTGTCCAATTAACTATTTCACCTACCACCCATGGAATAAAAAAATATTTTCTTACCTTTCACCTTTTGCTGTTCTCAGCTCCCCTGGCTGAGATTAACAATTTTGATAATCTTGGCCAATCTGCCTCCCGACAGGGAGTCAATTGGAAACTATTGCTGTGATATAAGAATCTGTCTCTCCTCATAGAAATGCATTGAATCAATGCATCCCTATGGTGAGCATCCACTGTCTCCATGCAGAGTGTTTGTCCTGAAATCTTTGCAGAACTAAACCCAGGAAGTCCCTCTAAACCCAAGTTGTAGTGGAGTCTCTGTGTCCCGAATGGATACCTTTCGTCTAAGGCAAAGGAAAGGTTTTTTTACTGTAAGAACAATCAGGATGTGGAATTCTCTGCCTGAGGAAGTGGTTTTATCAGAGTCCATACAGATGTTCAAACGGCTACTAGATGCATACTTGCAAGAACAGAATATTCAAGGATATAATCTTCAATGTAGGGTAATAACTGCTTGATCCAAGGATAAATCTGACTGCCATTCTGGGGTCAAGAAGGAATTTTTTTCCTAGTTTGTTGCAAAATTGTGCTTCAAACTGTTTTTTTTTGCCTTCTTTTGGATCAACAGCAAAAAACAAATGTGAGGTAGGCTGAACTTGATGGACGCAAGTCTCTTTTCAGCTATGTAACTATGTAACTATGTAACTATAATGCTCTCTCAGCTAGAAGAAGAGCCCTTCAATGATTACAGACCCTTTCCCCAGACATCAGATAAAACATAATTATTTGACCTCTGATCAATCAGGCTTTTGGCCAAATCACTCAACTTCGATTGCCCTCTTAAAAGTTTGCAATGACATCCAAATTGGCATGGAACAAGGAGACTTAACTGGAGCTATTTTCATTGATTCTGCCAAGGCCTTTGATACAGTAGACCATGGCATTCGTTTGCAAAAACGTAAAAACTCAAGCATTGGTGATCGTCCGCTAACCTGGCTTCAATCGTATGTTTCAGACCGATTGCAATATGTGGCCATTTCTGATAGCGCCTCCCTCTTCCAGTCACGTGTGGTGTTCCCCAAGGCTCCATACTCGGACCCCTGCTATTGACATTATTTATAAATTATCTGCGTGATGTCTGCAAATCCTCAACTGTACACATGTATGCAGATGACACTGTAATGTACGCTAGTAAACCCAATCTACTGCAGCATGAGGCTGTGCTCCAAAACCAATTCACAGAGGTAGAAAGGTGGATAGCCAAACTCTTCCTAAACATTGACAAAACAGTTACAACGATCTTTGGAAGTGTACCTAAATTACAAAATCAACAACTATCTATCAGAACAAATTCAAATAGCACACTGACAACAGTCTGTTCTTTCAAATATCTAGGTATGTTAATAGACCCCAATCTATCCTTTGGCCTTCACATTGAAAAAATCTCTTCAAAACTTTACTCAAAACTAGGTGCCCTGTACAGAAACAAACCCTGCCTAAGCCCTACAGTAAGGAAACAGATAGTGCAACAAATGCTAATGCTGGTCATTGATTATGGGGATGTGGTGTATGCACCTACATCACAAACTTACCTTAATAAACCCAATACGTTATATAATTCATTCTGCCACTTTGTACTAGAATGTAATTACTTTACCCACCATTGTGACATGTTAAAAGAGCTAAACTGGCTATTGCTAGAATCCCGACACACTCTTCATCTTTCCAGCCTTGTGCATAAGAGTTTTTCTGGGAAGCTCCCACCCTACCTGAGTAGAATGCTCTCCCCAGCTGTTCCCACCTCCTATAACCTCCGATCCATTACCATATTAAGCATGCAGCAATACAAAAATAAAGTGGCTCCATCATCATTTTCCTACAAAACACCACAATTATGGAATAACCTCAGGGACACAGTCAAATCTTCATTCAATCTAAAATCTTTTAAGAGATCTATGGCAATATACCTCAGCACAGAATGCACCTGTCATGGTTGAATATATTTATCATCTGTTATGTTTTAAATTTATATGTGTGTGTGTGTGTGTGTGTGTGTATATATATATATATATATATATATATATATATATATATATATATATATATATATATAGTATCTTTTGTAAAATTGTATTCTATTGTAACAATGCAATGTTTTGTGGATCATACTTGAAAACGAGAGATATCTCAATGTATCCATCCTGGTAAAATATTTTATAAATAAATAAATAATGCTGGGAAGAATAACTGGTTTTATTCAGCACAATCTCCATTCACAATGGGGTCTCCATTCACTACATAGTAGTTTCCCCCTTGGCGAGTCAACTCTCGTTAAATTAATTAACTCTCGGATACAGAGAGCCCATCATAGAAAACACCACAAAACAAACATAAAACATCCCCGAATCCCCACATGTTATACATTCCCTGATAGCTCTTGTTGGAGTGCCCACGGATCCACTCTGATCCGTGGAGGTTTGGGGAAACGCCACGCCGTAAAGTTTGGACTGGCCCCTAGGATAGTCCTGTCCGAAAACGGTTCCAGGCGTTTAGAGCAGGGGTGCTCAAACTCCGGCAACCCAGATGTTGCTGAACTACAACTCCCATGATTCTCTGGCTATCTATGTAATTCAAAGAATCATGGGAGTTGTAGTTCAGCAACATCTGGGGGGCCAGAGTTTGAGGACCCGTGGTTTAGAGTAATATGCCGGTGTTTTAATGGGGTCTCTGGTGGGTCAAGGAAAGGGGGATCCCCCTGGCTCATAGTTAGCGATTGTTCCCCTTGATAAACTGTAACTCCACTCCTAAAGAGCTCTCATAGGACATTGGAAAAGGGGTCAAAACCACAAAGAAATATTACTGGACAGGGGTGATGCTCGTGGCCAAGCTGGAGTTCCAGGAGAAACATAGCTAGGTCCCGCTGGAGGGGAGGGGGTAACAGAGAGCCAGGGGAGTGTTATAGTTTTTTTGTGAGATTTAGCAATGTTTTGGTGGTATGTAAATGCTTGTAAAATGGTAATAAAGATTGGCCTGTATATTGTCTATGAATGCTGCCGGCAGTATCACTTACCCTCCAGTTCATGCTTATAGAAACATAGAAACATAGAATGTGATGGCAGATAAGAACCATTCGGCCCATCTAGTCTGCCCACTTTTCTAAATACTTTCATTAGTCCCTAGCCTTATCTTATAGTTAGGATAGCCTTGTGCCTATCCCACACATGCTTAAACTCCTTTACTGTGTTAACCTCTACCACTTCAGCTGGAAGGCTATTCCATGCATCCACTACCCTCTCAGTAAAGTAATACTTCCTGACATTATTTTTAAACCTTTGTCCCTCTAATTTAAGACTATGTCCTCTTGTTGTGGTAGTTTTTCTTCTTTTTAAATATAGTCTCCTCCTTTACTGTGTTGATTCCCTTTATATATTTAAATGTTTCTATCATATCCCCCCTGTCTCGTCTTTCCTCCAAGCTATACATGCTAAGATCCTTTAACCTTTCCTGGTAAGTTTTATCCCGCAATCCATGAACCAGTTTAGTAGCCCTTCTCTGAACCCTCTCTAAGGTATCATTATCCTTCTGAAGATACGGTCTCCAGTACTGTGTACAATACTCCAAGTGAGGTCTCACCAGTGTTCTGTATAATGGTATGAGCACTTCCCTCTTTCTACTGCTAATACCTCTCCCTATACAACCAAGCATTCTGCTAGCATTTCCTGCTGCTCTATTACATTGTCTGCCTACCTTTAACTCATCAGAAATAATCACCCCTAAATCCCTTTCCTCATATGTTGAGGTTAGAACTCTATCAAATATTCTGTACTCTGCCCTTGGGTTTTTACGTCCAAGATGCATTATCTTGCACTTATCCACATTAAATGTTAGTTGCCACAATTCTGACCATTTTTCTAGTTTACCTAAATCATTATCCCTCCTGGAACATCAACCCTGTTACATATCTTAGTATCATCAGCAAAAAGACATACAGTTGCAAGAAAAAGTATGTGAACCCTTTGGAATGATATGGATTTCTCCACAAATTGGTCATAAAATGTGATCTGATCATCATCTAAGTCACAACAATAGACAATCACAGTCTGCTTAAACTAATAACACACAAAGAATTAAATGTTGCCATGTTTTAATTGAACACACCATGTAAACATTCACAGTGCAGGTGGAAAAAGTTTGTGAACCCCTAGACTAATGACATCTCCAAGAGCTAATTGGAGTGAGATGTCAGCCAACTGGAGTCCAATTAATGAGATGAGATTGGAGGTGTTAGTTACAGCTGCCCTGCCCTATAAAAAACACACACCAGTTCTGGGTTTGCTTTTCACAAGAAGCATTGCCTGATGTGAATGATGCCTCGCACAAAAGAGCTCTCAGAAGACCTACGATTAAGACCCATATCATTCCAAAGGGTTCACATACTTTTTCTTGCAACTGTACCTTACCATCAAGACCTTCTGCAATATCACTAATAAAAATATTAAAGAGAATAGGTCCAAGTACAGATCCCTGAGGTACCCCACTGGTGACAAGTCCAAGCTTTGAATATATTGCAGTTTATTGATAAACCTTCTATGTGCAACAGTGTCAAAAGCCTTACTGAAATCTAGGTAAGCAATGTCTACTGCACCACCCTGATCTATAATTTTAGTTACCCAATCAAAAAAATCAATAAGATTAGTTTGGGATGATCTCCCTGAAGTAAACCCATGTTGTCTCTGATCTTGAAATCCATGTGTTTTTTAGATGTTCAACAATCCTATCCTTTAACATGGTTTCCATCACTTTCCCCACTACTGAAGTAAGGCTTACTGGCCGATAGTTGCCCGACTCCTCCCTATTACCTTTCTTGTAAATGGGCACAACATTCGCTAACTTCCAATCTTCTGGGACTACTCCCGTTAACAATGATTGGTTAAATAAATCTGTTAATGGTTTTGCTAGTACACCACTAAGCTCTTTTAATAGCTTTGGGTGTATTCCATCAGGTCCCATTGACTTATTTGTCTTTACTTTTGGCAGTTGAAATAGAACCTCTTCCTCTGTAAACTCACGTGTAATAAATGACTCATTTATCCTTTTTCTCAACTGAGGTCCTTTTCCTTCATTTTCATCTGTAAATACAGAACAAAAATATTCATTGAGGCAGTCGGCTAGACCTTTATCCTCTTCTACATACCTTCCTTCTTTTGTTTTTATTCTAACTAATTCTTGCTTTACTTTTCTTTTCTCATTTATGTATCTAAAAAATGTTTTGTCCCCCTTTTTTACTGACTGCTATTTTCTCTTCTGTGTGTGATTTGGAAGCTCTTATAACTCGCTTAGCCTCTTTCTGCCTAATCTTATAGATCATTTTGTCTTCCTTTTGTTTTTAACTATTTTGGCCACATCTGCGGAGTACCACAGTGGTTTCTTGAATTTTTTGCTTTTACTGACAAGCCTAATGCAATTTTCTGTTGCCTTCAATAGTGCAACTTTTAAATAATCCCATTTCTCTTTGACTCCATTTAAATTGCTCCAGTCTGATAATGACTCCTCTACCCATATTCTAATTTTAGAAAAGTCTGTTTTTCTAAAGTCTAAAACTTTTGTTTTTGTGTGGTGTGACTCAGTCACTGTTCTTATATTAAACCACACTGACTGATGATCACTGGATCCTAAACTTTCACCTACAGTAATATCTGATACCAAATCTCCATTTGTTAACACTAAATCTAGTATGGCCTCTTTACGAGTTGGCTCCTCAACAACTTGTTTTAAGAGACAATCCCAGTAGGGAGTTTAGAATATGTGTGCTCCTGGCACAAGTAGCTATTTTTGTTTTCCAATTCACATCAGGAAGATTAAAGTCACCCATGATGATAACTTCCCTCTTCATTGTCATTTTAGCTATTTCCTCAACTAGTAGATTATCTAACTCTTCAATTTGTCCTGGGGGCCTATAAATCACACCTACACGAGTTACTGTGTGATTACCAAATTCTAACGTAGCCCAAACGGACTCTATGTTTGCCTCACTAACTTTTATTAGGCTAGATTTTATGTTATCCTTCACATACAAGGCCACCCCTCCCCCTTTCTTGCCTTCCCTATCTTTTCTATATAAAGAGTACCCTGGTATTGCTATGTCCCAGTCATTTTTCTCATTATACCATGTCTCAGTAACAGCGACTAAATCTACACTATCAGTTGCCATTATTGCCACAAGTTCATGGATCTTTTTCCCTAAACTGCAAGCATTTGTAGACATGACTCTAAGCTTATCATTTTTTAACACACTTGCTACAGGCACCTTCTGTCCTTGTTTTGGGGGACAATTGGATTGATGTTTTATCACCCTTTTGCCCCCCCCACCACCCCCTAGTTTAAATACATCCTAGCAAAACCTCTGAACTGCTCACTGAGAACATTTGTTCCCTTTTGAGAAAGATGCAAACCATCTTTTTTGTACAGCTTATTTCCATTCCTTTTCATGTGCAAGAAATTGACAGATCTCTGTGTGCATAGTCATATTCATGCAGCAAATGCAATATGAGTTTAATAGACAGAGTCTGTTGGAGTCACTAGATGTGATGCCATATTCTCTTCTCTCGCTATGACCTCTTTAGAATGAGGGAACATTTAAAGAATTACTCATTTGGAAAAAGACCCTTGAGAGAAATAACACTCCAGACCTGAACAGGTCAATCACCAAGTTATACAGTAAAAAACACCAATGGGATATTGGGACTTTAAGGGTTAATTCTGTTAAGGGTTAATTCTGTGGAGTACAAACCAATGTGGACAACAAAGGGGCAACATTGTGTGAAACTGGTGTAGTTTACAAAGGAGTACTGTATTTTATGTGGCAGGACTGAAGGATTTAATAGTGTGTTGTTGTTTTTACAGTCTTTCTAAAGGGTTATTCCAACCCTTTTTTGTAATCTCATTCAAGTATAATGCCCTATTGGGGCATAATTGTCACCAGAACAACCACTTAACCTCTTAATGTACTTGTACTGGGGTGTATAGTATGTCCCTGCAGGCATTATTTTTGCAGTGCAAAGACAAAACGTACACGCTTATGGATACATGACTAAAAATATACTGCACTGTTTTTTTTTATAACATGCAAAGTAGGCACATATAGTTTGAGAAAATAATAATAACATACTAGGGATGTTAGGTGAGTAAGATATAAAATGATAAGCATAGCCAATGGAAACACAGCAGGGTATACTGGGATTATAGGTTATAATAAGACAAAGAGCAACGGGCAACCCTTTATGAGTAAAAGAGTATTAGCTGATTTCCCTTTTCTGGGACAGCAACAGTCCCACATGTAACCACTCAAAATCATAGGACCTCCTGTGGACCAAGACTGGGAGATGGTTGCGATTTAGGCCTCTGTTTCTGTTGCTGCTGCAGTCATTCTCACACATATAAAAAATACCTCTTTCTGTCTCATTAGAGATCTTTGCCAGAAGCTCAAAGAAGCAAGGTGAAGGGTCAGCGTAGGACCCGCTTAGGGGGGTCTGCCTTGACGTTGGCAGGCGGGCATTCCCTCCAATGGCCATTGGAGTAACTAAATGACCTCCATTTGTATACATAGGGATTAAGGAGAGAGCGCAGGTAACTTGTTTTTCTTTTGATTTTACTATATATTGGGGCTGATGTGTACTGTAGTCATTGCTGCCGCCCAGTAGTGATGGGAGTGAGTGCAGTATTTATCTTTCTGCATTAGCCTACGAGCTGCGTCCAATGCAAAAAAATGATGAATACGCCCTAAATAAGGGGGGATTCTACGATGGTATATTGAAAAAGGAAAATAAAGTATGTATTGCTTCAATCACTTTCCTTCAAAAGGCTTGGTAGGGCAACAAACAAGCTTCCCACAGCTATGCTTATTCAAAATGTATCCAGTGAAATAAAAAACTTTATTATATAAACAGAAAACAATCGGATACAAGAGAAAACACTGGGGAGCAGAAGTAGTTACTATGTATATAGACACATTAGGTCCTATCCTAGGTTTATTAATTTCAAGGCACAGCTGTGTTAAATCGGCTAAATTTAGCCTGTAATTGCTGCTGAAAAAAATGACAGCATAGGCTGGAGGGAGAAAGGTTCCCTAAACCGTGAACTGATAGTAATATCATAGACAAATACAGTAAAGGAGTACTGCACATATCTAGGAGATTGTATGAAATCAAATTGGTGTAATAGTACCTCTGGGTAAGGCTGAGTGCTCGCGGTCACCCCTGATAGCAAATTGCCAAACAGAAATGCAATGATCCTAAACCCCCTGACAGCAAGTAAAAAGTTCTCAACGCTGCTTTCCACATCCATCCATCACGTGTGAGTAGCTGCACCAGGTCCAAACACAGGCTTCTCATAGAGAAGCTTGTGATTGGACCGATTTGCTGACTCAGACTGCATGCGCATGCTTTGGGCTGGCAAGGAGGGAAGAGGAGGGACAATGAGGGAGGGATTTTTTCTTTTTTTTAAACAAACATTACTTCAATGGAGGGAGGCGGGTGGGAATGCTCAGAAGTGAGTCAATGGGAAAGCAATCTTCCCTTTGCAAGCGCTCTGCCTCCAAGAGAGATTTTTACATCTGACGCCAGTGCGCTGACAATAGATATAAAATATGCACAGAATTCATATTAGGCAATCCAGAACTTTGTTTCGAATAACAGTTAAAGGAAAAGTGCACACACAAACAAAAATACAGCTTTACATTTAACAAGGCTACTTAAAATGACCTGTCTTAGCAAATATATATGGGAATTCAGTTCCGCCATATGGTGTTAAGCCCACCACTACATCACAGTACCCCAATATCAGTGGGTCCTACACTAATTTTAACATGGGAGTATTACATGCTAACTTGCAATACTTACTTGCAGTATAAACTGCTTCAAGAGACTCTTCAATTTAAGCTTTCCTGTGGTCACCTCCAAAGGGGCACCCATAGTGGGGTTCAATTAGCACCCGGCACAAAACTGCTAATTACTTAGTATGTGCAGTGTTTCAGGCAGGATTACTGCACATACATACTACTACCACTATGACCACTTCAAATAAATGAAGTGAACATGGCAGTTGGATTAACCCTATATAATACAATTCTCCATCTTATGGTTCTATGACCAAGTAACACTGCCCAGTGTGGCCAATCGCCAGTGCACCTTTCCCTGCAGTTACAGGTACTAGCACCAAACTCAGCTAGTAACATCGCAGGTAAACTTTGACATTCTGAAGTGTGTTACTCTAACCCTAAATGACCGGAATATTTGTCCTTTACACCACACGTAGTTGAGTGTATACTTTCTTTTGTTGTCCCCCCTAATAATTGTCCAGCTTAGCCCAGACATACTGGCACTTGGGGTGTGTATGTTCCCACTGTGTCACTCTAGTCTTCCACAAGGTCCACTCACTATTTTACATTTTTGTCCCACCTTCATGTAACACTATGTACTATATACATATACTAATTGTGTTCAATAAATCAGTATTATTGTGTCCCTACACTCATTTGTCTAGTGTTTTAGTACAGGGTGGTCAATGCTATTCACAGGGTGACCAGGCATCTTGGTTTTACCAGGATAGTCCCATTTTTCAGCGATTTATCCCAGCATCCCGAGAACCCTTCTCGGGATGCAAAAATGTCCCAGTTTTCGTCTGAAAGCAGGACCGGACTGACCCACCAGAAAGTTTCTCGGTGGGCCAGCATACATGCAGACCAGTGCAACCATACGGCAGCACCTGACAGGGGGTCGCAATTGCAGGGTGACCAGCAGCTCACTGGGAGCACTTCCTGTCAGACGAATAGAGGATACAGAAGATCCTGCACCGATGTCCGCTTGGTCACGCTACATGGAGGGAGGTCAGAGACCACAAAGGGAGGAAGGTGGGGCAAATGAGACACAAAAAGGGGTAGGGGAAATTAGACAAAAAGAGTGGCTGAGGGAGCAAATAAGAAACTTGGAGGGACTGGGTAGGAAATGAGAAAAAAAGAGGGGCTGTGAAAAATGAGCAACAAAGAGGGGCTGGAGGGAAAATGAAACACAAAGAGGGGCTGTAGAAAAAAAGACACAGAGGGGCCGGAGGGGGTAAATGAGACACAAAGAGAGGCAAATGAAACACAAAGGTTGCCTGGGGGGAATGAGACACATAGAGGGGTTGGCGGAGTGAGACATAGAGGGAAGGTGGGAAACAAGACACGTAGAGGGGCTGGAGGGGAATGAGACACACACGGGGCTGTGGGGAAAGAGATACACAGAGATACTGGAGCAGAAGAAAGAGACACACAGAGAGGTTGGGGAAAGGGGAAAAAGAGAAAAACAGAGGGGCTGGGAAAGTGGAGAAAGAGACAAAATGGTTGGGGCTAAAAGACACACAAAAGGGGATGGGAGGAAAGAGACATACAGATTGGCTGGAGACACACAAAGGGGAGTGTAAGACAAACAAAAGGAAAAATGGGGGATAAGATACACAAAAGCAGGTAGAACAATCAAAAGAGGGGATAAGAGACACAAAACAGGGGTTAGAAGATACACGGGGAGGCTGAGAATGCATCTTCCTGTGTCTCCTGCTCTCCCTGTAACTCAATTCTTCAGCACAAGCGTCATGCCGAAGAGTTGATTGACAGGTGAGAGAAAGACCTCATTGTTTTTTTCTTTCAATAGATAAATTTTGCTAGCAATCATGCTAACACGATGTACAGATAGAAGGTGTAATCGATGTGATTCTGATAGTATCGGGCTGCCAGTAGCCATGAGGTACCGGTTTCTACGGTAGCTCCCGGAGGTCCCTGGTGGCATCATGGATGAAGCTGTTATGGTGCCAGTGAGTTACATTACCAATTACCAAACTCAGTTACAGCAACAATTTGGCCATTTCAGCCATTCTCATTCTCTAAGATTTAATATTGCGGCCATTAGAATTCTAGTGTGTAAACCCCTTTAGAGAATTTTTCTGATTAAGCTGTTTTGACCTAAAGGTTGAAAATTACTTTTTGATTTCCCCTCCCCCCCCCCATTTTATTGAATATCCCTTGTATTTGTATGGGGCCCAGAGCTGGTGACCTGGGTGTCACGTGACCAAACCCCACCATTGCAAACAAGCTGCGAGGCGCGTGCGTAGCGTCCTACGTCACACTGAAACTCCCCTTCTCCAGGCCCCGCCTCCCCCCGTAGTAACCAGTGCACAGGCTGAGCGGAGGGGGCGGAGTCGGAAGCAGTAGTAAGGAAAACTTGTACTTGGCGGAAGTGAGAAAGAGTGAGAAACCGGAAGTGTGAGAGAGGGAAGTGCCCGACACCGGCTGCCCGCTGACCGAGATCTGGAGGTTGGCGGAGTGCTGTTCCTGGGACGCCGTGATATCGCCTGAGGACCGGCTTTACCGAATTATCGCCAGGAGGGATCTCGGGGGCCGAGTGACAGCAGTCTCAGTAGGAGTCCTGGAGGCCCAGAGGTCGCTGGTCTTCGGTCACTTACCGTCCGTGTTCACACACTACCGCGACCACCGGGAGCCGCTCCTGGAGCACACCTTCCGCTACTGCTTGGGTGAGTGAGTGTCCGCCGTGTCCGGGGAGATAGCGAACACTGAGCACCATAACTACTGCGGACTGTGCTGCCGGCCCGCCCGGCTTTATACAGTCACAGCAGCTGGGCCACAGTGTGCGGGCTGAGGGATATAAAGCACCGTATATAATGTACAGTGATAGAATGCCAGCCCACACTGGGGCTGCAAAACCAATAGAACGTGAACAACAGTACAAAGAGAATGTAAAACACACAATATTGCGCAAGGGCTGACTGTTACCTTAGTGTAGGACACCCTGTGAGTTAATGTCCATGTAAAGCCTGCTCTGTTATTTAAATCACACGTACATACATACAGCTTTTTTTAATTGCTTTGCCTCCCCACGCTCCCTGTTTTAAAGAAAATGTTAAAAGTGTGTAGCTTTTTGTCTTTTTTTTTTTTTTCTCCTCTCCCTGGGAACTTTTCATCGAGCGCAGTATTGAAGAAAAACAAATTGCAAATATTGGTGAGGGCGAACAGTCACAAGCTAAGAATTACACACAATGGAGAAATACAGTAAACAGAGTGCAGGTCAGGAGTCCGGATACAAATCAAGGGCTCATGAGCTGCACCACTGTAACCACCTAATAGGGAGCTCCAATGAGTGGGTAACCGTCCAAAATATGTAGGTAATAGGAGTAGGTGATGTGTAGATTCCCACAAGGGGAAACCAACATCAGGAGAGCTCCACTGTATAAGAAATGAGGAAGGGAGGCCCCACCTTTAATCAATCTAAGGATAAAAATGGATATGCAAGCAAAAAGTATAACTTGGGGGAAAAAAGGGGAGATCTACTAAACAGTGCCCCGGGGATCAATTGTCTGGAGTACTAGCTAGCATCTAAGTTCCAGTTCCCCTAGTGTCCGACTGACAGGAAGGTAGTGTAAATGAGATTAGGGAGAGAGAAGAGGCACAGAGTCCCCAGAGAACAAGGGACCGGGTAATCAGGTCTAAACGCAGATGAAAAGCCTCAAACAAAAAATACATAATTAAATAAATCTCTCAATTCACCCTAAAAGTTACCTCGATACCATGGTCTAACCACCAGTGTCTACCTGAACCAACTCTCCCTACTGAAGTTATAAATAAACAAACAGCTAAAAATCAATAACCAAAGTGGTAACAAAAATAAAAAAGTGCTACCAAGTGCAGAGATTAAAGAAAAGGAAAACGCTCAACACGCATTTCAGCGTGTTCAAAATGCCGCCGTCAGGAGCATGTGAGATTGAGTAAAGGTAGAGCCTCCCTTCCTAATTTCTTATACAGTGGAGCTCTCCTGATGTTGGTTTCCCCTTGTGGGACTCTACACATCACCTACTCATATTACCTAAGAATTACACACACACTCATATGTTGATTGCTTTATTTTCATGAGGAATAATGTGCACATTCTTGTTTTGCCACAAAGCACATATCGTTGCTAATTAAACGTGTCATGTATATTTCTGTTATGACTGTATCTATGTGTCAGCATATAATATGCAGTCAAAATAAATAGTTGATTTTCTGGGTATATACCGTGTTTACTCAAATCTAATGTGCCTTTTTTGGGGCAAAATTGTTTCCAAAAATGTTATGCGCATTAAGTTTGAGTACAAACAGTGCATTAGATACAACAAAAATTCGTTGGGGTGAGATTCGCATTGCTGCGAGACTTTGTGTGCCATAAAGTTGTACCTTGCATCTTTGCCATATATAAATACAAACTTAATCAAATCAAAGAGCTCAGGTCTGTAGAATAAATAGCACACTCTGGCTTCACACCCCTCCCCCGGCAAATATCATCCACTTGATTAAATTTTAGTCCCAGTTTTACTTACTATTGTGCCACCAAAAACTCTAGGAACTGCAGCAATGGTCTAACCAAGCTGAAGTTACACAGGGAGATTGCCTTTCATCATCTTGGACTTTTTCAATGCATTAAAATGAAATTCAAACCAAAGAGCATATTCCCACTTCAGTAGCCCTTTTGGCTTTCCTAAGCCACACTGAGCAAAGAATAATTTTCTTGGGCCACACACTATATAATATAATTTTATATAATATTTCAAAAGACCTATTCTTAATTTTATATTCTTTATATAGCACGAACAGATTCCGTAGTGCTTTACAACATTATAAGAGTGGGGATTTAACTATAAATAGGACAATTACAAGAAAACTTACAGGAACGATAGGTAGTTGAAGATCCTGCTCAAACGAGCTTACAATCTATAGGAAGTAGGGTGTAAAACACAACAGAACTGGAAATAGCAATCAAATAAGGTGGGAGTGAATCAGAGCTGGAGAAGAGTGCTGCCCATTAGGAGAGAGCAGGAGACAGGTATGTGAGGTAGAGGTTACTCTGGGAGGCCACAAGCTTTTCTAAAGAGATGGATTTTTAAGGCACTTCTTAAATAATTGAATACTAGGGCAGAGTATGGCGGAAGGCAGGTTATTCCTTAGGTAGGGAGCTGCCCGCAAGAAGTCCTGCAAGCGTGATTTGGCCATATGCGTGCAAGCAGCAGACAGGAGGTGGGCAGAGTGGAGAGACCAAGAAGGGGCATACCTATGGATCTGTGAAGAGATATGAGGGGCTAGAATTGGTCAATGCTTTATACGTATGGGCTAGCACTTTGAATTGACTCCTGTAGGTTACAGAAAGCCAGTGTAAGGACTGACTAGAGAGGAAAATCAGCCTGGCGGCAGCATTCATTGCAGACTGTAGCGGGGCAATACGCTTTTGGGGAAGATCAATTAGGAGAGGACTACAATAATCCATGCAGGAAATTACTAAAGCATGGACAAGCTCCTTAGTAGCATCTTGCTTAAGAAAGGGGCGGATGCAAGCTATGTTTTTAAGGTGGAATCTACAGAACTTGGTAACATGCTGGATGTGAGGCTCAAAGGTGAGGCCAGAATCAAGTATAACACTAAGACAGCGCGCTTGCAAGGATGGTCTGATGTGGATACCACTAACTTGAAGGGAGAGCAAAAGAGGAGGATCAGTATTAGGAGGATGAAAAAAGACAAGGAGCTCAGTTTTAGAGTGATTAAGTTTCAGAAAGTGGGAGGACATCCGGTCAGAGATGGAAGAAAGACAAGCAGTGACATGTTGCGGGACGGCAGGGGAGAGGTCTGGGGAGGAGAGCTATATCTGGGTGTCATCAGCGTACATGTGGGAGTGGAATCCGAATGAGGTAATACATTTTCCAAGAGAGATAGTATAAAGAGAAAATAGATGGGGACCAAGGACAGAGCCTTGAGGGACTCCAACCAAAACAGGACGAAGGGAGGAGGTATCATTAGAAAAGGAGACACTGAATGAGAGTTGGGAGAGATGAGAGGACAGTCACAGAGACCAAGTGATTGAAGAGTTTGAAGAGCATGTTCAACAGTGTCAAAAGCAGCAGAGAAGTCAAGAAGAATTAGTATGGCGTAGTGGCCTTTTGGATTTAGCTGCGATTAGGTCGTTCTTAACTTTGATAAGAGCAGTCTCAGTAGAGTGGAGGGGGCAGCAGCCACATTGAAGATGGTCAAGGTGAGAGTTGGAATTGAGACATATGGGTAAAGACTATGTATTTCCAGAAGCTTTGAGGAAAAAGGGAGCAGGGATATGGGACGATAGTTAGAGGGGGAGGACGGGTCAAGAGATGTTGTGTTTTTTTCAGGATAGGTACTACAGTGGCATGTTTACACAGAACTCTCCTCATGGAGATGCATTGATTTATGTATATCTATGAGGAGATGCTGTGTTTCACTTGTGCTGGCTCTGCCCCTGATATGCCTATTTTGACAAGCTCAGCCAATCAAATGTGAGAGCAGTGTAAGTGGCTCAGAACACAACTTCTGATGTAAGCCAAGCAGGCAGATCAGGGGCAGAGCCAGCAGCAGTAGACTGCTATTTAGGAGGGCCTGGGGAGATAGATGGTGTTTTTAACACTATAGGGTCGGGAATACATGTTTGAATTACTGATCCTATAGTGTTCCTTTAAGAGGTTCACCCAGTCTCCCCAGCTTGTTCTGAGTGAGCTGCAGTGAGTCCTCTCCTTGGTAGCCAGTGGTTGCTGCTGTAATGGGATCACTGTGTTCTTCCTGCACAGATCCCTCAGCCACCCGTGATGCCAGAATTATGTCATATCCCAGCTGCTGGCTCACAACAGGACGCGCGAGGGTGCTGTGCAGAAACAGCACAGTAAGTAATGGGCTCTCTCCCCACCCAGCACCTAGGATGGCAACTGGGCCACATTACATGCAGTTCAGGGCTGCCTGCGGGCCGTGGGTTGGAGGCGCCTGTTTTAGAACATTTTGATTACACACTCCATGTGGATTGCAGTATTTTATTGCAAGTGTTCTGTATCCTGATCTTTAATTTAAAATCCTTCAATCTGTCTTTAAAGGAATACTGTAGCGTTAGGAATGCAAACTGGCGTTCCTACAGCTTTAGTTCCCTGGTCACTCTTTAGTTAACCAGGCCCGCACTGTCTGTTTTAAAAAGGTGATTTTACTTACCTTTTCTCCCCCGCAGTGCTTTCCCATATGAAAGCATTGTAAGGCTAGTGCACATGCGCGGCAAAATCACAATGCTCCACACCGATGGGACTCTCTGAGACCATCTGATTGAAATAGTAAAGTCTTATTCCATTATTTGGCAGAAGCGCCTCTAGTATGACAGCCACTTGAGGCAGGTTAACCATGCAATGAAAACATTGCCATTCCTGCAGAACAGCAAAGTTTTTTAAAGGGAAACTCCAGTGCCAGGAAAATAATCAATATTGCCGGGCTCTAGGGTGAGGAAAGGGGTTAATCCCTTACCTTTTTTTCCAGCGCCGGGCTCCCTCGGCGCTGGGGACTCTCCTCCTTCTTATCCCGTCATCGGCTGAATGCGCGGCATGAGCCGCGCTTGCATTCAGCCAGTCCATAGGAAAGCATTCTCAATCGTTTCTATGGACGCTGGCATCTTCTCACTGTGAAAATCAGTGAGAAGCGCCTCTAGCGGCTGTCAATTAGACGGCCACTAGAGGTTGGATTAACCCATATGTAAACATAGCAGTTTCTCTGCTTTTGTTTACAGCTGAAAGGGTTAATCCTAGATGGACCTGGCACCCAGAACACTTCATTAAGCTTAAGTGGTCTGGGTGCCTTTAATATTTAATCTGTTCTTTATAATCATAGTTCACTTTATTTCTTTACTTCAATCGAAAATGGCTCCCTCTTATGACAACCCTTTATGTCAACCAACTGTATTTACAACTGTGTGAAACTTTTTTTTTAAAATTATTTAAATGCGGAGGAGAGGGCCCTAAATATGAGTACATACAGGAACATTATAGCTTTTGGGAAAACAGCTAAAATGCAGTGAAGATGCAATGTGAAATGAGTAATTCAAAATATGAACCAAAAATATAAAAATAAAATACAGTAGTTAAAACTGCATAAAAATATAGCTTGGTATAACTATATCCCTAAAAAATAGACTCCAGCCATTCTACAACAAACTTAAAAATTAGGAACATGTGTAATATCGTACTTCTTGTGATGTACCTGAAATAAAGAGAGGATAAAATCTTTTACATAAACACAAATAGTCATTACAATAACCATTGGTTGAATGTGGCAACTGTAAAAAAAAATAAAAAATGTTATGGTTCAATTTAAATTATCTCTTCTAATTTTTTTTTTTTTTAATAGAATTTTATATATTTTTAAGGTTTACTCCCAACATCATTACCACCACAGCCCACTGATATGTATACAGACTCAACGCACAGCACAACTTCAGATCACTAGAGTGGTTATAAATAAAAACAAATGTGCTATAACTCATCTGTATTTTTTCTTTTCCTGTGTAGTAAATAACGCTCAAACTGAAATATGATAGGAACCAGGATTGGGTGAAAAAACTTGGCCATTTCCTGGTCCCTGCATGCAATACTGGTTTACATATGTCAGTTTTTATTTATTTTATCTTATTGATTTATTTTTGTGTGTGTGTGTGTTATCTGGAGTGACCTGTTAAGCAATACATCTTATGTAAGTGAAATTTTCAATGGTTGTTACTCATATATTTGTATAGAATGTTTCTCCACTTTTCCAGATTCTAGTCATTGCATAGCCCCCAAACAGTGATAGTATGTTTGGAGTAGTTACTAGAATAGCTAACATTTATTTAGTATAATACCACTGAAATGAAGGACATTGTTACTGTGTTAATAGAATACACAAGAGCATAGCCAGTGGCTGCAACTCCATAATTTCTGTGGATCCAGCATGTTCTCTGCTGATTGCTATATGTGGCTCTGAGGGGGGAAAAAAACATTCTATACGCAATATGCATTCTATACAATATCCCTATTTATCAATAACAAAACCGGTTATGGAAAATAATCTTCTTTGATCATGTGTTGTGGCAAATTTGTATTTTTGTCTTCCAAAATTAATGCTAGTCTTTTGCCACCTGAGACTGAGAGCGCACAGGTTGATCATCGCCTTTTTTTGTAGATGCAGAAAGACTAACTTAACCCTTAGTGACCAACTTCATAACACCTTTAGGATCACAATCTTGTCTCTAAAGACCCCATTTACTAGTATGGAATGTTCTACTTGTTTTGCATTTACAGTTTCATACAGCCCTGCAATCGTGAACTGTGCATGATCTTTAAAGACTTGTAATGTATTATTACATCATTGGTCCTTCAGGGATTTCTTGTGTTTAAAAACACATTGATTTGCAGAAAAATGTAACAAGGCTGTATTATAAATACAAAAAGTACCCTTGTTTTTATTGGATTGGAGTGATTTAGTGTTCAGTTTTTTTCTTCTTTTCTTTAGACCTTTTAGAAATTTTCCAGGTTCATGGAGGGAAGATAAAACACTTTTTAAAATTTATTTATTTTTCAAATATATGTATTTCAGAGTGACATGACCTTTAACGCTGACTGTTAAGTGTTAAGAACGCACCCTACTCAGAGTGCACATGACTTGGTTATGGTGGTGGAAGGGTTAAAATTAATTTTGTCTGCACTAAACCGAAAATGATAAAAATCCCAAATAACACCATCCACCCTTAATTATAATACTTAACTTAATGGGGTGCCTTGGTACCCCAAGAAAATTAGGCTGGTTTCCTAATAAAGTGATCTAATTGGGTAACACAAGTCTTTACCAGACAAAGAGAGAACTTAAAGGGACACTCCAGGTACCAAAACAAATTTATCTAAATTAAGTTGTAATGGTGCCAGGAGCCCCTTGGAGGAGGTTAAACTGTTCTCGTTTAGTGAATGAAAAGTCACTGGCTGAGAGCGTCCCCTGCCCTGCGGCACTCTACACTTCCTATAAGTGAAAATTCAAAAGTCAGATGCCGCCAGGGGAGGTGTGAGACCTGCACTGGAGGCAACTTAGGGGTTAAACCATTTGAGAACAGTTTAATCCTTTGATGCTACTTCTCTGAAAAGGCAGTGTTTACACGAAAATGCCTGAAGGGAGTGATTATACTCACCAGAACTTTATTAAGCTGTAGTTGTTCTGGTGACTATAGTGTCCCTTTAACTGCAATAAACAATCCTAATAATCATCAGAAATAACTTGCATGGAACCCGTAAGAGCTAGACATATGTCAAAATACGCCCCAACGTTTCGGCACCAAATGTGAATTTCTCAAATCCCCTAAGAGGCACATTTGGTGTTGACCTGTCTAGCTCCTTCAGGCATCATGTAAGTTATTGCTGATGATGATCAGGATTGTTGATTACAGCTTGTATTGGTTATTGTATACTAGTATATTGCTTTTATGTTGTAAAGATTGCCTTTTGTATATGATTTAGTTTGGTGTGCATAATTTTGTCTGTATGTACACTTTAGGGATTGACTCGTTAGCATAGCACACAGTATATTTGGTTCTCATGACAAATTCTCTCTGTTTTTGTAAAATACAAATTATTTACACCAACAAATTAAAAACAAAAAAAGGCAAAATTAACACCTGTCACGTCCGAAGTACTCACTTAGGTTTTGAAAGGAACATTGTCTTCTGGCTGGGGGATCTGTCATGAAAAGATGGCAACGTACACAGAATTAGATCTTGCCCTAGCACACTAGGCATTTGCACATCATTGGATATATATACCTCCTATATGCATCTCAAGTTGCCCCCGTTGTGTTTCAGACCAACACCAATCTAAATTTTATTTTATTTTCTTTGTGCATAACCACCAATAATTATTGCAAATTATTGAATTTGTAGCAATTTTTCAATTCCATACATATGTCACACTTTCTATTTATGACCTAAGACATTGGACTTAAAGGGACACTATAGGGACCCAGACCACTTCAGCTCATTGAAGTGGTCTGGGTACGGTGTCCCTATTGCACTTAGTGCTGCAATGTAGTTTTTCTAAAACTAGCACTAAAAGATCGCCTCTAATGGCTGTCTACCAGATAGCCACTATAGGCGCTTCCGGAATTTTACCGCTAACAGACGACGTTTTGGTCCACTACTTTCCTATTGGAAAAAAATGACTCAGTGCTTTCCTGCGGGGTGGCATAATTATTCTTATTTAATTATTCTAATGCATGCGCATTAGTGCCCCCAAATTAAGTGATGTCAGAGGGGGTGGAGCAGTGACCCAGCGCAGAGAGACATCGGCGCAGGGTCAGATAAAGTGTTTTAAACTCTTTATTAATCGGGGGCAGGGGTGAGGCAGAGATGGCTATAGTGACAGGAATACACAGCTCCACGCTGCCCTTGGCTGGCCACCTCCATGCTTGCTTGGGCTGACCAACACCCTGGAGCCTGAGATTTGTCAAGCCCTGCCTAACGCTATAGTGTTCCTTTTTAGGGTTGAGAATGTGTCTTTATTACAGCCACTAACGATTTGCCTGCAATCCAAAAGTTAAGACAGGCCTGTGCATACTGTAGTTGGAATGTAAGGGGTTATGTATCTATCTTTTATTAATAAACGTTGTGACTTCATAAATTTTGACTCTGGTTCCCAGATTCCTTGGAATTTTGTCCAACAGTGCTTTACTATCATGTAAAACAATCTTACTTAAAGAGAACTTGTCACTCCAGGTTCAACTTTAGCTGTAATAGCTCATCATTAATCACAGTGATAAATTATTTCTATGCTTTGGAAGCTGTTACATTACTCAGCTTCAGCTCCTCACTGCGAGTTCCTATTGCAACCCCCATAAAAATAGTAAAATAAAAGTTTTACTTACAGGAGTGTCTACTCCGTACTGCTGTTTGCTCTGTATCTTGCAATGTCATTAGGCTTTGCTATCTCAGCAGTGGTCCAATCCAGTGCTCCTCCTGATGTGAGTTCCTTATACGTATCCAATCACATGCTTCTCATAGAATTGAATTCAATGCTTTCATATGACCTGCATTTGACCACATGACCAGAGTTTCACTCCGTTGTATAGGAAGGTTCTCTTGTGGCATGTCAGGTTTTACTCTGCAATGTAACAATTGGAGTTTCTACAAGACTGCAGTGTTTTTACATTGTGGGGTTAAAATTACAGGGCCACTGCACCCAGACCACTTTTTTGAGATGAAGTGGTCCTTTAAATATTTATAACACCCACCATCAGCTGCAGCCACCTGTGTGTAGTGACTGACCCTGTAGGCTTAAATTTACAAGTCATATGGTACTAGACAGGCCTTACAGGCCAGTGGATGGTTGGATGGTGTATGGCACACCTTACCAGGGGTAGACTTTTTTATTTGCTAGGGCTAAATTGTCATTTGTATATGGCTAACGTGAGAGAAATAATTGGAAAGACTTCATATCTGCCAGATGCTCGGTACTTTGCAGAGCCCTTAAAATTTCTCCTTCAAAATACTCATGAACATTGTAACTTGAAATGGAGAAGGGAGTGACTACTTTAAAAAAACAAAACAATTGTATCCTAACTGCTAAAATGAGCTATATAGACTGTTGCATTTCGATTGCCCCTTGAACTTGTACAAATGTTTCCACCATTTATCCTGTTTTTTTTGTACAATTTGTAAAGTATCCCCTTTTCTGTGTATTTTCTTATTTTCCTGCTGGATCTTCTTTAAAGGGACATGCATCACTTTGAAGCAACTGTCTCATTGTGCAGCCTAAAACAAGCAGGTAAATATGTTTGTTTTAATGTTTACCTGCTTCTTCTCTCTTATGCTTTCCACACCCACTCCAGGGGGGACTCTGATCTATCCAATTAGTGTCCTATCCCTAGGAATGGTGAAAAAGTGCACTGGGCATGCCTGACATGTGCAGTTGGAAGACATCTTCACCTTGCAACATCCTGATATGGGGATAAGAGATTGCTGCTTCTGCTGCACAGTGATGCACCATTTTTGTCATAAGTGTACTGGTTTGAAACTAAGGTTGATAGGTAAGCGGGGGAGGCTGAATAATCTCCCCTAGCTGAGAGGCATACCCAATAATGCAATTTGACCAAGTTTATACTACGTTTATAAATGTCTATTACATATTTTTCTAAGTTTTTCATGCTTTATTTTGACTTGTATATTGGTTTAAAAGTGTTTGCTTGTTTAAAAAAATAAAAAAAGGTCAAGTGATGCATGTTCCTTTTAAAGTAGACGTGTGAGGCTTTAAAGCAGTGAACAGATCTGTGATATTTGAAATTTGGTATTTGCCTATAATTTATTAATTTATTAGAACTTTTCAATTTGTATGTGAGATATTGCAGATAGGAGCTCCGTACTAGTGCTGCAACTATGCAAACAGCTTCATTCTCTTTCCTTTTTTTCCAAGTGTCTTCCACTATTTGCACTAGTTAATTTGTAATAATAACATACGGATCAACTTTGAAACACAAGCATGGATGGAAAATACATATTGTTAAAGGGACACTGTAGGCACCCAGACCACTTCAGCTCATTGAAGTGGTCTGGATGCAGTGTCCCTGTTGCACTTAGTGCTGAATGTAAAACATTGCAGCTCTGAATCTGCCCTCAGTGACGGTCTACCAGACAGCCACTAGAGGGCTTCCGGAATTTAAACGGACCTTGGGTCCGTTATCTGACGCTGGACGTCCTTGCGCTCTGCATGAGGACCTCCAGCGTCAGATTTTCCCAATAGGAAAGCATTGTATAATGCTTTCCTATGGGGAAAATGCTAATACGAGCGTGGCCATCGGCACTGGATTCAGGTAAGTGACTGAAGGGTTTTAAACTCCTTGAGTGTGGGGGTGGGGAGGGGCCCGGTGCCATAGAAATCTATAATGCCAGGAAAACAGCTTTGATTTACTGGCAGTATAGGATCCCTTTAATGTGCCTTGGTTATACTGGTAAACTAGACAGTATGTGGGAGATAAATGGTTGGATTAGGACTGGGATTATAGGTAGGTTAATAAATAAGATTATGGGTCGGGTTAGCGTCAGATTATGGATAGGATTGGAAGTTTGATTATGGATAGGAAAAGTAGTTGGATTTGGGGCAGGATTATGTAAAATTGTATACATGCGGGATATCACTGTACCAGAGAACAGTAGCAGAATACAAATATGCAGTTTTTGCAGTAGTGGGACACCCGTGGTCTATGAATTTCCTGACCCTATAGCGTTAAGAACACCATCTAGCTCCCTCGGCCTCCTCTTGCATACCTAAATATAAGTACAATCTTACCTTTACTCCAGTCTGCTGCTCCTGGCTCGTGCCCCTGATCTGCCAGCTGGCAGAAGTGATTCTCTCAGCCAATCACAATGCTTTCCCGTGGGAAAGCATTGGATTGTTTTGAGGCTGCCAAGAAGGCCAAGCCAAACACAGCCCTGGCCAATCAGCATCTCCTCATATAGATACATTGAATCAATGCATCTCTATGTGGAAAGTTCTTTCTCCATCCAGGAAACACCTTTAGTAGTCATCTGAGGTGTTGCCAGTGGAGGTGGTTCACTGAAAAAAGTGTTTACTGCAAAAAGCCTGAAGGTACTGATTTATACTCATCAGAACAAATACAAAAAGCTGTAGTTGTTCTGGTGACTATAGTGTCCCTTTAACTAATTTGACCTAGGTTTTTGATAAAATGGTTAAATATAAAGTGTCAAAATGCAATTAATTACATAGCCATGGGAATGTACTTTCTACAAAAAATAAACTTTTTGTTTTGTCGTTTTGGATTCTGTGACTACTATATTATTATAAGTTGTAATCTCAGCATTCCAATTTATTAACTTCTTGCAGTGTTTTATGGCTTCTTAAGCACTTTGTATAAAAGAGCTTCAATGCTAGACCTTGGCTTACGGGCAGGGCCTTCTTTACCTTTTGTATTGGTCTGTGCATATTGTATGTTCTAACCCAAACTGCACAACGCTGTGGAATATGTTGGCGCATTATAAATGCCAGTAATAAATAAATAAATTGAAATTAGACCTATTGGGCGTTTTAAAAATGATAAATAACATGTATGTGTTAATATTGGTTTTGTATTTTTTTTCTACCCTATTGTAGCAATGCAATGTTTTGTAGACCCATACTTGAAAAGGAGAGAAATCTCAATGTATCCATCCTGGTAAAATATTTTATAAATAAACGTGGTGTAGAATGAATGCATTGCAAAAAGGCCTTGGTCAAAAACGCTTTGCATATGAAAAAAGCCATTTAAAAAAAAAAAAAAAAAAAGGGGGTTTAACTAAACTAAAATTCGCTAAAATTTCTTGTGGAAGGTACGTTTCTTTCCAAGCCAGTTTAGTGAATGGGGAGTCACTGATTGGCAGAGAGCAGTCAGCCGAAACTCTCAGCCAATCTGTGGCACATCTGCCTGGCGGCAATACGTGCTCCCTCAATCTGAAAATTCAGCAGCTTGATGCTGCCAGGGGAGGAGTGAACATCTCCACTGCAGGCAACTTTGGGCTAAAATTGTTTGAGAACAGTTGAACCCCTTGTGGTAGGAATGCCGCCTGGCACCATAACCACCTCATTTAGATGAAGTTGTTTTTTGTTTTTGGTTTTTCCCCGAGAGTTCCACATTAAAGATAATTTTTGGTTTAATCTAACATTTGATTTATGCTACCTGGTAACCAGTTAAAGGGTTACTGCAATCCTTTAGTTAAAATTTAAGATTTTAGGATTAGAATGCCCTATTGGACGTTACCAATAGGTCCCCCATCCTTAACTCATAAGTGTTTAAACCAGGGGTACCCAAAAGGTAGATCGTGTTAGAACTACAGCTTCCATGATACTTTGTCATTCAAAGACAAAGGCATGGAAAGCAGCATGTGAGTTGTAGTTCTACAACATCTGGCCATCTCCCTTTTGGCACCCCTGGTTCCAGCACAGAGTGAAGCTCTGGGCACCAAACTTTATTTTAATGTCTGCAAGGGCCTTGCCCAGTCCAATCACAAGCTTCTCATAAAGGAGCTTGTAATTTGACAGTTTCACCAGCTCAGAACACATGCGTGTGAAGGGAGGAAGAAATATTCTGTTTAAATCCCCCAAAAATGTAAGCAGGAGTAAGCTACTTCCCCTTGCAGGAGCCCTGCCTGCAATGAAGAAGATTACAGGTTGCCAAAGTCACGTGTGCCATGGGTCTAACTAGCCCCCCCAGCAAACAAGTGCAAGTATCTCTGGATGTGCAGTGTTTTAAGCAGAAATGTTGCACATACAGACTCATAAGTACTTTAGCACAAGGTAAAATGGCTATTTTTCTCTCTCCTCCCTTCCGAGATTCATGGCATTCAGAACATTTCAGAGGAGCTGTTGCTGGGTGGTTCCCGAACAGATACATTTCTGAAAGGCTCCAATAATTCTGAGCCTGATATTACCAGTTTTATGGTCAAGCCTAATATTTTCACCTGGTCACAATTGCCCCTGTTTTACAACTTTACCCTGACATTGCTGTTTAATTATAATTAACAGTGGATAGAATGAGTTTCCTAATGAGCCTTGTTAATTTGTAGTTTAGGGTCTCAATCTATACAGAAGCATTATCAGTACCCCAGAAAACCGTTTAAGTCATCAAACGGCAAATATTTGTGAAGTTGACTTCAGGGATATGGGGGTTATGAATAAAAAGTATTGTGTCCAATGTTTGTTTTTGTTTTGTTTTTTCAATAATTTTTTGTTTTTATTTGCACATCTTTATTCCCTTCTTTGTGCAGTTGTATTTTTTGCTATGCCATTTCTTACTTTGTTTTCCTGTTCCATTTTTATTTAATTTTTTTCAGTTCACAAACGTGTCGCTCCCAATGTGTGAAAGAGATCAGAGATATCCTTCAAATTGTAAATGTGTTGTGCAACTTGTGTTATTTTATAAAACTGCTAATTTCAATGTATATTGGCACTTTCATAAATAAGACACGGGGACATGATCCTAATGCATAAACCAGTACAGCTAGCTGAAGTGCTTTAGGGCTCGGAGTGTGCCTTTGACCCTATGCGCCCCCTTTTGTGCCCACTACCCTCATATAATTTCCTCCACCTGATGCCCCTTCCTGCTTCTGTTCATTCTACCTCCAACCTCCTACTGTACAGCTGTAACAAACTGCCTTATTACATCAAATTAGCCACTATACGTTGTGCCTTTCTCTTAAAAGTGCTTCTCTTTATTTCCTACTTTATCCATTGTGTACACAATTTGCCTTGCTGAGATAATCTATAAACTAACAACCAAAGTCAGCTTCTCCAACACCAAATGAACAAGCGTCATGTCTGTATTTGTGTAAAGAGGCAGAGCAGTGTAGATAAATCCTGAAGACCATTTGTAAATTGTGTGTGTATGTTTTCTTACAGTTGTGAGGTGGATGACAATGGCGCAGGAGACTAACCACAGCCAGGCACCTCTTCTTTGTTCTACTGGCTGTGGATTCTATGGCAATCCTCGTACCAATGGTCTTTGCTCTGTGTGCTACAAGGAACATTTACAACGGCAGAACAACAGTGGCGGGAGGAATAGTCCCTCAGGTAAGCATTGATCCTGCTGTGAAAAGGTTGATTGTGAATGTTATAGACACTGAAACATATGACACCAACGTGTGACACACTTTTCAGTATGTAAAGGATTAGTGGGATTTGAGGACTTTGCTAAAGTGATGGTATTGGAAAACAAAAACTGTATTAAGGGTGGCTGGTGAGGAATAAATCTTCATACTTCTGATATGCACTTGGGCTAAGACAGGATTTTAACCTGTGTGACAACTCAATTCGATCAGAAGCAGCTCATATAGTGAAGAAAAAATACACCCAAAATGTGTAGTAAAGTATAAAATCAAATACCATTATTTTCTACACTTATAAACTTGGGTGGCTGCACAACCACAATGATACGTACATGTTTTGTGTTTCCTAGGGCACTTCATCAGAGGCAATTGGGGAAAAAAACCTTGTTAAAGGACCACTATAGGCACCCAGACCTCTTCAGCTCAGTGAAGTGGTCTAGGTGCCAGGTCCATCTAGGGTTAACCCTGCAGCTGTAAACATAGCAGTTTCAGAGAAACTATGTTTACACTAGGGTTAATCCAGCCTCTAGTGGCCAAAGAGATAGGAGCGTTCCCCAGTGCCGAGGGTGCCCGGCGGTGGAGAAAGGTGAGTGTTTAACCCCTATCAGCCCGGTGGGAGTGGGACCCTGAGGGTGGGGGGGATTTAAAGACCCTATAGTGCCAGGAAAACAGTTTGTTTTCCTGGCACTATAGTGGTCCTTTAAGTTTCATTACTTTGATAGATGAAAAATAATGGATTATTATAGTAAAAGTTTATAAAAGTCAATCTTTTTATTTCAGCTACTATAGTATCTCTGTACTTCTGTTTCCATTTTCCTATAGTTGTGTCAGTGGGAAATGGGGTTGAGACATCTTCCATGCAGCATGCAGTTACTTCTCAGGAAAATGATGTAGTGGAATCAGAACTCCCAGAAACCACGGAAGCCAGGTAAGCCGTTTATCTTTAACATTTAAAGTGAACTTGTCATGAACCCCGTCCCCATAACCAAATGGTCCGTCACCATGAAGGTTCATGAGTGTTACACTATTGTAACATCCACCTCCAGCTCTCCTGCACTGCAGTTTGATTTGCCTTGCTTGGGGTCCCTTCCCCAAGCAGGGCAAATGTTGTCCTTGACGCCAACACGCTGGCTTTACTACCAGCATCTGAAGTTCCTATACTCCCTTGCTAGTACTAGAAGTGATGACTATGAAGTAACCATAGAACTCGAGTGCATGCGTTGTGGTTGCTATGTTTGGAAGACTGCCTAAAGGAGGTCTCTCTTGTTAAGTCAATTCTTTGGCACAGATTTCAGTTGATTGGCAGGTGGGGAAAGATACTTTAAATTTTTTTATTTTATTTGTAGTTTGTTCAAGCAACTCTGCTAGCACAACATATAGATTACATTTTATGCTGCTGTAGTGAGCATAAACGTGTGTACCGTGACAGGTACACTAGATTTATTTATTTACTTTAATTTGATCTGCACTGGCTTATTTACTTTTCTGTGACGGTTTCTCTTCTTGGATTCTAAGCTCATCATCACAGGTGGAATCTATCTCATCTTCAGAAGCTGAAAATACAGAGAACAGAATTGCAGAAACAAATGAAACGCAAGGTGAGATTCAAATATTTTTTGTTTTGTTTGTGTGTAGTCCAAATGTTTACTGTGTAGTTTCAACTGGTGTGTGCAGAGTGACAGATGTGACTAGTATAGACAATGAGCACAAAGACTTTCTTTTCTCAGAATACACATAACCAGGGTGATATGCGTATTCTGACTCATGTCAGGAGAGATGTGTTGGGAAGATTGGAAAAAAAGAAAAATAGAAACAGTGTGATTGAGGAAGGGGTTGTAATAAATGTTTTGTAACGCTCCAGTGGAAAGTGCTGGAAAGTAAGGGCTTTTTTGGAATTAGTTGTAGAAGATGTTACTATTGGATGTTCCAGATTGCACTGGCAGGTTCTCAGACAAGGGGTTCAGTTTTTCAAGCATAGAAAAGGGGGGATCTCAGCGCAGTGTTTTGGAAGAAGGATCAAGAAGGGGGAAGAGAAAACTTAATGAAACAGATCTGACGTTAGAAAGTACTAATGGTAAGTGACAGTCTTATTTGCATGTGGGGTTTTAAATCTCCTTTGTAACACACACAGAATGGGGACCCACTTACACAATGTCTCCATGTTTGTCATCTTCCCCAGCTGCCTCTGCAGATAGCCCACAGAACTCCTCTGAAGAGCAAGAGCGCTCTCCTGTGAAAGCCAAGTTGAAGAAGAGGAACCGTTGCTTTATGTGTCGTAAAAAGATTGGCCTTACTGGTTTGTGTCAAATTTAAATGACCAGATCTTATATTTTGTTACCTGTTCTATATCACACCTTCTTTTATGCTAACTTAATCTCTCCCCTTCCCCCCATACTTCTGTTGTTCTATATAAATTTTATCATAGATTTTTCCCAGCGAGCTTGTCCTGCTATTTATTATTCATCACACAGTTTTCTCATTGTCCTGGCTCCTCAGGGATCTATGCTGTTACATAGATATGTGCTATGGTAAGGCCTTTTGTTGACTCCTAGTCTGCTCTCCAGAAACACACAAATATGCTGTAAAAGTGAGAGCAGTCCCATGCAACATAATGGAATATTTATATTTAAAATTAGTATTCTGTGTAAGTATGCGAACACACCTGGAATTGCACGTGTCAAAACGTGTAAGCCACTAATGAATGTTCTTTAAATACTCTAAAAAAAAAAAAAAAAAAGCTTAGTTTTATTTTAGTAAAAAATAGAGTAAAAGTACCAGCATTCTAGAATAAAATGTTATTTGTAGGGAACTTGTTTCATTCTAATAAGCGCAGCCTCTGAGATTTTCATATTAAGTCTTATGTATAGTGTAATGGTTCCAAAATGTTATTCTTGAAGTGGTAGTTTTCTTTATCTACCTTTCAAATGTACCTTGGTTGAACATCACCTAATTTTAAACATTCTGTTATCTGTCCAGCCCAATAACGCTCTACTTTCCATAAGCCTTGGTAAAGTCTCGTGGTACTATTTATACCTGTTGGTAACACATGTATTTTCTCTTGTCAGGGTTTGAATGCCGATGTGGGGATGTATTCTGCGGAACACACCGCTATTCTGATGTTCACAATTGTTCCTACGATTACAAAGCTGATGCAGCTGAAAAAATCAGGAAAGAAAACCCTGTCGTGGTTGGGGAAAAGATTCAGAAAATCTGATGAAAGCTCGAAGTTTTGTGTTCCTGGTGACACCAGCCTTTTGCCGTGGGAGATGGGCTGTGTTGGAGTACAATATTTTACCCCACCCTGTTTGTTCTTGACTTTGGATCCATGGACATTGGATCCTCTTCTCTTCAATTTTTTTTTTTCTTTTTAGTTTGATTTTCCTCCCCCCCCCCACCCCCCTTTCTTACTTCAGCTTTCCTAAATGATCGAAAAAGGATTAAAAAAAGGAAGAAAAAAAAACTAAACAGACTTGAGTAAAATCTTTAATATCTTCTTCAGGTTATTTCCATCCTTTCCGACCAGTTAGATTTTATATTATTATTATTATTATTTAGAGGGACAGAGGATGCAAAGGAGTTTATTATCTTGCCTGGACTGGCTTTGTTTCATGGTGTTCACATATACACCTTTGTTCAAGCTCCTGGCTCCTTAAACCATTGTATTTATCCTGAAGTAAATGGATCAATATTTTATTGGACCAATTTAATTATGTATGTTTGAGCTCTGGAGATTCTCCCTTTTTTATATGAGGGGCCAACTCTAGATGCTTTTGTTTTGCAACATTGTGTGATTGTGTGGATGATTAAAGGTTCTCTAACTATGAACACTGGTGATTTGTTTTTGTAGGACTGTCTCTTTTTACCATTAAAATATTAGCTAAGGCGTGTGATGATATGCCAATTGCATAACCTAAGGTAGCACAATCATCCCCCATAACCATTACATGCTCCTTTGTCCTTGTTTTAATGGCAGTGATTAGACATTGGTGAATACTCTCAGTTCTGACCCAAAACTGGAGGAAGGCACACATATCATAGCACAATAAAGACTACAACACCATATTGTGGTTATGAGGTTTAGACTGCCTTTTTTCTTTTTTTTTTTTTCACCATAGATGAACTGAATAAATGTTTTCTAATACAGTTTACGTCTAAATATACCAGGTAGTCTTCTATATTGGAGAACACTGAATATAATTTAAATAGTTTATATGCTCTAAAATTGTCAATAGCAAAATGAATGGATGGTCACATGATCCTCATTATCTTTCCCCGTTCCCAGTAAAATGGCAGTGGTAATGGACTTGTTTACACTCTGCTGACTTATGAAAGGTTGAATCGGGACATATTTACTTGCAAGCATTGTTTAAACGTCAGGTCTTCAAGCTATGCTTCCAGTAGAAACTGACAATGTCCAATCTGTGCAACTCCTAGTAAGTTTATTATCTCTGACACCACAGATTGCATATCAAATCATTGCTCTGGCACTTCTATAGCAGTTGCATAAGGTTGTCAGTAAAATTAGTCTATACCTGCTCGTTAGCATACTACATCTATGAGGGCGGTACCTGTGTCCTTATAAGGGCTAGTTCTTCATGGCACAATATTGTCTCCATGTTTTCCTTTTTGGATCCAAAAAATCCTTTTTGTGAAATAATAATGAATGGCATCCTTTACTCATCTTCCGTGCTAAGATTGAATACCCATTCTACATTGAATGTATGTACCTTCGCTGGGGCATTAGTGATTTAGGAGTGCAAGACTCTCACATGATGCTGGGGTTGCTGCTATTAAAATGCCATAATTGATTATTATTTTTTTGTATATATTTTTATATTTATTTTTTTTTGCCATTGTTCATCAGATACAGGTACCTGTAACATCTGATTTAAACATAGCATTTTCATAACTTCTATGTCTTGAGAAAAAAGTCACCTTAGAAAAATTAGAAGTCATTTTGAATTGTTTAAACATCATGGTATAGCTCATCATGCGTTCAATTCTTGCCTATAATTGATAAAATTATTTAAATTCCTATATGAAAGCATGTCCTATATATTTTGTCCTATAGCTTTATATGCCTCTGCTTTCTTTTCTAAAACCTCTATTTTAAACTTCATTGCTTTCAACACTCCCCTGCCATTTCTCTTGCAAACCAATTGCTGTGCTCTACAAAATGGCATGTTTTATAAAAATGCAGAGAGACTTTAAGGGTTTTCTGTTTTGTGCTAATTCAACAAAATGCATGATATTTCTGCAATAAAAAAATGGTAGTTGCATAGCATTGTGCTTTCTTCTCACATTCACAGATTCATCTGATTCTATGATGGCACCAGAATGGATAATATACGCATTTTATTATTTTCTTTTTAAGAAAAGGAGTTGATATGCCGTAAAGAGACTACCATATTTTTATTTGAGAATGGATAAACCAATACTCAAATCCCTGCAAGTGTATGCTTAAGTTTCCAGAGGCTTAAAGTACCAGGATTTTTCATATAATGTTTACTTAATCCCTGTATTTAACAGATAAGTATTTGGGAGCTGTTTAAATTTAAATGTTGAAATCCACACCTCTCCAAATGGATGTCTTTATCTACCGTCTTGCCCGTTGTTTTTATAAACTCTATTCTTTGTACCTGGCAATCAGCATAGTCAAAGCGTTCAGAGAAAAGGGGGAATTAAAGATACATCTGATGTAATTTGCTAAATGTTAATTATTGTGAACAAATTGGTTAACAGTTAACACAATTTTTTTTTTTTTTTATGTGAGCTTTCAATATAAAAAAAAGGAAATTGGGGGCCCACATGGATTATGCATTAGTCAGCTGTGGTGCTGCCATAGACACCAAAATGCAGATTAAAAGCTCACACACACAAATACGGTTTTAAATGTTACAATCACTTATCTCCAAACAAAATGACTGCATTATGCTGAGCCCACCACTATGTCAGAGTACCCCAATATCGGTGGGTCCTACAGTAATTTTAACGTGGGAGACAAATTAAATAGTGTTAATGCAAAATGAATGTGATGATTAAAGTGTTAAAATTAAACAAAGTAATAGTGTTTTTATCTATATAATCACAATGCATATCCTATATTTGCTCTATATCAAATAATTGTTAAAGTGAGATTGCTATTCAAAAGGGAAAACCCTGCCCACCCCAACTTCAGATTCTTTGGGGGTGACCAGAGGTTACCAGTTGACCACAGGTTTTGAATAGCAATCTAACTTTAAAATGATGTGATGTAATGCAGATATGACATGCATTGTGAATATATACATCACTTTAGTTGTTTAGTTATAACACTGTATTTTTGTGAATTGTGTATCATGTTTATTTTGCATTATATATGTTCACAATGCTCTTACAACATATTAAATATACTTTAGTTTATTTAGCACTATGTCCCACACAGTAAAATTAGTGTAGGACCCACTGATATTTGAGTACTGTGGGTTTAACATGATATGGCCACATGGTGGAACTGAATCCTCATATTTGTTTTCTGGAATAGGTGATTTTAAAATTTTATTTCTGTGTGCGCGCTGTTCCTTAATCTGTATTTTGTAATGTTCTCAGAAGTGATTTGTTCCCCTTTAATTTTACATTGTTAAACAAGATTACCTGAATTGTATAGATCCTTACATGGGTTGATTTACAATTTGTGTACAATAGAAGGCATGTCTTAAAACATTATATACGGTTTTTGAATACTGTAATTTAACCAGCCTTTTAGGTTTTGTAAATTAAGAAATATATAGTAATATATCTTGTGAAAATGTACAATCTTACTGGGTTATTCCAAGCACCACAGTCACTATAGTATTCATGGTGCTTGGAGTCTGCATGTGCAGTGTTTCATTGAAAAAAAAATGGTGCACAAAGAGATAAAGCACTTTGGTGCTGGATATGTAACTCCACCTTCGGCAATATTATTGGCAAATGTCGATTTCTGCGCATATTTTGCATTTGTCTACATGTTAACCGATGACCTTTGGTAGCTTGACCCTACTGTCAATGTCACATGTGCTCCCCTTTCCGATGGCCTTCCCTCTGCAGCTGGCGTCAATTGAGGAGAATAAGGTGGAGTAAAAACTTGACCTTAGTGTGGGATAGAAAGGTTTTTTTTTTTTTATTTATTTTTTTTTTAATTCATTATATTATTCTTAATTTTTCTCAAGAACCAGATCAAGGAAATCCCAGCCGACCCTGTCAAAGGCCTTCTCCGCATCCAGGGCTAACAATACTGAACTAGTTTGTTGTAAATTTATTCTGTGTAGAAGATGGAGTATTGTGCTCCTTCCCCTCACAAATGCATATTGATCACCGTGAATCAGACCAGGCATCACAATACTTAAGCGATCAGCTAAGATTTTGGCATATATTTTTAGATCCGTATTTATAAGGGAAATGGGCCTATAATTTGAAGTTATTGAAGGGTCTTTACCTGGTTTTAATATCTGGATTATTGAGGCTTGTAACATTTCACATGATATTATTTTATTAGATATTTCAATAAAAGTTTTCAGTAAAAGAGGGGCTACTAAAGTATCAATTTTTTTATAAAAGAGGGCTGTAAAGCCGTCAGGGCTAGGTGCCTTAACCGATTTCTAATAGTTTTTTATTTAATCAATTTCAGATATTGTAAAGGGGCTAGTCAATAAATCCAGTCTAGATTGTGTAATCTTTGGGAGATTACGTCAATCGAGAAAAACCTCAATGGTTTGCGATGTCGGAGGAATATTTTGTAAATTATATAGAGATTTCTAATATTCTAGAAATGTTTTGGCTATATCCTTGGTAGTTGAATGTGTGATGCCATCAACTAGGATTTTTAAAAATCTTTTTGAATTATAGTCTTTTAGTTAAGTTTGCCTGTTCTGTTATTACCATGGTACCATTTTTGTTTTAATATAGTTATAGCTCTAATTAATTTGTTCATATGTTTTCTCGACTATTATACTTCTAATCCGTGTAATCTCAATAATTCGATTAGAGTTTCTGTATTTTATTTAACCTTTCCAGTTTTGTAAACTCAATCTGTTATTCTGAAAGGTCCTTCTCTCTGTTTTTTTTTTTTTAAATCTTGATCCCAATTGTATTAATATTCATTGCGCAAAGCACTTAAATGTGCAGCACCACAATGTGGGAAGAGGACATACACCATTGTCATTAAATGATAGAAATTTTTCCATCTCAAGACATATTTGATTTGAATTTAAAGTTGAGTTTAATGAGCTCTCATTCAACCTCCAGTTAGTCCTAGTCTTAAATTCTTGATTGTTATTGTATTCTAAAAATAACTGGGCATGGTCTGACCATACGACTGAGTCTATAGTAGTTTTTACTACTTGATTCAAAAATGTAGATTTAACAAAAACCTATCCAGGCGGGAATAAGATTAGTGAACATGCGAGAAAAATATATAGTACCTTTTCATTGGGGTGAAAGATCCTCCAGCAATCCTATAAAGTATGACTAGTTATAATATCCTGAAAAGATTAAGATGTAAATTTAAGTTGTATCATATTTAGTGGTACCTGTATTATTTTTATCTAATAGTGGGTTCAAAATACAATTAAAATCTCCTCCAAGGCTAAGATGACTTTGAGAAATGGATTAAATTTCATTAAGGATATTGCCAGGGCCGGTGCAAGGATTTTTGCCGCCCTAGGGGGGGGGGGAATGTTCCCGATAGTGACCGTTCTTCAAGTTAATTGGTGGTGTGATGGGCGTCTTCCCTGATTGTCTGATTCGTCGCTTTATTGGCCAATTCCAATGTCCCGATCTGTTTCCTCCTTCTGCATCAGCTGCAGGAACTTAGCGTCAATGTCCTAATGCCAGGTCCGTAAGCACTTTAAGACCCACTTCCGTGCATTCCAGGAATGTCTTATCCTCTTGCGTTTCAGTCAATTCTCGTGATAGAAAATTACTTTAATGTCCATATGTGCACTTTATAATTATAGTGCACGTTATAAAATTTAGTTATTTCACATGATGCAGAAAAGTATTGACATCATGTAAATTAGATATTTTTAGGACGTAATGCTAATATTTTGTAGTGCACTATTGAAGATCTGGACGTTTCCCAAGTACCTGAACACGGAAATAGACGTCAATGGAAAGCCTGAGACCTGGTGGAATGCAAGAGTATATGACGATCCCTGAACGCACAGAAGTGTGTCTTGGAACGCTTACGTAATAGACATGGCATAAGGACTTTGCCAGTAAGTGCCTGCAGCTGATGCGGAAGGCATAAATAGATTGGGACAGTGGAATAGGCTAATGAAGCAACACATCATCAACCAAGCAAAGACGCCACACCTCCAAATAATTGTGCAAATTACCAGCATGAATATTTCTGTTGTAACTGTATTACACGTATTTTTAATGTTTAATTTTATGTTATACAGCTGTATCCTTTTATTTTCTGCGTAGATATACACATCAGTCCATGTGGTATCTGTCTGGGAAGCCGTTTATTTCTAAGTTAATTTCTATTTTATTTGACTATTTCACCTAGCACTTTTTGGATGTAAGTTGGTTTTTAATATAAGTTTAGAATCTAGTCTAATACAAAAAAAATGTGACCGTGTTTCTATTGTCTATATATGTAATATTGAACTGGAAAGGAATGTAGATGCAAAGGATGTTAAGAAGAATTCTAACATTCCAATTACCAACAATCCATGCATTATATAGCTCTTTTACTAAATAATTAGCCATAAGTGTTATAAACCATTATACATCTTTAAAATATTTCCTTGCCTGCACGTTGCAACCCAGTTTCTGTGCCTCCCTCTTACTATGCAGTGTCTAATAGCACAGTTGTACATGCCATCATCAGCAGAGATACTTATATGAGGTGTGCCTCAGCTAACTGCTTTAAGTAGAAGGTTAATAACTGAAATAACATAGAATGTGACAGCAGATAAGAACCATTTGGTCAATCTAGCCTGCCCAATTTATTTAATACTTTTATTAGTGCCTGACCTTATCTTATAGCTAGGATAGCCTTATGCCTATCCCACGCATGCTTAAACTTCTTTACTGTGTTAACCTCTACCACTTCACTTGGAAGGCTATTTCATGCATCCACTACCCTCTCAGTAAAGTAATACTTCCTGATATTATTTTTTTATTATTTATGAATATTTTTCTTTTCTTTTATATATATCAAATATACAATAGTTATACAAATTATACAAATTTCAATATTACAACATTAATATATATTC